GTGCCACCCGAGGAACTGGTATTGGCGAGACAAGTGTCAAACAAAACGAGCTACAGGACGACGAGTCTCGAGCAGGTGCAAGTGACGAGGACGCTGTTCCATTGGCGAGAGAGATCGAGTTGCTGAGGAAGGAACGAGATCCAGCGGAGCGCGAAGTCAAGCTTTTAAGAAGAGAACTCGAGTTAGCAAGGATGACGCCACCACAAGAGACGTATCCGAACGAGCAAGCGTGAGAAAGTGGCAGGACCTCAAGGACCTCATTGGTGAATTCAGTGGTAGCGAACTAGATTATGGCCATTGGGAGAAGCAGGCGAAGACGCTGTTCGCTTCCTACAATCTAGGCGATCATCAGGCCAAGGCCCTTATATGTAGCAAATTGTCCGGCAAGGCGCTCAAGTGGTATCACTCGAGGATCGATTGCGTCGAACTAAGTTGTGGCGATCTTTTCCTGGAGCTACGAAAAATGTACGGGCAACGAGTAGATCCACTGATGTTGCGACGCCAGTTGAAGGCGAGAGTGTGGAGTGTACGCGAGACCTTCGTGGATTACCTCCACGATAAGGTGACCCTCGCAAATCGAGTGCCGATGACAGGCGGAGAAATGATCAGTTATACCATCGAGGGCATACCAAGCCAGGAATTACGCACGCAGGCCCGAGTACAATGCTACCAGTCAACGAACGAGATACTGAAGGCATTTGTAAACGTCCCTGCTCCGAAGGGGGCTCCCCCTCGTCCATCGGCTACCATGGCGGGCAAGAGTAAGCTGCAGAGTAAGGAGCAGAAGTTCAAGGATACAAGCCCTAGGAAATGTTCAACTGCAACGAGGATGGCCACATCGTGGCTAAGTGTACGAGACTTAGACGAGAACGAGGATCGTGTTACAAGTACGGTAAACTGGGGCATCGAGCAGCCCAGTGTGACGATAACAACGGATCAACTAAAGAAGGCGTTCACTGCCTGGCGAGAAAGCAGAAGGAAAGCGGCAATTTCGGCGAAGTATCGAAATCCAGATAAGTGATAGAAAAGTCATTAGTATTAACCTTGACGCACTGATCGATTCCGGCAGTCCTATCTCTTTCGTTAAAGAGCGTTACGTTCCGCGGAAATATATTATCGCCGATTTAGATTGTGATCGATTTGTCGAAATAAATGGCAGCGGCCTAAGAACGGTAGGTTGTGTAAATGCGACGATCATTTTCGAGCATAAGTACGCGATAGTGTTACGAATTGTCCCCGACGATACGATGCAAAATTCAATTATAATGGGTCGCGATTTTATAAAAAAAACAAGATTGTCGATAAGTAGTGATCGCGAGGTAATCGATATTATGAATATCGATCTTGAAAGAAATGTCAGCGTGTCGGCACATGATATGCAAATTAATGATGATCTTTCGTTTGAGGTGAGGCAACAAACACGCGATTTATTCGAAACTAGTTATATAAACGCCTCGAAGCCATCGAAACTGGCGGTAGAAAATACTATGTCACTCATTCTTACGAATAATAAACCGTTTTATTGCAAGCCGCGTAAACTTTCGTATTATAAAAAAATAAGCTGTGAGAAATTTTGGATGAACTAATCGCGAAGAACGTTATCAGAGAGAGTGCATCCGAATACGCGTCACCTATCGTGTTAACAAAAAGAAAACCGGGGAATTAAGAATGTGCGTAGACTTTAGGATTTTTCCATATAAAAATGCACGAAGAATCAATTAAATATACCTCGTTCGTTACGCCGTTCGGGCAATACGAATACTTGAGAATGCCCTTCGGGTTAAAGGGCGGCCCCCTTAAATTCCAGCGGTATATTTCACAGGTTTTCAAAGAACAGATTGACGCTGGCGATATTTCGGTTTACCTAGATGACTCTCATTGCGACAGAGACCATTGAGCATCATCTTAAGATATTATGAAAAGTTTTCGAGTTACTTGTAGCAAATCAATTAGAGCTACGATTAGATAAATGCAGGTTTTTGTAGAAAAAACTAGATTATCTAGGCTACACCATTACCAATACAGGTATCCGGCCGACGGATTGAGGTCTAGATGCGGTGAAAAATTTCCCTATGCCGCGAAACAAGCGAGACGTGCAGTTTTCTAGGCTTATGCTCCTACTTTCGAAAATTTGTAGAGAATTTTTCTATTATAGCTAAACCATTGTACGACGCTACTAGAAAAAATACTGATTTTCAATTCGGAGACGGAGAATCGAGCGTTTCAGACGTTGAAAGACCGTTTAATAAACGCGCTTATTTTGAGTATTTATTCTCCACAGAGCGAGACCGAATTACATTGCGACGCGAGCGTTGTCGGTTTCGGCGCGATTTTACTACAAAGGAAATCGGATCGAAGATTACACCCGGTCTTTTATTTTCGAAGAGGACAACGGACGTCGAGTCGAGATATCATAGTTATGAATTGGAAACACTGGCGATAATCTATGCGCTCAGACAATTCCGTACTTATTTGCTGGGGATCAAGTTTAAAATTATCACCTACTGTCAAGCTCTGACTTTAACGCTGAATAAAAAGGAGACGAACCCGCACGCTGGGTACTAGTAATGCAGAATTTCGATTATACCTTAGAGCATAGAGCCGGTTCGCGTATGCTACACGTCGACGCATTAAGTTGTCAGATATTAGTCGAAGATAATTCATTTGATAAAAATCTTTTCCTGTCAAAGCGACGATCCGTTAATATCAAGCATCCGATCCGAATTAGAGCGTTCTGAAGGCAAACTTTTCAAAATAAGAAATAGATTAGTATACCGGAAGCAAAAAAAGAAGCGTTATTTTATGTGCCAGCGGCGCTAGAAGTTAATGTCATTCGTAAGTATCACAACGAGATGAGCCACGTCGGCTCCGAGAAAACCGTTCAGAATATATTAAATAATTATTGGTTACCGGAAATAAAATCAAAAGTTGAGAAACACAAAAAGTTGTTTAAAGTGTATCGCATTCAGGAAAGCCGGAAGGAACATTGCAGCATACCAAATGGCACCGTGTTCGCCACGCTGCACGTTGATCATTTGTCCCCCGCATCACGGTCTAAGTCTTCTAAAAAGCATTATATTCTCTTAGTCGTTGACGCGTTCACTAAGTATATAAAACTATGCTTGCAAGAGTACGAGCACTTCCGAGGTCATAAAAAATCTTCGATCTTACTTCAGACATTATAGTCGACCGTTGCGTATCGTATTGGACCGAGACAGCTGCTTTACGTCACGCGAATTCGAAGAATTCACAAACGATTACAATATTCAGCATATCAAAGTTGCCACTGCTTCCCCTCAAGCGAACAGTCAGGTCGAGAGATACAATCGTACGATCTTGCCTATGACAGCGAAACTAGCAGATGAAAGAAATACTCAGTGGTATAATGTGTTAGAGAATGTCGAGTTTGCTTGTAATATTTGCTTTTCAGCGTACGTCAGCGAGGAAATATGGTAGATGGATTATTAGATGCGTTAGAAGTGAGTGGAAATATCAATGTATCCCGTGATTTAGTCAAAACGCGCGAGCAAGCAGGCGAACGGATTCAGAAAAACCAAGAAGCGAACAAACGCGCTTTCAATCGGAGACATAAAGACCCTGAGAAATATGCAGTAGAGACAAAGTAATGATCCAAAATTTCGATTGTAAACCTGAGGCGTCACAAAAATTAATTCCACGCTATAAAGGACCCTATCAATAAGCCGTGTCTTAAGAAATGATCGTTATGTATTAACCAACGTTGAGAATCATCAGCTAACAAACACTCCCTATTGCGGCACATGAGAGGCAGCGAATATGCGACTGTGAAAACCGTGTTAATTTAATCCAGAATTAGTAACTATGCAAATTAAGACAAAAATGTACATGTATTCCTCTTTTGTTATTTCTACTTTTAAGTTCCATGTCAAACCTACGTTAAGATAAATAATATAATTGTATCCCTATTTATATTTGTAATTGTCTTTAAACTTACGTTTTCGAGCTTTAATCGGGACAATTAACTGTCAGGCTGGCCGAATTGTAACGGAATTGCGACCGCTCAAGTGAGATCTATATACAGTGTGGGTCATTTTAAAAAATACGATCAATTTTCTCGTAAACTAAGCAAAATATCGAAAAATGGTTCAGACATGTGTTGTATGGTTTCGAAGGAACTATAAGATGGTGCCATTGGTTTGACCTTGGATATTCAGTTGAAGGTCACGGAAAGGTCACCTTAATTTTTTAAAAGGGCACCCCCTATTTTTTATTACATATTTTTGTAGCTGACCTCGAGAGCTTTCCAAAACACTACAGTCAAATGTTTTTCCATTGCGTACTTTTCGAGTTATAAAGCTCTACAAGAAAGTACTATATTTTGATAAAAAAAATACAAAATATTCACTTTCCGATATTCTTATTTTACATGCTCCGACCAATCAAGGCAAAGTCCAAGCATGATCCAGCTAGTCAAGACAAGATACGAACACGATCCATCCAGGAAAAGCAAGATACGAACACGATCCATCCAGTAAAGGCAAGATACGAACACGATCCATCCAGTAAAGGCAAGATACAAACACGATCCAGCCAGTCAAGGCAAGATACGAACACGGATCCAGCCAGTCAAAGTAAGATCCGGACACGATCCAGCCAGTCAAGGCAAAATACGAACACGATTCATCCAGTAAAGGCAAGATCCGGACACGATCCAGCCAGTCAAGGCAAGATCGTTGATGGTTCTGTCAACTAAAGTAAGATCAAGAAGAACAGTCCTGAGCTCAGCCTAGTCGAGTAAAGATTGCGTCCCGGTGTACCCTCGGCCCAAATAAAGAAGATATACTTATGTTTTACGTTTACCTTGTAATTAAGTTTCCCTTTCCCTTCTTCCCATAATTAACCTTACAAATTCGATGTATGTTTGTGTGTGATAAATTTAATAGAATATAATTGTGCTTCGCCTTGTAATATAATCAACTGACAACTTATTAACATAAAAAAAACCAACAAGATTAACATACCTTGTTATGTAACGATGCGATACTGCCAAGAGATAGTGGAGTATGTGAACGCAAGTGTATCGATTCGGAATCAATCTGATCCACTGGAGTGCGCGGCAAAGATGGTGGTGTGGCAGTTGGCCTTGGTGGTGCGGGACCTCTTCGTGACGTTGTCGAACCTATGTAATAATTTGATTAAATTTAATAAAAATGAATAATATATTCTCTACGCAAACACACTTTTATTTATATTTTTACTTTTCTCTCTTTTTTCTCCACTTATAATAAAACAATTGTCTATTTATATTTTAAAAAAATATATATTTTTTTTTCTTTTAAATGGAAAGTCAATACACTATCTACAAATAAAGTCGTAATGTAAACAAAAAAATATTAATAAATAACATTATAAATAAATTATATATAATAATACATTAATATATATTAATAATAGTTAATAATTTTATTGTCGCTAGTAAATTAATAAATCAAGGTATTTTTGTAATTCGACCAATACTAGCTATAAATTCGTTATTTCTTGCAACGTTTCGACCATCAGATTTTGGTCCTTTTCAAGTAAAGGTTACAATGTAATATAATTAAAGTGGAACGATCCTCTATTCTTTAGATTTTCCACCGGAATTAAACACCTTTGTTACAAAAATACCTTGATTTATTAATATATATTATAATAATTATAAATATATTGTATAATATTATAAATAAAAGATTTAGTCAGTATATTTTGTGTATACTATCATTATTATGATAAATATAATTTAAAAGTATCTGATGTATATCAGAAATATTTTTAAAGTGTCTGAGTACCTGTATCTATTATATTTAATTTATATTTAATTTCAACAAATATATATGTTGTATTTATTTGGTGAGCCGAATTATATATTCTTAATATTGTTATATTTAATTTGTGTATTTGTATCTCTATCCAGATACATTTTTTCATGTGTATCTATATTTCTGTATCAAGCTATATTTTGAATGTATTTTACCCATCACTCATAGCTACATATATTATACAGCTATACGATACTTTGTATTGTATAAATACAAGTGCTTTGTATAAATTTACCATTGTGTGGCGAATACCCAGAATTTCTCGACATATGCGAGCTTAGGCGACGTGCATCGGAAGGGGGATGCCTAGGAGGCAGTGGTTTGTTTGGTGTTTGAAGCGTAGAGTCATATAGCTGCAAAAAAAATCGAATGGAGAAAAAGCTTGATAGATATATATGTTTATATATTTTAGTTTTAAAATTAAAATAACTTTGTCATCTCTTATTTATTGAACAAGCACAGCAATTTTCATTTTTTTTACTTACTCTTTGCTGACTGCTGTGTAGATGAGAACTACTATGATGGCTCATATGTTGTTGATCAGCAGTTTCAAGTGTCGTGGGTAAATCCAATAGACGCTGTATCTGTAATTTAAAAAATATAATTATAAATAAATAAAATTATACATATCATATATATTATAAGATAAAATTATATATATATTTAATATATAAATATAATATTAGTATATAATTATATATTTATATACAAATAAAATATTAATATATGTATAATTACATAATTATATTTCAATATATTATTACATAAATAAAATTATATAATTATGAAATAATATATATATATATATATATATATATATATATAATTATATATAGTTTTAATAATATTCGACTATATAAAATAAACATCCTGTATATGTATATACATATAAACACATGAGAATAAGATTGATAAATATCGATATAAAGCGACCAGAATAGCCTGGGAGCTTCTAAAATATTTAGCCTACATATTGTATATAATATAGAGTAATAGCAGCATTGGTTAAACTTTTATCCACCTGTATCCCATTTCCTGGACCCATATGGCTGATATGATTGAAATTTGTGGGTGCAGAAATCATTTTCGAGCGTCTATCCGTAGGGCGAACGGTTCTATTGCCTTCTCTCAGTGAAAATCGTCGTCGTGGTCTTGTCATTTGTCTACCACTCGTGTCTAATGGTATCAAATTTAATAGGTCTCCTAATAACACAATATATAATATTCGCGTTAAACAATAATCAGTTCAATAATTACAAAGATGTAAAATAAACTATAAATGTAATAATTATTAAATAATTGAATGTAATAAACAATTTTGCATGTATGTTTTAGATAGAGAATATATACTTACGCTGACGTAAATTGCTAAGATAAATGACATACGGCATGTCATTTATTACGCAAGACGTAAGAGAGCCCGAAATATTTAGTGGCCGGGCTCGTTTCACATTAAGCGTCTGTAACCAGTCTCCAGATGTACAGTCAAATAAATCGATATGAGTCTCGCTATACACTAATAAATATCCTTCGCAATAGCCTGAAATTCGTGAGAAAAAATTAATCAACCAAAATGACGAGAAAGAAAGATAAATTATATTAATATTATTTTATATATTATATATATATTAATATCATATATGATATATTAATATTATATATTAATATTATTTTTATATATTAATTATATATTATTATATTACATATTAATATTATTAATATATGATGTCCCATTGAATCAGCCAGATAATAAATATCTCAAAAAGTATAAGATGCGGAAAAACAAGATGTTTCAAACTAAAGTTGGTTAGTTCGAAGAGGAGGGACATAAGATGCCATTAGTATGTGACCTTGGATAGTCGTTTGAAGGTCACACGAAGGTCGACTTTTAATTGCTTAAAATAAAATCCTCTATTTTTCAATACATATTCTTGTAGCTTCTTTTAAGAGCTTTTCAAATTTTTCTCTTTTATATTTTTTTGAGATGTTTGCCTGGCTCATTTAAAATGGGACACCCTGTATAATATATAGTATTGATATTATAGATATCATTGATCATAGATACTTACTAACTGCTGTAGGAACTGCAGGATACATTATCTCTCGGTCTCGACTTTTTCTTCCCTGACTGTCGACATAAACCGCTAATGTATGGAAGACTAATAAAAATTCACCGCGTGCTAATTCGATGCAACGTAACGCATCTACGGCGCTGTAGGTGAGAAAACCTAAGAGCGTATTCTCAGCGTGGATCAAAGCTGGAAAGAAGTAAGAATTCGATGAAGATGATATAAAGACACTTATAAAATAAGAATAAATTTAAAGCTCCTGGATTCTCGCCGCAACTATGTTAGATTATGACGTCGCAAAGATCTGATATCACGATCATTTTATGGTTTTGTCAATAGAAAAGAATTAGTTTCGAGGTACGTTAGGAGTGTGCTAAATATCTTTCCATTTAAAAATAGCATTTAAGAATTTTCAGCGTGTGCGTTTTTTAGCCTCTGACATCACAATCTAACATAACGGCAAGGAGCCAGGAGCCTTAATAAGGAAAAAAAATATTTTGCCTTATACGCTACTTACAAATAGGATGATGATCTCCTAAGATGCTGTAAATAGAAAAACCAGATGGATAGCCAACGCACAAGCGGCCTTCGGAAAGAACTTGCAGGGTTTGCGCATGACACGGTAACATTAATTCGCGTATACGTTTGTGTCTCGTTTTTGTACGTGTTATTTCGTAGATAATGATTTGAGACGCATTCTACAACAGGAATAATTAATAATATATAATAATCTATATAATTAATTATACAATAATTAATAATGTATAACAATTAATTATATAATAATTAATAATATATATTAATTATATAATAATTATATAATAATTAATAATAATAATAATAATAAATTGTATAATACATTTATTATTATAAAATTGCTCATCTAGCTGCTGATTTAATTTATTAGATAATTGATAAAAATATTACAGTCTTACCTGCTTTTTTATTGCAACGCATAAGCAATAATTAAGCGGATTACGACGCACCACTCCGGTGGTTAATGTAATGCATCCTTTAGTTTCCGCGACTTTGATCCATTCAACTTCGTCTCCATCCAAGGCACGTACTGGAACCAGCCGTACATGACGTTGCTTTCCGCTTAATACAACAATCAATTGTTCTTCAGTAACATACTCCAGAAGATATATCTTCTTTCCTTCACCGACTCTTGCAATTTCTGCAAATGTAACATAAAATAATACAATTGTTTATATAATGTCTGCTATTTATAAATCACTACGTATTTGTAAATTTCAAAAATATAATTATTGGAAATTATAATTTTTCATAGCAAAGATCTGCAATGCAAAGTATCTCTGACTTACCATTACGATCTAAATCTAAACAGAAGAGACCTTCTTCTGTACCAATGACTAGACGATCCGGATCAATAATTGCTCCTGACATCACATTTTTAATGAATGCCAAGGTATTGTCCAATAGTTCTTTCGCTCTAAAAATCTACAATAAAAATAGAATTATATTCATTAATATATTTGCAAAAAAATGATATAAAAAAATTCTCTCGGTAATGACAGGTGAAGATGTAAAGAAGAAATGAGAAGAAATAAAGGAGATCTGATAATATAAAGAAGAGATAAAACAAATAAAATAGATGGCAGCAGAGTTATTTAAATTCCCAATTACATATGTAATTATGTAAATATACCGTTGTGTTTGGAAGATTATTCCTCTTTAAAATCCTATGAAGCTCACTTAAAGCTACTACCCATTTTGTCTTCTCGCTCTCTGTATCTGCCAACATTAATGTATGATTTCTCAATCCAGGAGGCTCCAACAGCGACGTCGTTATCTAAATCAAAGTAAAAATTATTCACTCCAACATTAAAATACAATAAAGTGCTAAGTAAAGAATACAATACAAAAAAAGCTTCGAATTATATCTAATTAGAAAACAATTATCGTGTAAAATGGAGGCAATTAGACCTCAAAGTATCACAGTCGAGTAATATTAAGAGATAAGATTAATGCAAATTAATTGGGCTTGAAAAAGAAGATAAAAAGAACAATCTACTGTATTTTAGTTACAATTGCAATATCATGGAATAACATTTTACCCTAAATATACACGGGATATCCTTCTTCGTAGCGTGTATCACGTCAGAATCACGAACTGAGCTCACGCTGAATTCTTCGTCTCGCATATCCAATACTTGCGAAACATATACAGACGGCAAAGCATTGCGATCCGGTGAAATATCATAGAGAAATAATTTAAAGTCGCAAACTACGACGAATTGACGCACCCAACCCTTCTTGACACCACCCATTTTTGGCACTTTGACATATCCCTCGTACGCAGTACCTATCCCTCTTGTAGGATCGATCCCCAATGGTCGTTTAGCTGAAACAGATGCGTCATAAATTGTGAAACAAAATCTAACAACTTCTTAAGCTTCTTAAAATTTAGCTTTTTAACAAGAATGTGTTATGCAGCTTAAGGGAAAAAAATAAATTAATATAAATGCCATGTAAAACTGGATGTATATTTTAAATTAAACTTCAAAATATATTAATCATAACACAAACTATTGTATAATATTACTTACTTTGATCATGGGGTACAGGACACATTGGGGGTACTTTGTCGCAACAAGGCATATGGCATGCGAAGCCACATACTTCACACACAACTCCTTGCCTGGTTAATCCAACCATTAAGGATGTACAATGATTGCACTTGGTGGGTGCCGAGAATGTTCGTACGAGAAACTGGTGTGACTTAGGCTTTGGTTGCAGATTAGTTTGACCGTGAGTCGATGAAGTCTTGTTCAAAAGTTCGTGAGACAATGGCGATGTTGGATCCTAGAAAAGAAAGAACTAAATTACACATGGATTCAGATAAGACTGCTACCTCCTCCACCGTTGGATTATGCTAAGAGCAATTAAATTTTATTTTTTCTTCACAAGGTCATTTCAAGGTCAATGGAGGAATTCTCGAAAGAAAAATGTTTCAGACAAAAGCTTCTCATTTTCCACGATGATTATGATATTATTGATCGACTTATTTGTAATTTCTTTTTTAATTTTCAAAGATACTTACGATGCTAAGCTCGGACAAATTGCTTTTGCTGCTCGTAATACTGGGTGCACGATTGTCCTCAATGTCACCTTCAACACTGTCAACACTTCCATGACGCGTAGTGCTTGTTGTCTCTTTAAGAAAGTGTTCAAGATACGACATCTGTGATGTAGGACGTTCTAGAACTGAGATGAAAAAAAGACAAAGATTGAATAAATAACATATTAATATAGCGATACGGTGCTTACATTAATTTTACATAATTACAAATATTTGTAAAAACTTGTAAAACATTTGCGAAAACAGGTTTAAGAGAAATTAATACTGTCACATCCTAGTATTAAAAAATTCGACATCTAATATTAAATGTTTATAAACATTTTGCCTGGAAACATGATAAAATTCTATTTAGCACAATTTTTATGCAATTCATACATGCTTCTTTGCTAAAAAGAGAATAAAAGTAGTAATTTCCTGGCATCTTAGTCAGAATTAAATAGTATTGCATAAAAAATAGTAATATTCCATTTTTTAAGTAAATAATAGTGTAAATACGTATCATTAAAAATAGCAGTATAAATAGTATTACACAAAAGTAGTAATATAATAGTATACTATACTATTTTTAAAATAGTAGTCCCTTTATATACTATTTTTAATGATAGTACTTAGTACTAAATTTTTGTATTACTAGTATTTTTAATAGTAGCATAAAATAAAAAAAGAAAACATAGTTATGTACAATTTTTTATGTAATACTATTAAAAATAATGTTACTATTAAAATGTAGTAATACTAAAAATAATAATATAAAGGGACTACTATTTTAAAAATAGTAGTATAATATACTAATAGTATTTTTTATGTATATATACTACTTTTCAAGTAATAGTAGTATTATACATAAAAATATTAAGCATGCTTTATTACAATATAATTACAGTAAAAAATGTAGTAGATTGCACTAACAAAAGTAGCTTAGGAAAATTACAAGTTTTTTTAGCTATTAGTACACAAAGCATATAATTCATGCAACACACGTTTATTAATAGTTAATTGAAAAAAGCAAATATATATATTATATTTTATAGAGAGATAATTAAAAACTAATTATATCATTAAGGAACAATATTTACAAAACCTGCCAACACTATCATAACTTAAACAGAAACTGACATTGGGCGTACACAATAATCGTCTTTATATTATTATAGGTGTTAAAGATAGCACAGTGCTATGTGGTTGGCTGGAAAAAAATGGACTGATAAAGCGAAGATGAGAAACTGTACGAATTTCTTTTTTTTTAGAATTCTCCAATATAGAGAAAAAAATTACGAGATATAATAAGATATACAAGATGTTTACGAAATACTTGGACAAATTCAAATAAAGCGTATTCCTCGTGTCAGAATAAAGAAAAAATTTATATATCTGCATAATAAAAAATTAAGTTATAGTCAAACAAATGTTTATGTTACGTTATTATTATTAAATAATAATTTCTTTCGAATCAAGCGAGTTATAGGATTTCGAGAGAGAAAGAAATTGAGTTTTTTTTCCTAAAGATTAATTATCCAGATCATTTAAAGATCATTTATATTTTTTAAATGGAACTACTATAACATTTTATATATAAATCGATTTCTCATAATATTCACTATAAAAAATTAATAAGGATAAAATGATCAAAAAGATTTGTAAGAGTTATTTGTAAAAAAAAGTATGTACTTTACAAACAATTATGTATTTTCTTTGAACCAATTAATTTCTCTCATTATTTTATGCATAAAAATTATTAAAGATCATCAGAAAATAAATATTGTATAGTTTATGTACAATTGTTAAATTTAAATATTAAATATCTCGTAAACTGTAAACCATTCACTTTTTAGCCATCTTACCTTATATCTTTTTATGCCCAAAATTGCAAGGAATCAATTTATAAAAAAAATTGTTGTGGTTCTACTTTTAAAAAAAAGTCCTTCAAATGACCTTCAAAACTGTTTTTAGGAAAAAGACAATAGCATCAACTTCTTTCAAATTCTATAACTTTTGTTTAAAATCTCAAGTGGCAAACTGACGTCATTAGACATCAAAATGACGTTATTTTGACGTTTAATGACGTCATTGGACGTCAGAATGACGTACGCTTGCTACCTAGGCTCTTTTTTTATAAGAAACAATTAATTTCAAATTAGTTGAAAAACAATATTATTACCCAAGTAGCAAACTGACGTCATTAAACGTCAAAGTAACGTCATTAAACATCAAAATAATGTCATTTTGACGTCGAATGACATCATTAGACGTTAAAATGACATATGCTTGCTACCTGGGACAGTTTTCCCAGAAATGCATTGTTTGAGAGATATCCCAAGAGCAAACTGACGTCATTAAACGTCAAAATGACATCATTCGATGTCAAAATGACGTATGATAAAAAAAGAAAGCTTATATATACAGGGTGTTCCATTTTAAAAGATCCAAACAAATCTAGGTAGTGACGTCGAATAATTAGACATTAAATGACGTCATTAAACGTCAAATGACGTCATTAGATGTCAAATGTCGTCATTAGACGTCAAATGATATCATTAATAAAAAGAAAGCTTATATATACATGGTGTTCCATTTTAAAAGTTCCAAAAGTAGCAAACATACTTCATTTTGACGTCAAATGACGTCATTAGACGTCAAAATGACATATATTTGCTACGTGGGATTTGTACGGATCTTCTAAAACAAAACACCCTGTATATATAAAGCTTTATTCCTTATTCTGACGTGAGAAATATCCATCCTAGAAGTTTGTCCAAATGTTTCGTAAATATCCTGCAAATAAGATAAATGTATAAAAAAGATACATAGCATAGCCCTGCGCTGTATAATTAGCAATAAGAAAAAAACTATCCAAAATCCAAAATCGCTTTCTTTTTTTGCTGCCACATCAATTACCGGGTGGCGAAACGATGGCGGTGGCCTGATTCTGATTGATGAACGTGTTGACTGGAACGAATCTAGTTAATAAGCGACAATTCGTGATGCGGGGGGCGCGCATAACTGGTAAGGGTGACGACGGCTGGTGTACGATGATACGTTGGGGTTTGGTGCTAACGATGTTCGGAGATTTTCTTGAGGTAACGCTGGGAGACGAGACAGCTGTCACAAATACAGTTTGAAGATGAGCAATAAGAGGCCCCACACGCAGCTCGTTACGCCAATAAACAGAGGCACTTTGTAGTCTAGAAATCAGAATTCAGCACACCGTACTGGAGAATCGAATTACTATGCTATCGTAGATCCCAGATAATTCGATCTCTTTTTAATTTCATCAAATGTGAACGAGAGTGTTGAAATTTTTGAAGATTTCGGCAAATTTGATTTTTTAGCTATGTGAATCTGGCACCCGACTTTTAAAAAATTAATTTTTTTACAGAAAATGATAGCATTTTGATTGTAATTGTTTGTAGTAAAAACAATTTCGTTTGTAGTTTTATCAATTTAAAAGAAAAATTTTTAATGACTCGCACCCGACATTGAGATATTGCAAAAATCCGCTAGCGCAATCTTCTTTAGAATCATTTGTAGTGGTTTTCGTTTCATTTGTAGTTAAATTGTTTAAAAGTTATAAACAATTGTTTATACTGGTAAAAACTAACTTTGTCAATTTTGAAGATATCGCAAACCCGCTTGCAGTCTTCTTTTGAATCTATAGTTTTTTGTAGTGATTTTCGTTTCGTTTGTAGTTAAATTGTTTAAAAGTTATAAACAATTGTTTATACGCGTTTTAAGCAATTCAATTACAAACGATAGGAAAATTACTACAAATCACTACAAACGATTCTAAAGAAGACTGCGCTAGTGGATTTGCAATATCTCAATGTCGGGTGCGAGTCACTAAAAAAAAAATTTTTTTAATTTATAAAACTACAAACAACATTGGTTTTATTACAAACTACAATCAAAATGCTATCATTTTTCAGTAAAAAAAATTAATTTTTAAAAGTCAGTCGGGTGCCAGGTTCACATAGTCTGATTTTCTTCTTTGTTTTTATAATCTAGAATCTAGAATCTAAAGAAATGTATGTAAACTCTTCTCTTCAAACATATCGCACTCTAAATATATTATACAAAATTAAATATAAAATTATGTCAAATAAAAATATAAAATATCTCGTAAACTATTCACTTTTTGATCATCCTATCCTTAAAACTTCCTATGCAGAATATTGTGAGGAATCGATTTAGAAGAAAAAAAAGATTGACCTTGACCTCACCTTGAGTAGACATTACAAAGTCATACCAAGATCACCATTGTACGTTCCTTCTTTATAACTTTCATTCGAAAAGTCTTTATAAAATTGCATATATTGCAAGTATTTGCTTGTTAAGATTAAAATAAATCATCCCCCTTTAATTTTCCAATCTCATCGTATTTTCAATCTTACTCATATTAAGTAATACTTAAATAATACTTTTTAGATATAATACATAGATCAGAAAGTATTCGGTAATTCGGAATTTCTTTCCTACAACAGACGATTAACAATTGGGGGCCAATTTCTTCGTTTGTTTAAGTATAATTAAAATTAAATGTCATTAGAGCGTGTGAGCAATCATCATAAATTAATAAATTAACAAATAATATTGCATATAAACAACTATTTAATACAATCTGCCTAATAAGAGCGTAAATATCCGGTAAAGGCGCAACATCCTTTTTTAGGGTTGCTTTTCGAACCATGAATTTAAAATTTTATTTTTATTTTTAGAAAGAATGTAATTAGAAAAATAGTTTTAAAAAGCAAAAGTCAGGACTGGATCCTTCAATGCATTTTGTGAGGTACCAAAATTTACCTTAAAACTTCTAGTCTTCAATGTAATTTTTATTAATAATTATTTTTCATAAATAAAAATTTGAAGATTATGTCACACTCTTATTAAACAGATTATATTTCCAAAAACTACATTGGCTCGAAGATACGCATGCAAAAGCCGTCACCGAAAATACAAGTATAATTATATAGAAATCTCCGTAAGATTAAAATATCCTGAACAAAAATGTGTATAAAAAAAATGTATGCGCATATGTAAGATTTAAAAAAAAAAATGTTTATGAATATATACAAGTATATGCAAAATGGAATCTATAATATATGTACAATATCTTTTATAAATTGAAGTGAAAATATTTATAGTTTATATAGATATAAACTAGCAAAATTAATACAAAAAATGATATTGGTATTTATAAGACACCTTGTATATACACATAAACACACACAAGATGAATCACTAAATTCTCAAGCCTCAATAAATTCTAAAACATGAATTTTATAAACAAATATTTCAGATGAAAATTATTTGGTTTTGAAAAGATTTTCTGCAAATTCTTGCAATTCACTCTTACAATTTTATTTATTTTTTTTAATAAAGTAATAAAAATTCTTTTTTCTTATATGAATAGATTCTCCTCGTCATTTTACGTTAAAAAAATTTTAAGTCAAATTATAAAAATTATTAATTTACTAAAGATATTTCACATAATTTTTCGATAAATGTTATGTAAAAGTATTCACTTTTTAATATAACTTTAATGATTTTACAATACTAATAATATTAATAAAAAGTGAGATTTAAAAATGCTTTAGCTTGAAATCAAAACTGTACTGATACAAAATATTTTTCCTCGCAAAATGAAAACTATATATATATATATATATATATATATATATATATATATATATATATACTGTTATTTAAAACATTTCTTTATAAAAAAAAACATATTTTAGATTTTACTGAAGGCTAGTAAATATTAGTAATTTACACCATATTTTATGTATGTGTGGCTCATGCATATATATGCAAATAACATCTTTATAGGAAATAAAATCAGAATTTAAGACACGTTCGATGCTTGAATAAAGATTAACGCATCCACAAATTAAGTGCACATCACGTACGACTGTAATTTGAATAATGACTATAAATACAATATTCTCATAGCGATATAATGAATAAAGTTTTGTGCATTTCTTATATTTCATCACATGGTCAAATGAAAAATGTACTTACAACCATCTCCGGTATCGAGACGCGCTTGCAATTCTTTTACTTGCATATCTTTTCGCTTCAATTCATGCGACATGGTATCCAACCGCTGCTTCAGGTCCTTTAGTTCCCTAAAAAAAGGGAAAAAAAGAAAATGAAGATGTGTCCAATTTGTCATCGATTTTGATATACAAGTTATCAATGAAAAATTAAATTTACTTTTGCGCGGCAATCAAATCTGATCGAGTCTTTGTGAGCTCCTCCGAAATCGCTTGCTTCGCTTGTATTTCGCTCTGCAAGGAACTCTGCAGATTCAAAAGTTCCATTTTATCGAGCTTTTGCGACCGGCGATTTCTCCAATTTTTATCGGTCAAAGTGGTTCCACTTCCGACACTGCCGCTTATTCCACCCGAGTGTTTCAAGAATTCCAATTCTTCCGTCATTTTTGTGGCTAAAGCCTAAAATTGAAACAAATTTCCTTTTAATACATGACCTAATAAAAATCCTTGTCTGTTTTTTTTCTCTCTTTCTATCTTCTTCTCTATATTTATAATTCTTGTACTTGTTATTAATTAAGATATAATATTTAAAAAGATAATTAAATTACACAGAATGGTTTATTTTAATTAATATCAAATTAATTAATAAAGTTAAATATAGATGTAACAAGAAAATATTTTTTTAAAAAAAGGTAAAAAGGTTTCGAGGAAAAAAACTTAATTTGAATTTTGATTAAGGTTTTTAAGGTCATCTGAAGATCAACTTAATTTTTTATTTTTTATGAGTTTTATGTAAAAATCATCTGAACCTAATTTTTTAATGAATTTTATCAATATTTTTATGTATAAATTAATGAGAGAAATCACTTGGTGTAAAGAAAACACATTGTTTTCAAGAAAAAGTATGTAAACTGCAACTGCATACTTTTTCTTACAAACAATTATGTGTTTCTTATATACCAATTAATTTCTTTCATTATTCCACGCCTAAAAGTACTTAGATAAGATCGTCAAAAAATGAATATTTTATTAGATATTTCATAGATTATGCAAAATTTTGTCAAATTTAACTATAAAATATCTCGTAAACTATTAATTTTTAGCCATCTTACCTTTATAACTTTTTATATCGAAAATGATGAGAAATCGATTTATAAAAAAAAATTGATTCAATTTAAAAAACATAAATGACCTTGAAAAGCGCCCTTTAATGAAATCAATAGCGCCATCTTCTGTCTCTCTTGAAATCAAACAATTTTTGTTGTACAATGTGAAAAATTTAAGAGTGAATGATTAAAATAAAACATCCTGTATAATATTTTCTTGTTACAGCTATATTCGGCAATATTTGACTACATATAATTAAATTAAAAATGAAAAATCATATACAAACCTGTAAGTATCCACGAGCATCCTTTTCATCCGACACCCATTGTATAATTTCGGTAATTTGAGCTTCCCACTGCGCGATAGCTTCCTTCTTATTCCTCAGCTCCTCATATTCGTCCTCCAGTTGTCTTCTCTCGCCTTGCAATCTATTAACACTATCGGTGAGAGCGCTGAGCTCCAGCACAAGCTTCTTATTCTCTTCGACTAGCATAATCTTCTCCCTTTCGTGCCGTCTGTTCAGTTCGCTTATAGTCTCCTCGCTATCCGTGATATTTTCCAATCTCGCGGCGTCCAGCTTCTCCTTCGTGAGCTGCACCTCCCTCTCCAGTAGCTCCCTTCTGGTCTCCGCCTCGTGCAACTGCTCCTGCAGACTCCGCAACTCGAGATTGAACCTGCCCTGTTGCTGGGTGAGATTTTCATTGTACTGAACCTCAAGTTTCTCGACCTCCGCCTTCAACCTGTTAATCTCCTGGGTTGCCAAAGCGTGATTCGCGCTGACGTCGTTCCCGAGGGAACGCTGTCTGATCTTCTCAGTCTCCTCCTGCATCTGCTTGCAGTATTCCTCGCTGCGCTCGCGTAATTTCCTCTCCTTGCTGGTCTCCGCCATCGCCTCGTCGATCCTGTTCTCCAATTCCCGCCGTAGCTTCTCCGCCTTACGTATATCGTGGCGCAGAGTGTCAACCTTTGCATCGCGACCTCCAATTCCTCCTCCTTGTCTCGGACCTGCCGCGACATCTTCTGCTTCTGCTGCCTAAGCTCGGACAGCTTGTCCGAAACCTCGGTGTACTCCGCCATCGCAAGTTTACGTTGCGTAAGCGCGTCCTTTAGTTCCTTCTCCTGCAGCTTCAGCTTCTCCTGCGCGTCTTGCTTGTCCTTGATGATCTCCTCCTTCTCCGAGCGTAGACATCGTACCAGCTTCTCCAATTCACGAAACTTCATCATGTCGCCGTTATCCAAGGTTCGTAATTCGCGTGGAACGTCCATAGACTTCAACTGAGATTCTAATTCTGTAATAGAACAGAAGATTCTTGCGTCAGTGCATCGCGATTGGGACGAATAGGCGAAAAATATTATTCTATTTTAGAAATAAATTATTTATATTAATTATTACATACAGAGTGTCCAATTTTAATCAACCAACCCCAAAAACTTTCTGGTCTTTGATTATATAACAAAATTTCAAAATTCCAAAAAAAAATATAAATGATCAAGTGACCTTGAAAAGCTCTTCAAAACTCTGTCCTGACTAAAAAATAAGTTTTTGCCAAAAATGCAAGAAATCGAGTTATATAAAAAAAAGTATAGTTCTATTTAAAAAAAAAATAAATTAATGACCTTCAAATAACTTTAAAAAACTTCAGAAAAAAGTTAGTGGCGCCATTTTCTATCCTTCAAATCAAACAACCACTAACTTTTTCTGAAGAGCTTTTCAAGGTCATTTGAAGATCATTTATTATTTTCTTTTTAAATAGAACTACTATAATTTTTTTATATAACTCGATTTCTTGCAATTTTTGGCAAAACATTATTTTTTGGTTATCTTACTCTTATAACTTTTTATGTTAAAATTATGTGAAATCTATTTATATAAAAAAATTATAGTAGTTTTATTTAAAAAAGACAAGTGACCTTCAAATGACCTTGGAAACTATCCTTAAATAAAAGTATGTAGCGTCATCTTCGGCGTTCAAAATAAAGAAAATAAAAAGTTTTTAGGGGTGTTCGATTAAAATTGGACAGTGTATATATATATATATTATATATATATATATATATATATATATATATATATATATATATATATATATATATGTATGTATGTATATATATATATATATATATAAATTAATACTTTACCACAATTGCGTTTTGTGAGCACATTTATCTCGTCCTGCAGCTTTCTAGTTGCGTTGTTGGAATCGGGCGAGATACCAGGCGAAGAGTGACTTATGCTCGACTGATTTTTCAAATCGTCGATAATTTGTATCAATCGTGCATTCTCTTCCTCAAGTATCTGCACGCGTTTATCCGTTTGGGACGAAGCAGAAATACAACCCAGATCCGATATGCAACTGTAATGTCAAATTCCAGCAAAATGAAAAATATATTTCCAATATATGTCAATTTTTACTAATTTTTTATAGTAAATATTGCGAAGAAACGATTTATAAAATATATATTTAAAAAAATTAAAGTGGGTCCATTTAAAAAACAAATGACCCTTTAAATGGCCTTGAAAATTGCCCTTTGAAAAAAAAGAAAAAACTGTAAAATATTTCTCACCTTCCTTGTGTAAAACTAAAACCAATAAATGGTAGATGAAGCGCGGAGAAAGCAGAATTGGCGGCTGGTGGAACGGCATCAGAAGTACGAACATCAGTATCGTCGACGTCGAAGTTTGACGTATCGCTGGGTGAAGAAACTTCAGGAATGTACGGCGCAGTGCTATCTCTGAGTGTGTCCCAATCGACTCCGTTGAACCAAGGATGTTTCTACATTTCAAAGTACACATGAGATATACATTTTAGAATTATATCATATAATAAAATGAGAAAAAACTCTAATGTACATAAATACAAAAATTTTAATTGTTGAATAAAATAGATGGTAAATAATGTAAAATATAAATATAAATAACAAAATTTACTTTAAAGTCCTCAATTCCATTTTGACCTAGTCTAAATTCAGAACTGCAAATCAATTTCCGCATCAAATCTTTGGCTTCTTCAGAAACGTCATATATAGGATCCGCAGGAAAATCAAAACAATTCTGTAAAAAAAAAAAACATTAAGTTTCTTCAATAAATAATTTAATTAAATGAAAAAATCGAGAATTCGAAAATCTTACCTTATGATTCATAATCTTTCCATAAGTTTCGACTAGGGATTCGGCATAAAAAGGTGTTTCACCATAAAGCATTTCGTACATACATACTCCAAGGGACCACCAATCACATTCAGGACCGTATTGCCCCTGGCCATCTTCCATTGCCTAAATAGATATACAAAATTATATACATACTAACATATATATATATATATATATATATATATATATATATATATATATATATATATATATATATATATATATATATACAGGGTAGGCCATTTTAATCTTTCCACTAAAATTTCTCAAAATCCAAAAATTTAAGACAAAAATGTTTCAGATAAAAGTTGTATGGTTTCAAGGGGGACATAAGATGGTGTCATTGATTTGACCTTGAATAGCCATTTGAAGGTTACGTAAAGGTCAACTTCAATTTCTTAAATGGAACACTATATTTTTTCTTGCATACTTTTGTAGCTGACTTCGAGATCTTTCCAAAACACTACAATAAAATATTTTTTCATGAAGTATTTTTCGAGTTATTAAGGCTGCAAATTTGCAGTATTTTGACATAAAATACAAAATATCTTGGGAAATATTCATTTTTCGATTATCATACCTTAATACTTTTATGCACAGAATAATGAGACGAATCAATTGGTGTAAAGAAAACACATAGTTGTCTTAAAGAAAAATTATCTAACTGCTTATTGCAATTTTCATATTTTTTTTAAAGGTAACTATGTGTTTTCTTTACATCAACTGATTTATCTCATTATTCTGTGCATAAAAGTATTAAGGTATGATAATCGAAAAATGAATATTTCCCAAGATATTTTGTATTTTATGTCAAAATACTGCAAATTTGCAGCCTTAATAACTCGAAAAATACTTCATGAAAAAATATTTTATTGTAGTGTTTTGGAAAGATCTCGAAGTCAGCTACAAAAGTATGCAAGAAAAAATATAGTGTTCCATTTAAGAAATTGAAGTTGACCTTCACGTAACCTTCAAATGGCTATTCAAGGTCAAATCAATGACACCATCTCATGTCCCCCTTGAAACCATACAACTTTTATCTGAAACATTTTTGTCTTAAATTTTTGGATTTTGAGAAATTTTAGTGGAAAGATTAAAATGGCCTACCCTGTATATATATATACATTTATAACAAAAATATAAAATGTTTATATATATTTTTTTATATTTTATTTATATATTATATGTATAAATTATTTTAATTATATAAATAAATATATATTTATATATTTAACCCCTTGAGTGTCAATGACCCGGACAAATCCGCCAAAATAAAACTGACCAAGAATGCTTCATGGCGGAAAAATCTGCATATTTCATAATGCCAATATATTACTTTTGCAGTGCAGCAATTGAACTGATAACGCATACTTTAATGTTTTTGAGGTCTTTTATATTTCTAAGTTTATGCATCCCTGGCACACAAGCGTTTTTCTTGCTTGACACTCAAGGGGTTAATATATTTCTAATATGTTATATATTTAATATTCCAAGTAACAAAATGACGTCAATCGGCGTAAAATGACGTACGCTTGTTATCTGGGATATTTCTTTAATATTATTTATAATTAAAAAATTAATAAATTATTAAAACTTAAAATTAATAAAATACTATAATAAAATATATGTATAATGTGGAAATATAATTTGAGAATTGTTAAACTACTGTAAAGATTTTATAATATAAAGCACAAAATAAATAGAAAATAAAATTACCCTCAGTATCTCTGGCGAAATATAGTCCGGAGTACCAACTGCGACGTTACTTTGTACCGTCCCATCCTCGAAGAGTCGTAAACAAGAGCCAAAATCAGCTAATCTGATATGACCGTTCGCGTCCAATAGAACGTTGTCGGGTTTAATGTCACGATGCACATAGCGCAAGTCATGTATAGAACCTATAGCTAGCACCATTTCTGCTATGTAGAATCGTGCCATGTCTTCGGGGAGACGATCCTCAAATTTGCTCAATAATGTCAATAAGTCCCCACCACAATAATAATCCATGACCAGATACTACATAAACATTATCGGATTAGTTGACACTTAAAAGATCATGAAAAATTATTCTGGTGTAGAAGATATATTTATCAATAAGAAAATCAATTATTACCAAGTTATTGTCATCTTGAAAGGCATAGTGCAGATTTGTTATCCATCTGCGGTCACCGTACACCAATACATCCCTTTCTTCTCTAAAGCATGCAGTTTCTGCACGCTTCAGCATCTCCCATTTGTTCAAAATTTTCATAGCAAATACTTTGTCCGAGCCGCACATCCTTACGACGCATACTTCTCCAAAGGCACCTCTGCCAATGACCTTAACAATTTCGAAGTCCTCCCGTGTCAATTGCAAATTCTTTATGCATGAAGTTATTGGTTTCGCTGTAAAAAGCCAATAAATTAGCATACATATTTGGTATTTATATAGACAATAATTAATTAATTAATTGAAATATATATTAAAATAATTAAAATAAAATAATTTAAATTAAATTAAATAATTTAAATTAATAAAATAATTTTAATTAATTGAAAATAATTTAAATTGAATAAAATAATTTAAATTAAATAAAATAACTTAAATTGATAAAATAATTTAAATTAATTGAAAATTAAAATAAGTTGTTACTTTATTTAATATCGAGAAACTTACCAAACTCAATAAAATCAGAAACAGTTTTTTCACGACGTAAGGAAGAATTGCAGCATTCATCGTACAACACAAATAAAACATCAATGAGTGTCTCGATCGAAAGAGTATGACCTACTCGTCCACCTTGAGAAGAAGCACCGATGAACAGGGCTTCGAGTTGACGTAATTTTCCTCCTATGCCTACATCTTTAAAAAATCAATCTCTCTTCTTTATAGATACAAATATCTATAATATTATATGTAATATTATAAAGATATAATAATGATTACCTATGTTCTGAAATCCTTTGGGCATAATATCAGGAGGATGACTGTAAAGATACTGCGACGAATCTGACATGTCTCTTTATTGATAAGGTTGTTTCTTACTATAATTTATAATGGACATTTCCATTGTCGTTAACCTCTGTTACCCCTTTACACCACATTTTTGTTCTCTGCGATAAATTCCTGTAATATATAATTTATTGCTACAACTACTAATTTTTGAACTGTATATAAATATAACTTAATACTAGTGCAACTACTTGAGTGAATTTAAAATGGATTATAAAATTTCTATTTATATAAAATAATGTATAAATATATATATTTATAAAATTGAAATTTTACAGTTGCTTTTTAGAGAAATTGTAAAATTAGTTAATTTTTTCTAGTCCAATTTTCTTTATTATAAAAAAATTTAAAAAGTAGGATAAAAAATTAATAAATAAATATAAATTAATATAAATAAAAAATAAAATTAATAAAAATAAATAAGTAATATAATAAATATAATAAATAAAAAAATAAAAAAAAGAATATATAAACAGTAGTCGATTAAAAAAAATAAAAGCATAATAAAAAAAAATAACTACACAAAATGCATTTTTTTTGTAAAATGTTCGATGTATCGCATCATTGATAACTTAAAGACGAATTCTGTTTACAACTATGACAATTTTGAATATTTAAAAAAAAGTAAATTATATTAAAATTTTTTATTTATAATAAAAAAAATTTTTTTTTATTATCAAACATCTCGCATCGATTTATCGATACAAAAAAATCGAGTTTTAATCATTTCGATAATTGCACAGGGATCATTCACATTACAAATTACGTAATTGCGACAACCAAAATATTTAGGGAAGAAACTATGCAACAGGAAAAGTACACGTAAATAAAGAGAGAAAAAGGTACGAATGGGATAAAAATAGTCTGTGACCGAGATAAATCGCATTCTGCGAATGGAATTTCGAGCGAAATCGTCGTCCTTCTCTTATTACGATGACATATCGCAATAATTCCTGTTAAAAGTAATTTTATCGAACATAGATACGAGACGTATATACATGTGTCACTACATAAAATATCATTACATCGTCCTAGATTTCGAGAGCTTCCATATAACCTCGTAATTAAAATCGTTCGCGCGAGAGATGAATTTCGCAAGTGTCAAAAAATTCTTCACCGCAAAAATGTTGAAAATTGTAAAAAAAAAAAGGAGACTTTTTTATTCCCCCCAGTCGCGAACTATTCCGAATAAAATTTCGCGATTAATAAAACGCGAGCATACCTGCTTCGATAAAGAGGAAGACGGAAAAAAAACAACAATGCACTCTCGTTTTTCTCCCACGAATTCTTTTTTCTCCCCCCTCAATTGTTTATTATTACACGCACTGCTCGATTATCACGAGATATCTTCCATAGCCACATCTCTCCGGACCTTTTTGTCTTCTCGAACCTCAACAATTTAATTGACCTCCTAACAGGCCCTATACAGGAAAAAATATGGCAGCTCTATGTCATTGAGTGTAGCTGACGATAGCTGTCGTAGAACGGCAACGCCGTCTCGATTTTCTGCCGCCCTTCGATTTTCTAGCGTCATGATTTTTCAGGAGCGTTCACATTGGTAACGTCGAGCGTCTGCGCAGATTGAACAAGGCTGGATTTACAATAGGTAATTTAAAGCGGGGTCTACAATGGCCTTAAGGGTCGAAAGGCGGCATGGTGGAGACGCCTATCGACCGGCCGGGAATTACGGAATCGTTCATCCCAGATATTAGCCAAAATACTTAATGAATCTTATTAAATTTACGATATTCTTAATCAGTAGAATTGTCCGCAGGGAGACAAAGATTGATTTTTTGGAAAAAAGATGAATATAAAATTCATAATATAACTTGGGGAGATGCGCAGCTAGCAGCGGGTAAGGTTGGGTTAACCACAAGATCGTATTTAATTTATTATAAATTCTTAAGAACAATAATGCAAAATTTGACTCTTTGTCTCCTTGCTTTATTATATAAAGAATATATTAAAAATATTTCACGAAGCTACGTAACTTCTTTTTATGTAATATTTGGGATGAACAAATCTCACTAGATCTATACTCATGGGGAAATTTTTATGGTAACATACTGACAGCTTGACAAGAAGAGAGTATCATTCTATCTTTGTCTCTCTTGCATTTGATATGTGTAAAATTAGTATAAATACAAAAACCAATATATTACGCACACGAATGAGAAATATTTTACATCTGCTCATTATATATGAAAATATAAAAGTAATGCAAATTAAATTTCACATTTATTTATAATAATATTGTGAGGTAGTAACACATGGAAATCTTATAAGATGAATGCTGTACATCGATTAGCGTAATGTTATGATTACAAGTCGCAATAAATGATTTTGCTAATATATTATTTTGAATAAAAATTTTATAAAAACAAATAAAAATGAAATGAATAAATTTTATTCATTCTTTGTTTTTTTATTATTTTCTATTATTTGAATAAAAGGCGTATCGTATGTAATAGTTAAATAATAATTTATATATATATGTATATATTGAAATTAATATATATATATATATATATATATATATATATATACGCACATATGTGCATAAGCATATATAAAATTTACAAAAAGTAGGTACTTATTAGCCTTGCTACGCTACTGCCTTCTGCTACGGAAGGCCAGAAAGCATTTTCAGGCGGCATCTCGCGTATACCGGCACGATAGAGGAACAAGAAGAACACGTGATTATCGGTCCTTGTCTCTCTACCGTGCGTCCGCGTGAGCAATGCAATGGTGTATGTACGTGTACAGACATGCACCACTACATAAAACCCGAGAATTGGTTTCTCGGCGTTGGCAACACTGAAATCGAAGTTTCGCGTTGTCACCGCGCGAGGTCTCCAACATCAATTCGGAGTTTGGCCGGCCGACCTGTCGACCCTTAATGAGTACGTTTACACGGCACCCTTAATCGGGTTTAATAACATCCGTGAAGAATTCCATTCTTCAGGGGAACGGCTGTGAATGGCCAGTCTTACAACCACGGATGTTATTAAACCCGATTAAGGATGCTGTGTAAACGTACTCATTAAGGCCAGAGTGTGCTCCCCGATATACTCTTATCACAGATTAATAGACAGATCGCCAAAGGTCTGGATGAAGGAGAGACCAGCATTTCTCACTGATTTCAGCGCCATATCGTAGTAGTGGTCAATGCAGTAACTATTAATACGTTCTCAAGATAAGAGCGTCTCATGCTCATGAACTCGTCCGGCGGCATGTACGAAATTTATCTTTTCGTAGCGTTCGCGTATTTCGGAAAGGACAGAATTTTATGATGTTATAAATAAATAAAATATTAACCTGACCTATTATAATTATTTTTTAATAAATGTTTCATTATTATTATCATCTAAGTCTAAGTCGTTTAATTAATTTTTAGTTTTTTAATAATTAATTTAATTTATTCTAATCATTTTAATATGTGAAAAATACTAATACATATACGTTTTATAATGAATTAATATATTTCGAGAGTCGAATTATATATTTTTAATAATATAAAAGTGTTCAAAAATTATATTTGACTTTTAATTTTAATTATTTTAGCAAAGAGTTCCGAAATCTCTTACACACATAATAGGGATTTTGTTCATCCATATAATTCGCAATTAAGTATATATGTTAATTATTAATTTCAATAAAATACAAAATTAAAATTAAAGGTCAAATATAATTTTTGAACATAAATATATTTAATTCGTTATAAAACGTATACCCGTAATAGTATTTTTCTCGTACAAAAATAACTAGAATAAATTAAATTACTCATAAAAAAATAAAAAAATAATTAAATAATTTATATTATATATGATAATAATAAAACATTTTATAAAAAAAACAGATTCAATAAATATAAGTATATATATAACATGTACTTATATTTATTGAATCTATTTTTTAATAAAATGTTTTATAAGCTTAGAAAACTTGACTTTGACGTAACTAGCAAATTTTATTTAATTATTTCACGACGGTTTGACGTAATAAAATGTTTTATTATTATTATATAAAATATAAGTTTAAATTCTTTAATTAATTTTTAATCTTTTATGATTAATTTAATTTACTCTAATTATTTTTGTACGAGAAAAATACTATCATGGGTATACGTTTTATAATTAATTTAATATATTTGTGTTTAAAAATTATATTTGACCTTTAATTTTAATTTTTATTTTATTAAAATTAATAATTAACATATATACTTAATTGCGAATTATATGGATGAAAAAAATCCCCATTATGTGTGTAAGAGATTTCGGAACTCTTTGCTAAAAAATAATTAAAATTAAAAGTCAAATATAATTTTTGAACACTTTTATATTATTAAGAATATATAATTCGGTTTGCCGAAATATATTAATTCATTATAAAACGTATACGTGATATTATTTTTCTCATATAAAAATGACTAGAATAAATTAAATTAATTATTAAAAAACTAAAAAGTAATTAAACGACTTAGACTTAGATGATAATAATAATGAAACATTTTATTAAAAAAAGATTCAATAACTAGTAGGTCAGGTTATAATTTTTTATTTATTTATTTATAACATTATGAGCTATTAAGCTCATCATCTTGTTCGCTCTCTGTCTTGCTTTCATTCGGCAAGTCACAAACGATATATGATACTCGTATGTTCCTACTTCAACTCTCGAGAATCTGAAACAAACGAAACTCGTGTCCAATATACAGGGTGTCCGGTAACTAACAGACCAATGATTACAAATGGATTCTTTGGTCAATTTGGGAACGATTTTTCCTCAGCGAAAATGTCGAAAAAGGTCATCATTTTTTACAACTTTCCAATCTTTGTCATTATGTATCTTTATAACTAAGCCTTAAATTAAAATTTTATTATAGTAAACTCTACCTGAAATTAACTGAAGAATGTAATTATGTTAGACTTTTAACTCCAAAACGTTTAGTTTTCAAAAAACCTATTTTTTTCAATCGCTTATAACTCGAAAATTATTGACTTCTCAACATTTTTGCTAAGGAAAAATCGTCTCCAAATTGGCCAGAGAATCCGCCCTTAATCATTGGTCCGTTAGTTACCGGACACCTTGTATATATTATATAAAAGTGTATAGCACGTCAGAAGCTTGTGAGCTTACAGCGATAAGTAAAAACAATTGCGTATTTATTTCATTGCGTTTATCTGTTTAAACGCGCGCTTTAATTTTTCCAACGTTTTTGCCTGTTTATATTTTAAAGGTCCTCTCTTCTAAAAATCTTGTTTTAAAGATCCTCTCCGCGAGCAAAATTCGAAAACATAAATTATTTAATATTTTTACTTTATTATTTGTAAATCCTCGGTAATTTCAAAATTTTTCTATTTGAAAATTATTAATTTTCTATTGCCAATTAATTTTATCACAGACTTTACTCTTACTCCCATTGCACTTTCGTTTGCGGTTTTCAGTATACGATTTTTTATCGTAGTTACTGAAAATTATTATTGTGAATTATACTTGTGCAGTGATTTGAAGAATTTACAATTTCGTTGAAATTGTTGATTTTTCAAAAAAATTACGAGATTCGCGGAAATTGCGTGCTTTCTTGGCATTTTCCGTTCGCGGCAGGCGGTTTATTTTTGATTGTTGCAAGTGTTTTTTTTTTTTTTTATTAAAATAGATAATAATAATGTGAAATAAATCACGATATTTGACAGATGTGCATATATATAGAAATTGTAATAATAATAATATTATATCATAAAATTGTAAATTGTTTCAATTTTTTATAGACTGCGATAAAAGATTTTACATTTGGATAAGAAACTGCGGTAAGTAAAAATATAAAATTCTTGAAAACGTACCAAAAATATTTGATAACGTAAAAAGGTGAACTTTGAAAAATAAGGAACTTAAAAATTGCACTAATAAATGGGCTATATGTGAGCCGTGCGCGGATGTAAGGTGTGTTATATCGAAATTTAATTAATAGAATTGAGAATTAATCCCAATTTTAAGTCTTACAAATGTCCAAGCTAATTTTTTGTACCTCGTGTACATTTTTGAAAGTTATATCGAAAAATTAAATTTCAATATGCGTCTTACATCTCACATTTCGCATACGGCTCACATATAGCCTATTTATCTCTTATACTTTATTTCAACCCTTATAGAAATTTATTACTAGTAACGCCAATTTATCACTTATTTCGAGTAATTAATCACTTTTATTTCGAATACTTAAATTACTGTATATTATAGTATTTTAAATACTCGAAATAAGTGATTAATTGGCGTAGTGATAAATTTCTACAAGAGAATAAGGAGCCTTTAAATTCTTAATGTAAAAAATTTCAAGTAATTTTCTTTAATAAAATTTAATTAAAAAATTTAATTAAAAAATTTTTGAACACTGTGTTAAATCACATTTAAAATCGTGATTATTTCAATAAAAAAACATTTTATGTGTAAAAAATATATTTTTTATATTTAATAAATTTTATATATATATATATATGCATATGTAAAATATTCTCTCTCTCTCTCTCTCTCTCTCTCTCTCTCTCTCACACACACACACAACGGGGGCCAAATCTCTCAAATTGGTCTCATGATCAATTAGCCTGGATTCGCACCAGGGGCAAAGTCTGTTGGTAATGTCAAACAAATTTAGCCTGGACTTGCACCAGGGGCAAAGTCTTTTGGTCGAGTCTACGAAATTTAGCACGGACTCGAACCAGGGGCAAAGTCTTTTGGTTCAAGTCTACGAAATTTAGCACGGACTCGAACCAGGGGCAAAGTGTGTCGGTAAGGGGCAAAGTCTATCGCACGAAGATGGCGGTCTCTTCTTTAGGCAGGCCTTTGGCGATCTGTCTATTAATCTGTGCTCTTATACTCTATACTCCTGCTGCTATTGAGTACGTTTACACGGCACCTTTAATCAAATTTAATAACATTCGTAGTTGTAAGACTGGCCAATCACAGCCGTTCCATTCTTCAGGGGAATGGCTGTAATTGGCCAGTTTTACAATTACGAATGTTATTAAACCCGATTAAGGGTGCCGTGTAAATGTACTCATTTGATGCTTTCCATTTAAGAACACAAGTCGACACAAGCGTAATTCTATCTTTGTTCTACATTCTATAAGAATAAAGATAGAATGATGCTTGTGTCGACTTGTGTTGCTAAATGAAAAGCATCAATTGTAGACCTCGCTTTAGAGTTACTACACCTATTGTAGACCCGGCCTTAATCAGTGTCCCAACCCTGGGGATTGATTGTGTAACTTTTTCTAAAGTAAAAACGTGAAAAGTGAAAAATTTCCACCAATCACGCATTGATTTTAAAATGAAATCGATGTGTGATTGAAAGAAATTTTTCACTTTTCACATTTTCACTTTAGAAAAAATTACACAATCGACCCCCTGGGTACTTGGTACTTATTACGGTTCTTTGGGTGAGTTTGCTCACGAGGTAAAAATCACAAAAGTGAGAGATTCACTAGGTTGTCTACGCTTCTTATGGTCAAAATCTAGTGAATCTCTCATTTTTGTGATTTTTATCTCGTGAGCAAACTCACCCAAATAACCGTAATAGGTACCCTTATTACGGTTCTTTGGGTGAGTTTGCTCACGAGGTGAAAATCACAAAAATGAGAGATTCACTAGGTTGTCTACGCTTCTATTGGTCAAAATCTAGTGAATCTCTCACTTTTGTGATTTTTACCTCGTGAGCAAACTCACCCAAAGAACCGTAATAAGTACCCTGGATACCTATTACGGTTCTTTGGGTGAGTTTGCTCACGAAGTAAAAATCACAAAAGTGAGAGATTCACTAGATTTCGACCAATAGGAGCGTAGAAAATCTAGTAAATCTCTCACTTTTGTGATTTTTACTTCGTGAGCAAACTCACTCAAAGAACCGTAATAGGTACCCTGATGTAAACTAAGCCTAATATTTTATAAATCTAAAGTCCCTAAAAAACATTAGGAACTCCTAGTCTTGACGACCGGCGTTTGTTCAATTGATTTAGTTTGTGCAATCTAATGGCCACAATGACGAAAGGTACAGTGAATATATTTTCCTTTAAAATTTAAATCAATTATATATGAATATAAAATTGTTCACGAAATAATTACACAACCAAATAATGATAAGCGTAAGAAATATACATATATATTTTTTTCGAAAGTAAAATCATAAAACATTTATATCTTGACAATACATTATAATTTTCCATAATCTTATTTAATTTTTTCGTATAATTATTATAATGATTTTTGTACAATTATTTTAGAAGAGAATTTGGAAAAGAATAAGTCAGTGGAACGTAATGACAGCGATAAAAAAGCGGTGTCCGATTCAGGACCTGATCCATCAGCTCCGATTACCAGGAAGGGAGTCTTGACATCCTTTTTGACTGGCAAACCCATGGAAATACCTGAACAAGACATTGTAATAAACTTTCGATTTATTTCTATTAAACATATTTATGACATTTATAAATTTTTTATATTTTTATTTTATATATAATTTATAAATAAATATATATATATATTTATAAATTCATATTTATAGACATTAATAAACTATATTTATATTTTATATATAATTTTTTAATTTTTCTTATAGCTTGGCAAATGTAGGTTTGTTTCTGAGTTTGAGAAGCTGAATCGTATTGGCGAAGGTACTTATGGAATTGTATATCGGGCAAGAGATACAAAGAATGACAAGGTTGTTGCGCTGAAGAAAGTAAGGATGGAGCATGAGAAGGACGGTTTACCAGTGAGTGGTCTTAGGGAGATATCAGTCTTGCTGTCGTGTCGACACGAGAATATTGTTCATTTGAGAGAGGTGGTGGTGGGTAGAAGTTTGGAGAGCATATTCTTGGCGATGGAGTACTGTGAGCAGGATCTAGCCAGTTTACTGGATAACATGCAAGCGCCATTTTCGGAGAGCCAGGTTAAATGCATAGTGCTGCAAGTGCTGAAGGGTCTTCGTTACTTGCATCATAATTTCATCGTTCACAGAGACCTGAAGGTCTCTAATCTCCTCATGACCGATAAAGGTTGCGTAAAAATTGCTGATTTTGGACTGGCCAGGTGGTTCGGTCTACCATTGAAACCAATGACTCCTAGAGTGGTAACGTTGTGGTATAGAGCACCGGAATTGCTGTTGCAAGCCAAGACACAGACCACTTCTGTCGATATGTGGGCAGCTGGATGTATATTGGGTGAGAAATTTAACGATAAGACATTTGATATCATTACATTGTTTGTAAATGTAAATGCTGTGAATATATATACTGTGTTGTATCGTTGATTTTGTTAGGAGAGCTATTGGGACACAGGCCATTGTTACCAGGTAGAACAGAAATTGCACAATTGGAATTGATCGTCGATCTGTTGGGTACACCCAGTGAAGCTATTTGGCCGGAATTTAACTCGTTACCGGCACTACAGAATTTCACACTCAAACAACAGCCATACAATAACTTGAAGCAAAGATTTCCTTGGTTGAGCGCTGCTGGTCTTAGATTATTAAATTTCTTATTTATGTACGACCCCAAAAAAAGAGCAACCGCTGAAGAATGTTTGCAAAGCAGTTACTTTAAAGAAGCTCCTTTACGTTAGTGTTTATACATTTATATTTAAATACATTTTTATTAATCCTTTAGAGTTATCTTCCTAAAACAAAGCTTATATAATCGAGCTATTTAACTCAATTTAAATATTTAAAAAATTTTAATTTAAATATTTAAATAATTTCAATTCAAATATTTAAATAATTTCAATTTTTTATTACAGCTTGTGATCCAAAACTCATGCCTACTTTTCCGCAACATAGAAATATGAAAAAAGCAGCTGCTCAGAAAGAGAATCGTGAACAAGAATCTACTGTCACTGATCAAACTAATAATCTACCAGCGATTTCGGATCTTGTACGTTCGTCGATATATATATATATATATATATATATATATATATATATATATATATATATATATATATACAATATTTAAACTTAATTTAAATAGTACATTAACTAACAAGTGCGGGGGATCGTAAATCGGCCGAGAGTGCGAAAGTTTGACGCACGAGACGAAGCCGAGTGTGACAATCCGCACGATCGGCCGATTTATGACCCGCACATGTTAGCTACCATATTTTGTGTGACCGGTGCGTGGAAAGGAAGCTCTTCCTAAAATTCCATCATGTGCGTAAAGGGTGACTTTTCGCGCGCCGGTTGCACAAAATATTTTGCAGCTACATGTACATGAATATATATATATATATATATATATATATATATATATATATATATATATATATATATATAGGGTGTCCAATTTTAATCGACTATCCCCCAAAATTTTTTATTTTTTATTGACCAACAAAATATTTCAAACAAATGTTTTTTTATTTAAAGGAGAGAAAATGATTACTTACTTTTTTCTGAAGGACGCTTTTCAAGGTCATTGTTTTTTTTAACTTTTTTTGGAACTATAATTTTTTATATAAATTAATTCTTTGTTATTTTTGGCATAAAAAGTTACAAAGGTAAGATGGCTCGAAAATGAATAATTGATATTTTATTTTTAAGTTTGACACTAATTGCACAAATTATAAAATATCTCGTAAAATATTCATGTTTCAACGATCTTACTACAATACTTTCATGCATAAAGTAATAAAAAAAATCAGTTGGTGTAAAGAAAAACACATAGTCGTTTGTAAAAAAAAATATGTAATTTGCAATTGATAGCTAACTAACATATTTTTTCTTACAAACGTGTTTTCTTTGCACCGATTAAAATGTCGTTGATTAAAATTGGACCCTGTGTGTACATATATATATATATATATATATAAAACAAATTTTAAAACATATTGATATATATATATACGAGGGCAGTCCGATAAGTACTTAGCCTCATCGCCCGATGGTGCCAGTATCGCAAGAGAGTTTTACTATCGTGTAGTACATTCTCGTAGACAGCTACTGTCAAAATTTCAGCCGAATCGGACTCGTAGTTTTGTTTTGACTGCGTGTGGAAGCGGGCGTGTCCGCGGATTTTAGAAAAATGGAAAAAGAGCAATATCGGTCGGTGATTCGATTCTTGTTTTTGGAAGGGAAATCGCGCAGCGAAATCAAAGATGTCGAAATGAAGAATCTTTGATTTCGCTGCACGATTTCCCTTCCAAAAACAAGAGTCGAATCACCGACCGATATTGCTCTTTTTCCATTTTTCTAAAATCCGCGGACACGCCCGCTTCCACACGCGGTCAAAGCAAAACTACGAGTCCGATTCAGCTGAAATTTTATATATATATTAGAATACGATTGCTTAAATATAATAATAATATATAATTGATCAACTTTAAATCTTTATATCTGAAAAATCATAGCTTAGAATAAAAAATAGCAAATAATTATTTTACTTAATTTTTTGAGAATTTTTCTACTGTAATTTGATTCGCGAATTTCAGAACATACAAATTTTAATCTATATATTTATGTATATTTATTTATTTGTTTCAGCTTGGATCCTTAGTGAAGAAAAGACGTGTCGAGTGAAGAAGTTTTTAAGTTTACTTGAAAGAATTAATTTCGATATTCTTTGAAATATATATTTTGTCAATATTTCTTGAAATAACAATTACAATAACATCGTAATTAGTACATTGTAATGTAAATTTATTGACAGTATATATATTTTTTGTATAAATATATACAAAATATTTGATAATAATGTTAAGACCTTTATTTGAAAAAATAATCTATAAGCAACAAATTAATTAGTTGCATTAATTATGTGTGTTTATACAAAGGATGCTGATTCCGTGAGTAAAAAATAAAACTTTTTATTAAATTCTATATTTTTTTATTCTATATTTGACCAAATATAGAATATCCCATACATTCAAATCATTATGTTACATCTATATCTTCAAAATTGATGGATATTTTTTAAATAATTTATATATATCTCAATAATTTGTATTTTACAATAATTATATGACTTTCTATAGAAATGTAAATGAATTTATTATAATAAAAATTATATAAGAACGCTACAAGTGCTCGTAGTTTTCCTTATGTTGACCAAGGGGATCGTATTTACCAAGGAGATTAACCCAATCCTCGGATCGTTTTGTTTTCAAATGTTTTATCACTTTTTGTGTTATAGTCTTTTGATTATCATCGCACTTGCTGCAGTTGGTCGATAGAGCATCTGGTAAAATTTCTAAAAAAAATAAAATATTCGTCAATTATTATTCCACATTATAATTAATAACATACTATAATTTGAAAATTTAAACTATATTCCGAGATATATATACTTTATGAATACTGTGCCTATATTAAATGAATGTGAAAAAAATATAAATATATTTTATATGAACAATATAAATAAATATTAATATTTAGTATAAATATATTTTTATATAAAACAAAATTTATATTATTTTTTTTTTATAAAATTAAATATATTTTATAAAAATAATATATAATTATACATATATTAATATATGAACAATATAAATATGAAACAATATTTATGTGAATATAAGTATTGCTTTAATATCGTCTATTTTAAGAAAAATATGAAGAAGTAACTTAAACAACTCCGGATACACGTAATTGCTCGAGAAAGTGCACAGTTAATTATGTAATAGAGAGAGGGGGAAGAAAGAAAGTATGTATATTGAATACTGTAATATTGCAGTCACAATTATACTTTGTATATACTTATTGAATTAATGTATTCTTTAAGAATTTACAAATTAGAAAATGCTGAGTAAATTGAATAATTTTTAAAATTGAAAAAAATAAGAATAAAAATATTTTTATATAATATACCTTATTTAAAATGATGATTTTGATGAAACTTTATGTAAGGAGATAAATAGATGATGAATTTAGAAATTTTTTTAAATTGCGATCAAAAAATGATTTTTTTAAGGATGAAATCATGTAAAGAATTTTTGCTTTTCTCGACATATCTCAAAAAATATTCGATACCAAAAAATGTTTTATACAAAAATTTCATAAGAACATCTCTATTTAATAAAATATTGAAACATGTTTTTCAAAGATTAAAAAATTTTTTTTAATTAGCTTCTTAAAATGTTATATATTAATACAAATGTAGACATTAAATAATATATCCTCTACTTACTTTTTAATTCACGACCTTCGGCAGTGCAGGGTCCCTTGTCCAGGAGGCATCGGATGTAACTAGTGAGGACACGATTATTTTGAAGAATTTTATCCACCTCTGTGTCATCGAATTTCCTGGCGTATTTATTCTCATCAGCGGCGATAACCAGAGTTATCAACGAGGCCGCAAACAAGATCAAAATGTATTTCTTCATTGTCGTACGAAGAGATTTTTAAGTACGAGATACACCACACAATTAATTTCGTTTTCGATTGACAAGAGGCCGCAGACAGAAGTTAAAAAGCGTCAATCGCTGACAGTCTAGCTTTTATATAGCCGAACGGAGAACGGAGGGGTATATAAATATATACCTGCCATGCAACTTAATTGAATATATTTACATTAAATTACATGGGACAATAAATTCCAAATATTTGCTTCGTATAATTTAAAAGCAATTCAGATAAAATTATAATATATCCACAAAAAATTCATGCTACATCTTTGGATTCTTTAATTTTCTATGAATAATATCACTCGATCTTATATAAATTTCATAATTTAAAAAAATATATTTAAAAGTATAAAATTAATTTAAATTGTATAAAAAGTTATAATAATTTAAATTATACAATATATATAATTTTTATAATAATAATTATAATTAAAATATAATTATAAAAAATATAAAAATATAAAAATATAATTATAAAATTATAATTTATATTTTATTATAATAATTATGATTTATATTTATAATTATAATTATAAATGTTCATATTTTGAACAAAATTGATATAAAATATTATAATTAATTTTTGCTTTCAATATTAAAATGCTAATTAAAAAATCTTATAGAATATAATAGTGTATGAATGACACAAACTATTGAATCGTGTGACGCACATAAAGAGAAAGTAGTTTCGATGAACTGCTATCGATGATTCATCGATAAAAACTCACAGGGTCTTATACTTTTTAAACGATCATATTTTATTTTTTCATGATAGAAAGATTCGAGTCTGAGATGTGTAATTCAATAGACAAAAATTTTTCGAAGGTAAGAGTATCTCTTTCTCTTCACGAAGAAATCTTTATATATGTGTATATATATATATTTATAATTAACTTTACAAAAACAAAAAATCAAAAATTCAACTATATAAAAACAATATACATAAATACTAATTTCTCTTTAGATTTAATTTTTCTAATAATGTTTCAAACTCTTAATTAATATATATGCATGCATTTGAAGAAATAAAAGTGTATGAATTAAACTATATATATTTTTAAAAATTAATTTTTATTTACATTGAAAATGGCTAGACAAAAAACTAAAGTAAGGATACAATATATATATATATATAGGAGGTAAAAAATTTATAGTTTCTTTAGTTTATAAAAAATTTTTCTTCATAAATCAAGAAAAGTGTCACGATAAAAAATATTTTTGAAGAAACATAAATAGGTTACTCAAGTTTTTGCTATTTTTTTCATTAAAATGAATCGATTAAGTGTACATTCTTCTGATCGTGCGCCATTCCGTGGGATATCGCGATTGTAGAAATTGTATCAACTTTAATAGATTCAATTTCTGCTGCGAAGTGCAACGGCCACAATTGTTCCTGAGTACAACGGGTAGTATACCTGTATAAAAAAAAAAATATATAATTTTAAATGAAAAAGATGACATATTTTCGGCACCTCCTTTCTTTCATATAGGAAAGCATGTAGAAAAATTTTATAGTATTAATTTAATATTTTAAAATGTATTATATAATATTCTGTCCCAGAGAGCAAATATACGTCATTTTGTCGTCGATGATGTCATTAGACGTCATTTTACCGTTTAATGATGTCAGTTTGCTACTTAGGGTGTTGTTATTTTAAATTTAAATTTAAAAGTTAATGATTCTAAATTTAATAATTATTATTATATGAAGTAATCTTTATAAAATTGACACCTAAAATAAATGCTAACAATTATAATATATTAATGAAAATTATTTTACCACAATTAAAATATATTGTACAGAGTGTATAAAAATTATTGGTCGCCACTTCGTCAGCTAATTCTCCTGTTGCATGTTCGGCAAAGATCATCCCCAACATGGGCCCGCAAAATTTGTCAAAATTTTTATTGCGTGAAAAAAATCTACTCATTGAGAGAATCAAAAGTCTCAAAGGAACCATAGGTCACAAACGTGTCCTTATATGTAAAAAAATCATGTAGTTGAGAATAATTAGGATATGTGATTTTGTCACGAATATTGATCAGAGAAGCTCAATAAATTGAACGTCACAAAGGTAACCCATAATTTTTCTGACATTTCTTTAATTTAACATTCTGGGTTATCTTGTGACGTTCAATTTATTGAGCTTCTTTTATCAATATTTACAACAAAATCACATATCCTAATTATTTTCAACTTCATGATTTTTTTCACATATAAGGACACGTTTGCAACCTATATGGTTCCTTTGAGACTTTTGATCCTCTCAATGAGTAGTTTTTCGCGCAATCAAAAATTTTGATAAATTTTGCAGTGTCATGTTGGGGGTGATCTTTATCGGACATAAACAGGAGAATTAGCTGACGAAATAGTGACTAATAATTTTTATACACCCTATACACACACACACACACATACACACATATATATTGTATATTGCTGAATACATTTTAGAAATTAATTTTATAATTATATATAAAAATATATTATAAGTACAAAATTATAATTAAATAATATCATATATTTAGATTTATATTAATTATATATATAGATATATATATATAATATATAATTATATTTATATTATATTATATATATATATATATATATATATATATATATATATATTTATATTTATAATTATATATATAATATTTTATAATTATAATATATATTATATATTAATATATAAGAGAATATAAAAAAAAATAAAATATAGAATATAATTCTCTTACTTTTTAATTGTTTTCCAAATCCATCGCATTCCGCTGTCTGCAATAAGCACCTAAGTTCCTTCTCGATTAAATGTTTATCACTTAAATACGCCGAAAGATCTTGCGTTTGGCAAAAAGCGACAAGTCCCGAGCTAACGAGAATTATAATAATAATTCGATTGTTCATTTTTAATTATTAACTCCAGAAAATATGTGTGAAACTGTTATTTGATGGAATATAACAGATACACTCTTGTTGTTGAACTTCTTATAACAGAATAGGCAATCCCAAGCAAAGTACACATGTTATTATATTTCATCGTGACCTTTGATCCTCTTACAACCGTGAAAACACATCATTATAAGTTTCAAAATTATTTGATCACTTTTACATATATTTAAATATAGACTTCGTCTTTTCCAATTTTACTACCAGTATTGACAATAATGTTACACAAATTGGAATTTTACTTTTAAAAATTTATAATAAATATATATACATACAATGTACATAAATGTACACAATGGACAATAAAAAAAAATTATTAGAAATAAAAATTATATATATAAGGATTATTTTAAAATAAGGAAACACAAATATTGAATTAATGCATTAAAGAATAGAAATAATGAATGAAAATGACAAAATATATATTAAATATAAGGACTTGCGTTCTTAATTACTAGCTTATTAGCCCTTATTAGACTTTTATACCCGAATTTGTACTTTTAGACTAGTTTTTTCGATTTTATTATTTTAAAATAATTCCTATTCCCAATATTTAATACTTATTCCTAATATTTTCTCTATTGTACACAGAGCCTAATAACATGGTGAATCATATCTACATTTCATATATATATAATTCTTTCTTTTCCCTATTCTTATAGTTTGAATTTTTATATTATGTGATAGATTTAATACGATTTTTCAAATAAAAATCTTAAATTAGAAAAATAATGGAAAAGGGTTAATAATAAAATATTAACAAAATATAGAAATTATGTAAGAAAAATTCTGCAGAGGTTTACAGATATTTGATTTAAAAATATGATTCCAATGCACTTATGAATAGATCCTAGATTCTGAGATGAATATAACGTTTTAATTAAGTTTTAATTAAGTCAAATCGTTCTTAAAACGAATAGTAAAGTGAACGCGTTAATTACAAAAATCGATAATTGTAATTGGACTTTAGTTCTGATTTAAATGTAAATATATAAAAAAACTACATACACAAGTTGTTTTTTTCTCTCTTAGTTTATTTTTTATTCCACCAGTTCACTCTCATCACTTTGGCCCTGGTTTTCTTCACTATTTTCTTCTTCGTCTTCATCTTCTTCCGAAGAAGACTCAAACCATGTTTGCAACGATAAATCATCTGATCTTAAAGTCTTCCACTCGTCCAATTTTCGACAATCTGTATAAGGCATGCATATACATATTATTTAATTTTAACAGCTAAATATTACAGAAAAAATACAATTTTATAAAAAAAATATTTTGATATAAAACTATAAGGTCACCAGATGATAATTAAAACATGGTAATGATTTAATCGACCAACTCTGGCAAATAAGTAATTTTATTGAATTTCACAACGTTTCGGCCGTGAGTTTCGGCTCTTATCAATGCTGGTTTTAAAACAAAATAAATCACAACTTTTTAAAAAACAAAAATTCGATCTTAGAATATGACATGATATAATGATATAATAGTATGAATATTATTATATCATGTCATATTCTAAGATCGAATTTTTATTTTTTAAAAAAGTTGTGATTTATTTTGTTTTAAGAACATAGCACTTGATAAGGGCCGAAACCCACGGCCGAAACGTTGTGAAATTCAATAAAATTATACTTATTTGCCAGAGTTGGTCGATTAAATCATTACCATTACTTAAAAATATTTTGAATAAAAGTTATAAAATTTTGAAGGGGATGTAAAATGATGATCTAAGATCTTAGATAGAGCTCACAAAATTAGGTCAAGATCAATTTTATTTTTTTAAATAAGAATTTCTTACTCTCTATTTGAAAGTTCATTAACATCATAAGATAAACATTTTTTTTCTTAAAAACCTGTAATTTTTGGAATATTTTATTTTAAATCACATCTGTACTTATCCATAATAATTTTAGTATATAAACTATAAAATATTTCGTAAAATATTTATTTTTTGACATTTTTGCTACAATACTTTCATGTATAAAATAATAAAAGAAATTTAATAATTCAAAGAAAACACATAGTTGTTTGTAAGAAAAGGTATGTAGTTACTAGTTGCAAATTACATATTTTTTCTTACAAGCTATGTGCTTTTTTTATACCAACTGATTTCTTTAATTATTTTATATATGGAAGTATTGTGATAAAATCGTCGAAATATGAATATTTTATTAACTTATGCCATTATAGTGTCAAATTTAAATATAAAATATCTCGTAATCTTTCAATTTTTGACCATCTTACCCATATAACTTTTTATGCCAAAAATAGAAATAAATCTATATACAAAAAATTATAGTAGCTCCATTTAAAAAAACATAAATGACCTTCAAATAACCTTGAAAAGCACTTTTCAAACAAAAGTCAACAGCGTCATCTTACGTCCTCCTTCAAATCAAATAACTTTTATTTGAAACCTTTTGTTGTACATTAAAAAATAATGATAAATAAATAATAAAAATTTTTTTAAATTAAAAAGTTTTTGGGGGTAATCGATTAAAATTGAACATCCTGTATAATAAATATAATACACACAAGACATTAGTAATAACATACCCAGGCTATAAAAATCACAAAGAGTGTATTGTCGATCACCATCTTCCACCAAGCCGCCATATAAATACAAAACATTGTGTTTTATCACCATTCCAGCATTCATCCGCGGAGGCGGAAAGTTCTTCATTCTTCCACTGTCATTTTCCACTGTCGAACAGGATTGATGAAGAGATAATGAAGTAATTGGCGCTGTTGGGCCTACTGTCATCTATAAATAAAAAAATCTACTAAATCTTTTTTTACCAAGTAGCAAGCCATTTCGACATTGAATGACGTCATTTTTATATCTAATGACGTCAATTTGCTACTTGGGTAATAGTATTGTTTTTCAACTAATTTGAAATTAATTGTTTCCTATAAAAGAGAACCTAGGTAGCAAGTGTACGTCACTCTGATATCGAATAAAGTTATTTTGACGTTTAGTGATGTCATTTGCTACTTGGAAGATTAGTGCTATATCTTCAATTGCTAACTTTATTTATTTTTATACATGTAAAAAGAAAAAAAATATACTGTAAATATTCCATCATCGTCCACAGTAACTGTAGATTGTTCAAGATTCGAAGATTCTTCCTGTGCTTCTTCTTCGTCAGAAATATTACTCTGTCCCAATTCTTTATCAGTTTCTTCCTTTTTTCTTCTTCTACGTCCTTTGCTATCATCAACTGTTGACTTCTTTTCAGATAACGTTACCGGGCGCCAGTGCAATTTTTCAAGATCCAATGCGAGTAGGTCGTTGTAAAAGATTCCATGCAAACCCTCCTCGTCGTCATCATCATTATCGTTGTCGTGAACGCCGCCGAAGACAAAGGCCGCATTCGCGGATTGGACTAACGCAGCGGAAACGCCGCATCTTGGGGTCACTCGGACTCCAGCTTGCTTCGCGGAAACCCACTTGTACTTGATTACGTCTTTGTCCGATTTCTGTGTCAGGAGAAACATGTCGGCGTGAATGCAACCGCGATCGATGTCTTTCTTCATCTTCTCCTTGCTGTAGCCTCCGTATACAACGAGTTTGTTATCACTAGTAGGCAGAAATATACAGCCGGATCGAGGAGCAGGTGCGATACCTTAAAAAATTATGTTTATAATTATTATATTATTGTTACGTACCATCACACATTGTCGAAAACAATTAATTATTTGTTTTATTATTTATTTGAAATCATCATTTGATAAACTTATTTAATAGGATATTTACTCAAAATATTTATATAAATTGTATACTTATATATATAATGTTATATAATTACATATAAATATTATATTTATATATACTAAAAATTATTATACAATATATATTCACACACAGGGTGAACCATTTGAATCAACGTACGTAAATATCTCGTATAGTAAGCAAGATGGACAAAAATGTTTCAAACAAAACTTTTTTGACTATGAGGGGAACATAAAATGGTGTTATTGATTTGACCTTGTATAATCATTTAAAATCACGTAAAGGTCACCTTCGATTTCTTGAATGGAACCTGCTATTTTTCATTAAATATTCTTATAACTTGTCTAAAGAGCTTTCCAAAATCTTATAATAAAGTGTTGTTTGATGAAGTACTTTTCAAATTATAAAAGTTTAAAGTTTACAATATTTTGGCATAAAATGTAAAATATTTTGTAGTGTTCTGTTCAAATCAATGACACCATCTTATGACCTCCTCATATTACGTGCGTTGATTAAAATGACTCACCCTATATATTCGATATATAATATTATTATAGATTATTAGTTTGTTTGTTTTAGTTTACCAGTAGGTTCGATTTTCCGCCATAGGTAAGTCTCCAGATCAAAAATGTGTATATCATTGAAATATTTGTAATCATGTCGCAGATTATCATGAAATCCACCAAACACTATCAGCTGTTTCTTTGTGTATATCATCCTGTGTCCACTTCTGGCTGATGGACCATTTGCAGCTCTATAATTATTATTTACATGTATATAGAATAATAAACATATAAACTTTTGATAATTAAATTATCAATTTTTGACAATTTTTGAAGATTAATATTGAAAAAAATGATATATTGTAGCATTTTTCTTTATTAAAAATAAGAAAAATAACATATGTATCTTCCTTCAATCATTTTTTTAAATATATGTATATTTATATAACAAATTTGAATATATAATGTTCTATTTCTCTTTTTAAATAATTTTGTTTTCTTTTTAAATATTTCACATTAAAGATTTTTATATTTAAAATTTTTATGAAACATGAATAAATTTTCAAAACTTCAAAATAATGTTATTTTTAATGTTATTTCTCTTTTCCATTTTTTTGTAAATTCTGAATAAATTTTTTTTAATTTAAGAATACTTTGGCTGAAAGATTCATTAAGTTTGATCTGTACATACGTAATCTTTTCCCATTTCCTTTCGGCGAATCGAAATACCCACAAATCACGATAATGATAGAATTGCAATTCGCTTGGACTGATAAATTCACCGCCAAAAACCCATAATTCGCCATTGCGATTTGCAGTGACTACTGCCTGATGGCCGCATCGCGGTGGTGGTGCTCCAGGTGCTTTTATCAATGTCCATTCTTGCTTATTTATATTGTAGAAGAACATATCGCCATACACAATAGTCTAAAAAAAAGAGATAAATGCAATTAAACTATATTATTTTTTTTATTAAATAGGACAAATAATTTTTGTTTTTGTTAAATTTCTTATATCAAACTTTTAAAGAATGCCAGAGTATCTTTAATTATAATAACAAAAAGTATTTCTAATTAATATTTTAATAAAATTGAATATTAAGAGAAATTTCTGATTTTAATAATTAAGGGAAGAGCCTAGTGTAAAACGGCTAAAAATTCATGAATTTTCGGGAATTTATTGTAAAGAAAATATTAAATCAATCTTTTTGAAATTTAGAGTGTATTTTTTACACTATTGATATACTAAAAAATATTCTTTTTTTTTGTTAAAAAAAGTCATAAATATTAGAATTATAAGATCTTATATTCAGCTCATCAAGAAAAGTTATTCCGCGCCGGGGAATGTAGCGCCTGCTGCTTTCATCTGAAATTAAAAACTCAAAAATAAAACTTTAGTTTATAAGTATATGCTCAGCATGAACATAATTTAAAGTTAAAAGCAAAATTGAAAAAATGGTGACAAGTGTTTTTTTTTTTTTAACAGCTCTAAAATAACAATTATTTTATTGTAACAATATCGCTATAAAAATAGGTTCATGTTGAGCGTATACTCATAAACTAAAGTTTTATTTGTGAGTTTTGATTTTAGATGAAAGCAGCAGACACTACATTCCCGGCGCGGAATAACTTTTTTCCTAATGAGCTGGACATACGACCTTATAATTCTAATATTTATAACTTTTTTGTAACAAAAAAATATTTTTAGTAGTTCAATAGTGTAATAAAATATACTTAAAATTTTAAACTGATTGATTCAATATTTTTTTTAATACAATAAATTCCTAAAAATTCGTGAATTTTTAACCACTTTACCAGGTTCCCCCTTAAAATATGCGATAATCAAAGTCTTGGACCTAAATATGTTTAAAATATTTTAGTTGTCCCTAATTTATAATTAAGTAGTCCCTAATTGTTTGTTATAATGTTACAAACAGATCGCTGCTGATATATCATGCTCAATCATTTATTTTTATAATATACCTGTCGACCATCATGAAATTCACCACCCAACATAATAAGTTCATCCTTATAGGGATGTGCTGTTAAAGTGAAGTTGACTCGTCTGGATGGTGGATTTATTATCACTTCTTTGACACAATGTCTTTGGGCTTCCTCTTTCTCAATCTCAGCGACGACTTTTTCTATGTCATCCTAAGATAAATAAATTATAATGAACATATATTATTGGTTCTATAAAAAATTAAAGCAATATAAATAACGTATAACATTTTTCAATTGTATCTAGCAACGAACAGACAAGAGTTTAATACATATTTTTTCTATATTATCATAAAAGATATATAAAAAATAAAATATCTAAAACAAATTGAAACATATATAAAATTAATAAAATAAATCTAACCTCACCAAGCGCCGACAATTCCTTCTTCTGTTTAGCATTAAGCTTCTTTTCCGTTTTCAGAGCGGTTTTCACACTGCCGCTTATTTTATTTTTATTTTTGTTTTTATCTTTCTTTCCCATTTTTATTTCTTCGTGCAACAAAATAAAATCAACATTTAATAAATTAAAAACATGCTTGTAAACTCGGCACCTTCGATGTCGCGTAAATGAAAAGTCCCTAGAGACATTAAATTAGGGATTCTAGGGTATTATTGCAAAAGTTTTGTTTTAGGACTTCCATCGTCAAACTTTTAAGATCAGTACTCATGAGAAAATTCTAGTAATATATCCAACGAATCATGATTGAGCATGGACGGCGGCCATTTTACATATCTTTCGGCTAACTTCCAATATCTAAAATTATTTAATTAAAATTAATCAGATAAATAATAAACCTTTTTGATTGTACTTCAAAACTCTTCATACAAAATACAAACATTCTGTAAAAAAATTTTCAATATTTTGTTATGTCAGCTAAATACATAGTGTAAAAAAGAAAATTTTTTATAATTATTCTAATAGCTTAGTTTACATCAAGCACTTGATACGTGTATCAAATAAAAAATTACTAATAAATTAGTTCAGTTATTGGCTGACCAGTTCAAATACACTAATTGATACGCGTATCAAATGCTTGATGTAAACTAGGCCAATTATTCACAATGTGACGTCTCGTCTATTTTTATTTTTCTTTTACTCTCAGTATAACTATTGCGCGCAATTCATATTCTTGTAGAAATAAGACTATTAATAATCATTATATTCTACTAATTACTCTAATTTAACTATTTTGGTATTAATAGCTAAAACCACTAGATCTGGGGTTCTCCGACTAGGAACCAAACACCTTTATCTAGTCCTAACCACGCGACCAATCAGGCATCATCTAGGGACCCCAGAGACAGCACGTAACTAGCGGAACTAACCGGATATATCCTTACAAGAATACTTATTGATACACCTCTATTACGATAATATTAAACAATAAATAATAAGTATTATAAATATTAATACTATCAGGCACAAAATATAAAGACTAAGAATGTTAATCTACTCCCCCTAAAGTAAAATTGCAATGCAACGCGATGTACTACTAATCCTAAAACAATCTATTCTTTAATCATATTTACAGAATCTCACTTACATCAAAATTCATATGATAAACATGATTCTGTAAGTACGATTAAGAATTACCCGAGTACACATTTGAATATGTAAGCCATTCAATATTGCATTAATGAATTATGGATCCATAAATAATTATAGACTTTTTAATTAACTATAAATATCATACACATATATTATAAATAAAGTATGCCATAATTGATGATCAATATATAAAAAGACCAAACAAGAAGCAATAAATGTACCACTAGACAAGTATTCGTAGAGATCGACTTGGCGACACGATGGCTTATAATTTGACCTCGGCATAACTCCCTTGCCGCATTCCTGCACTTTAGGAAAGAAACCAATGCCCTACCAAAGATACCAAAGATTTAGAAAGCGAAATATTATTTTTATCATTATAAGCTACAACTCAAACTATCAGAAGCTAGCCCTTAAATCTTTTACAGAATAACATTGCACGCTTTTTAACAATAAAACCTTTCAATTATTATCATAATGAATACCTAAGGAATTGCAATCTCCACATTTTGTAATGGCTTCTAGGGCACGCAATTTAAACCTTTAGTACAAATTATAATGATAAATATTAACGTTTTATAAATAAGCAATTCAAAAACTATTGTAAAGATTCCCATTCGACTATTAAGAATTATAATTATTCTGCGCCAACGAATCATTTCGCTGATGGACCATCCTCTTCGACCCCTCTTCGATGATGCAAACCGAATTCTTCGAAGAACGGAACCATAAACCTGTCAAAATCTAAGCACGTCCGGTTCTCCGAAGGATATATAAACCGCGGATTTTGCATCCTGCGAGCACTCCGTGTCAACTTCTAGAATAGAGCATTCCGTATTACTATTTTCCAAAGCCTACACTTAGGGTGCGATTACATGGACGCGCGGAAACGCGGAAACGCGGAAACGCGGAAGAGAAAGTAACTAAACTTTACTAGAGTCCCGCATTTCCGCGCGTTCCGTTCCGTCTGTTTTGATTGCCTTATATTACATGGAGCACATTTTGAGCGGAAAAGCGGAACGGGGAATTATAAAATATTAATATTTAACTATATTTATTGATTAAAATGCTTGTATTCATAGATAAGTTGAAAAGATAAACATATTAAAAGGAATTACAATGAATTAAGTAAATATAAATTTAAAAAATTAATACAAATGTCTATTTGTCACTATACCGTTCCGCTTTTCCGCTCAAAATGTGATCCATGTAATATAAGGCAATCAAAACAGACGGAACGGAACGCGCGGAAATGCGGGACTCCATCGACGAATGGACTGAGCATTGCGATATGTAAACGCGCGCCTGCTTTAGAGTGAGAGGTACTACATCTGAGGCCTATGTTTGTCTCTCTTGCAAGCTTCTGATTTGTTATTTTGTCCCCCTCCAGAATTCTAGCAGTAACATAGCATTAAATTTTTGACACCTCACCTTCGCCTACTCGCTTTGGAATAACGTGAAACGTTTATCTTTATCTTTAAAAATTAAAAATGGTTTTAAGGTGTTTTGTGTGCAAAATTACGTATGATAAAAATAAAAAGGATATACAGATGCATAAGTAAGTACATTAAAAGTATTTTTTATAGGACATTATTGTAACACATTCTTTAAACATATTGTTTTAAAGCTGTATATAATTATATTATATATACGTAACTTGCATAGTTTTGTTAAATATATATTAAAATTATATATTATATAATAAAATTAAGATATGTAATAGTATGTAATAAAAATTTTCTATATATCAACAATATAATTTTTTTATTATTTATAACATTAGTATAGTGTGTAAATAATAATAATATTTATAATAAAATTTGTAAACATATATCTATTTATAAAACTTTATAATTAATAAAATATTAATATAAATATAATATAAATTAAAGCAAATTTATTGTTTATTTATAAATATATTAAATATATTAAAACAAATTTTAAAATAAATTCTAAAAAAATCTATTGACTACACATTTCATAGAAAAATGCACATGGTCCGCAATTTTTTTAGACGGCCCTGCAAAAAGAGAGACAAACATAGGCCTCAGATGTAGTACTTCTCACTCTAAAGCAGGCGCGCGCTTACCCATCGCGATGCTCAGTCCATTCTATATGTCGATGGCGGGACTCTAGTAAAGTTTAGTTACTTTCTCTTCCGCGTTTCCGCGTTTCCGCGTTTCCGCGCGTCCATGTAATCGCACCCTTAGAGTTAGTAGAGAAATTGAATATTTTTTTATAACTTTTTATAACTTTAGTAATAATTATAGTAATTTTTAATCAATTAATCGCCTTAATTTCCTAGCGCACGACCAATCAGCTGTCGGCGTTTGCAAATTGAGCTTGAGACAAGCGCAAGCATCTGATTGGTCCGCACGCTAAGGAATTAAGGCTAGTGACAAGAATCGCTATACTTCAAAGAAATACAGCCTGTATTGCTCCCAAGCGTAATTTTTTTGCATACATATATATATATATATATATTTTGTATATGTATGTATAATTTCTATGCGTAACTGTAAAAATTGCAAAAATTAAGTAAAAATGGGAAAAGGATTTAACAATTATATGTGCAAGAAATTTTTCCATCCAGCATCGCGAGATAATTTAAAACGAGTACGTATAAAAATTTAATACAATTCTTTTATCATAACTGAAAATATTTTTTTATATAATTGCCGTATTTGTGTATTATATTATGTTGCAATACTACATTATTTGCATACAAATAATTGTACAATGAGCAAAATATATTTCTTTGTGCTAAATATATGTTTTTTTATGTCAGGTATGGATGGCAGAACAACAAGCGGAAGCTTACAAGAAGAAGCAGGAAGAACTACGGGTACAATATGAGAAAGAGCAGGACCTTCATAATAATAAGTAAGTTCCTTATTATTTCATAAAAAATAATCATTTATTTTATTAATAATTATATATATTATTTCACAAAAAATAATTTTGTTTCTAACGTAAAACTTTTTTTAGAGCATTACTTAGTAAGGAGAGCAAGGATAAACTTAGCGTGAATTTTATGTATGAGCCACCTCCCGGAGCAAAAAAGGAAAGAGAGAAGGAAGACAATGAACCTGAGTACAAGTTTGAATGGCAGCGGAAATATAATGCTCCGAGAGAAAGTTATTGCAAAGGAGATAGCGAAATACGAGATCAACCCTTTGGCATCCAAGTAAGGAACGTAAGATGCATAAAATGCCACAAATGGGGACACATAAATACAGGTAATTAATTTTTACAATATTATTGGATTATAAAATCACTTTTTAAAGATCTCAAGTTATGTTATTAATAAATCTCAAGTTATATTATTAATAAATTAATTTGAAGAAATTATTTTCAGATAAGGAGTGTCCATTATACAGCCAAGCAATGAGCGTCGTAATGGCAAATAATAATTCGCAAGTATCATCTGCTCCAGATACTATGACACTTGTGCAACAAATGCGAGAGGATGGTCTGGCCCTGAAAAAGTAAGCTTATGTCGTAATTTCTAATATAGAAATAATATATTAAATAAATAGTAAAATAAATTATAAAGTAGAATTATATATGAATAGAGAGTTTAAATAAATAAATTATTAAATTAACTTTTATATTGCAGATCTGTATTGGATGCACAACAGCATTTACGAATTCCAGAACATGAGCACCTCATGGTGTCTGAAGATGAAGACCAGTCAGAATTATCTTTTCTAAAATTGTTGTCGAAAAAGGAAAAGAAGAAATTATTATTGTAAGTTTATATTATATATATGTATATATATATAATATTATATTTACGTGCGTTGATTAAAATGGCTCACCCTCCATATATATATATATATATATATATATATATATATATATATAATAACGCACGTAAATATCTCGTATAGTAAGTAAGATAGAAAAAAATGTTTTGAACAAAAGTTTTTTGACTATGAGGGGGACATAAAATGGTGTTATTGATTTAATCTTGTATAATCATTTAAAGGTCACGTGAAGGTCAATTTCTTAAATGGAACCTGCTATTTTTCATTACATCTTATAGCTTATCTAAAGAGCTTTCCAAAATCCTATAATAAAATGTTTTTTCATGAAGTACTTTTCAAGTTATAAAGATTTAAAGTTTACAATTTTTTGGCATAAAATGTAAAATATCTTATAAAATATTTAGTTTTTGATAATCATACCTTAATACTTTTGTGCATGGAATAATGAAACCAATCAATTGGTGTAAAGAAAACACATAGTTGGTTTAAAAAGGATGTACATAATTTGCAACATATTTTTTTGTAAGCAACTGTGTTTTCTTTACACCAATTAATTGATCTCATTATTCCGTGCAAAAATGTATTGAGGTGTGATTATCGAAAACTGATTATTTTACAAGATATTTTACATTTTATGCCAAAAAATTGTAAACTTCAAACCTTTATAACTTGAAAAGAACTTCATGAAAAAACACTTTATTATGATTTTTTTATTATTAGGATTTTGGAAAGCTCTTTAGATAAACTATAAGAAGATGTAATGAAAAATAGCAGGTTCCATTTAAGAAATTGAAGGTGACCTTTACGTGACCTTTAAATGATTATACAAGGTCAAATCAATAACACCATTTTATGTCCTCCTTATAGGCCTAGTTTACATCAAGCACTTGATACGCGTATCAAATAGTAAATTATTAGTAAATTGGTTCAGTTATTGGCTGACCAGTTCAAATACACTAATTGATACGCGTATCAAGTGCTTGATGTAAACTAGGCCATAGTCAAAAAATTTTTGTTTGAAACATTTTTGTTCATCTTGCTTACTATACGAGATATTTACATGCATTGATTAAAATGGCTCATAATGTATATATATATTAGAGATGTGCGAATCAAGATTTTCTAATTCGAATCGAATCGAATCGAATTTGCAAAAAAACAACTCGAATCGAATCACCCATATTTCGAATTCGAATCGAATCAACGCGTATAGAATTAAACGATAGAATTAAACGGATTTTAAGTCTTTTTACGCGGTTCTTTGATTCGAATTCGAATTGCAGTGATTTGACGTTATCGAATCTTTCGATTTCGAACTACGTCAATTCGAATTCGAATAATTCGCACATCTCTAATATATATGGGTGCGTTCCGTTATGCACTGCAAGTACTGGCACTATGACGTCATGCAAGTGTACTGTTGACAGCGTTCCTTTTTAATTTTGTGCACTTTGAAGCTACTGCAAAATAGTAAAACGGAACGCACTACAGTACGCTTTCAGCAGACTTTTAACTAACCTTTTTCGCTAATAATCATCGAGTGAAAAATTGGTGAAATGGATAATACCATTATTGCATTAATTACATATAATTTAATCGAGAATATATATGATTCGAGTGAGTCATCAAGTGAAAGCGATTTGGAAATGGAATTAATAAATGAAATGAGACGACAAATTAAAATACCTAGAATAAAATGTAAAATTACGTTAAAAATATTGTATCATTATATTCAGATATGGAATTTAAAAGTTAGTTCCATCGTACACATGGAGGTAGCCATCTTGATTACTGCGAGTGCTTTACCTCGCCGGTTGCAGTAATCGCAACAGGAAATAACGTCAAAATTAATGACGTCATATACTCATGATAGTACTTTCGCAGTGCACTGCTATCTATATCGGAACGCTATTGGTAGTACTGTCAGTACTTGCAGTGCATAACGGAACGCACCCTATATGTGTGTGTGTGTGTGTGCGTGCGTGTGCGTGCGTGCGCGCGCATGTGTGTGTGTGTGTATATATATTCCTTTACTCTATTGATAAAAAATATCTGATATTTTTTAGATTTTATTAAATTAGGAGATTGTTTAGCTTTATAATTTAATTACAGGAAGCTGAAGGTATTAGAAAAGAAAAATCGCCTGAAAAGTAAACGAAAATTGAAAAAGAAAAAATTAAGCAGTAATAATAACAAATCTAGCAGTAGTGGTAGCGATACTAGTAATAGTGACAGCAATAGTAGCAATAGTAACACACACACCAGCAGCGATTCAGAGGATTCTCATTCAAAAAAGGCAAGAAAAGGAGGAAGAAATCCGATTCTAAAGAGAAATCTACTCATAAACATAAAAAAAAACGAAATGACAATGTGCACAAGTACAGACATAAAAAGAGGAGCAACAATGACAAATATGATACAGATAAGAATCGCTACGATAGAGAAAAGAAAATTAAAACTGAAGATAAAAATAGAGACAAGCGTTAGCACAGCGCTGCAAAGCAAAGGAAGGGCGTATATATTATTAATAATAATTTTTAAAATGTTTATAAATATATAATAAATGTATCTGATAACTATGAAATTAATAATAAAAGCATGTTTATATATTATTTAATTTAAAAATACATATAACAGTTGTAAATTACATATTTTTCTTAAAAACAATTGTTTTTTTTACACTATCGATTTCTCTCATTATTTTATGTATAAAAGTTATTAAGATAAAATCATCGGAAAATGAATATGGTATGTGGGATAGTTTATGTAAGATTATATCAAACTGAAGTATAAAATATCTCGTAAACTATTCACTTTTTGATCATCTTATTTTTATAACTTTTTGCGCAGAGTATTATAAGAAATTGATTTATGTAAAAAAAATATGGTAGTATTAAAGGTGACTTATTTGAAACATTTTTTCTTATAATAGATATTCGACTTTCAAAAATAAAATGGGACACCCTGTACTTTTTATATTAAATAAAATAAATTGTAAATTAATTATGTTTTTATTCAATAATTGAAACATTTCTAGTAACCACTTGTGTAATACAAACATTAATAAGTTTTATTGTAATAGCATGCATTTTATTTTTACAAATCAATTAAGCGCGTTAACATGTTATTGATTTCTTATAATCTTATAATTGCGTATAATCTTAATATATATAATATATATATATATATATATATATATATATATCTTTTTTCACAAAGATGATACATGGAACCATTAGCAATATACATATATGTATATTACAGATGTTATTAGATTCCTTTTTTTCCTGTATGGCGCATTATATTATTCGAAAAGTCAATGATTTTTCCTTTACTTTATTTTCATATTTTGTATAATATAGTTAGTTCAATAACAATCTGGCTTTGCATATATGTTTTTACATATATGTACCAATAGTATATTTAGCTAACAAGTGCGGGGGATCGTAAATCGGCCGAGAGTGCGGAAGTTTGGTGCACGAGGCGAAGCCGAGTGTGACAATCCGCACGATCGGCCGATTTATGACCCGCACATGTTGGCTACGATATTTTGTGTGACCGGTGCGTGGAAAGAGAGCCCTTTCTAAAATCCCATCATGTGCGTAAAGGGCGACTTTTCGCGCGCCGGTTGCACAAAGTATATTTTATATGTGTATGTGTATGTGTAAAATGTTAGCCATATTTTGAATGGCTTTGAACACTTGGGCATTTTGAAATCTGTTTGCATAATCATTTTTGCAAATAAATTGCACTTTTAATGCAATACAATACTATATAATAATTTTAGGAAGTAATTATTGGATCGACAGCTATATATACAATTAATTCATTAATTATGTTAATTTATAGGATGTTTTATTTTAATTTCCTCAGACAAATCTAGGAAAAAAGGTTGAATAGAAATTGTAGAATTTTGAGGGGAAAAGAAATTACGATGTTATTGACTTTCTTAAAGGACATTTTCAAGATTATTTGAAGGTCATCTAAGTTTTTTTTAAACTATTTATGGAATTGCCTCATGTTTTTTTACAACTACTTATGAAATTACTTCAATTTTTGTATATAATCATAAATGACCTTCAAATGATCTTGAAAATCGCCCACTAGGATAAGTCATTAGCGCCAATTTCTTTCCCCCTAGAAATCCTACAACTTCTGATTAAACTTTTTTTTCGTATTTCGTTTAATTTTAAATATTCGCATGGAAAAATTAAAATAAAACATCCTATAAATATATATATCCAAGTAGCAAACTGACGTAATTCGGCGTTTAATGACGTATGCTACCTAGATATATATGTGTGTGTGTGTGTGTGTGTTTATATGTGTGTATAAGTAAATAGATAAAACGAGAATACATTTATATTATAATTGAACATTTTTACACTGCTATTTCATACTGTTAAAATGATATAACAATTGCAATTAATTCTATTAGAATTCTATTATTTATAGAGAAATGCTATTTTTTAAATACAACATACATTGTTGCTCTGGACAAAATTGGTAAAAAAAATTGACTTCTTACAATACAATGTAAAATTTCCATTTTTTTCTTTCTGCTTTTGTTAAAACAAACTTCTTCACAATAATAAAAATTGTGATAGGAATTGTAAATTGTTCTGGGAATACATATTTGCATTAAATATAATAATTATAATATTTGCATTAAATATAATTGCAAAACAAAAAAATCGCGGATTTTATTTCTTGTATAAGAATTCCTGATGATCTTATCTTATATAAGTATAAATCATTACAATATCCAGGATACATAAACCAGAATGTAGAATTATTCAAGAATTATGCAATTATAAACAAGAATTGATACACAAATATAGCTTATCTTTTATACACACACACACACATACATACATACACACACATGTTTTCTATATATATTGCAAGAAAAAGGAATTATTGAAGAATAATTAGAAAATATATTGTCGCACAAAATGTACGTTCAAGAGTGTTTTACTTATCAACAAATTAATTTTAATTCCAGAGCAATAAAAAAAAAATTAGAAAATGGCAGGATTTTAAAATACAAAAAGATTCGATTGTACAATATTTTTAAAATGAAAAAACAAACAAAATAACTTTTTCTCTATAATATATATATTTTTTATTCTAATACTTTAAAGCACTCGTTACTTTATATATATATATATAAACTATTAATTAAATGTACTATTTATATATACTATAAGAAACTCTATTGCTAGCAAATTGTTGTAAGTGATATGATTGTGTGTGGTATATTTGTATTTATTATACTATAATAATATAATATTTTCAGATTTGAACTGAATTTTGCTTGTAAATGTCTCATTAATGCCATAAATTTGTCTCTCTAAAGAATGTACTTATTCTTGGCATGTATTATTTACATGAAAAAAAAAGATATATTCTTTTTTTTCTTGCATTGCGAATAAACATTCGGTTGTTTCGAAATAGTTTACATATCGAGGAGGCCGCTCAATATTATTAATTTTTTACTATATATATATGGACAGGCTGTTCTATTTTAATTGCGCCCATAACTTTGTAATTTTTTATTGTACAACAAAATGTTTCAAATAAAATTGTTTAATTTGAAAGAAGACAGAAAATGGTGCTACTGATTCTTTTCTAAAGGACGCTTTTCAAGGTCATATGAAGGTCAATTACGTTTTTTAAAATTTTAATTACCATATTTTTTTTATATAAATTAATTTCTTGCAATTTTCTGCATAAAAAATTATAAGGTCAAAAAATGAATAGTTTTTGATATTTAAATATGACAAAATGATAACTTCGAGGAATCAATTTATATTAAAAATATATGGTGATTCCCTTTAAAAAAGAATCTGTAGTGACATCATTTGTCTCCCTTCAACTCAAACAACTTTCGTTTGAAGCATTTGCTGTATGTATAATAAAAAAAAAATTATAGGAGATGATTGATTAAAATGGAACACCCTATATATAATATTAAATTTGTGCTCTAAATATAATTCTGTTTATCGTTCGCCATCGACACCCGACAAGCGAAAACGAGGAACAGCTTCTTCACGGACTATACTTCTTCCGTTCACAGTTTACGTTCGGAAGTCGATAACGCTTTGCAGCACTATAAACGATTCGGTGGCTGGGTAGCGAGATCCACCATTTCGGTGTCCTCGACGCTGTTGGAGCCCATCGCGCGCTGCCTGTGCTGCTGCTGAAAGTCTAATGACGGGTGTAAGTGAACGTCCATCAGTTTGGGTGACGAGAAACTGTGCAAACCGGTCGCCGCACCAAAACCAGGATTGTTCAACAGTGTCCTACGCGGGCTCCTGGCGTTCACGACCTTCGGCTGCGCGTACATCTCCTCTAAGACGCTCGGCGCGACATACGTGAAGCCCTGAAAGATCATGTTCGCCGATTCGCTGAGAGTGCTTTCCACCGGGGAATCCACCGGCACCGTAGCGGTGAATTGCTCGTCGAACTGCGACGTGTCGTCGGCGCTCTTTAGGGCCGGTTTAAACGGCGGGTCCAGCTTCCGCGCGATCACGTCCTGCCAATTGATATGCTTGAAGAAGTTGTGGTTCTTGATCTGCTCGGCGTCCTCCAAGCCGGAGCCCAGTCTCTGGGCGACCTGCCTCTTCAAGAGCTTCCGTATGAGATCGCGGGCGTCCGGGGTCAAATACTGCGGAAGACTTAGCTTGCCGCGTAAGATCTTCTCGATGGTCTTCCTCCTGTCGTCGCCGGTGAACGGCGGCATTCCTGTAAGCATGTCGAACATCAGGGCGCCCAGACTCCACCAGTCTACCGCTTTACCGTGGCCGCTCCGGGTTAGGATCTCCGGCGCCATGTACTCTATCGTGCCGCAAAATGTGTGCGTCACCGTGCCCTCCTGTATATGCTCTTTGCAGAGACCGAAGTCCGTTAGCTTGACGTGGCCTTCGGCGTCGAGCAAGATATTCTCCGGCTTCAAGTCCCTGTAAATGATTCCCTGATTGTGCAAATGCTGGAGCGCTAGTATGATCTCGGACAGGTAAAAGCAGGCTGTGTCCTCCAGGAAGATACCCTCTCGGTCGAGGTAGGTGAAAAGCTCCCCACCACATAAATACTCCAGGATCAAGTACAGCTTGCCACCGGTTTGAAAAGCGTACATGAGGTTCACGATGAACGGATGCTTGACCGCCTCTAAGATATTTCTCTCGGCCTTGGTGTGAGCTGTGTCCTTCTGATTTCGTATAATAGACGCCTTGCGCAGTACCTTCATAGCAAAGATGCTGCCCTTGTCCTTGCCAGTGACCTTTCTGACTTGGAAGACCTTCCCGTAACCGCCCTCTCCCAGGATCTTGCATAATTCGAAGTCCTGTGGACCAGCTTTCTCTTGACCAGGGTTCACATTCTGCTCCGACAATTGAACTCTCTCCAAATTCTCGGATCTGAAGAGTAATTTAACGATTTTCAATGATTTTCAATTATTCTCCAAATCAAATACAACCAAAATACTTACTCTAATAGAGTGCTTACGGTTGCTGCATGATTATATTCCTCCTAAAAATGAATATATACATATATATATATATATATATATATATATATATATGGGAGAGAAGAGAGAGAAGACCCAAGTAGCAAACTGACGTCATAATCATCGAATTACGTCAGTCTGACATTTGATGATGCCAGTTTGACAACTATGACGTCATTAAACGTCAAACTGACGTCATAACTATCGAACGACGTTATTGAACGCCAAATTGATGTCTGTCAAATAACGTCATTAAACGTCAAACTGACGTCATAATTGTTGATTGACGTCATTTTGACATTTGATGACGTCGGTTTTACTACGACGTCAAAATGACGTAAACTTGCTATCAGGGGAGGGGGAAATCAAAGCATATCACTATTATAAATATAATTTAAATTTTACAAGAATTATATTTCTTTACCTCTCTGTTTTCGATTACATCGTCATCTGATTCGTCTTGATTTGTGGCATCACCGTCGTGCAACTCGATGTCAAATACTCCTGCCATTCTCTCGATACGTCAAAAATTCACATCGAAAAATTATACAAGTTGAGGAAATCACGTGTTCGCAATCTGTCAATCTTTTTTTCTTATCAGAAGCGAAATTGCACCAAAAAATGCTGTAGATAAGCTTGTGTAGATACTGTAATTTCTGAAAATTGTGAGCGTATTTAAAGAGTAGGCTCACCTCGAATTATGTAAAACTAATGATGTAGCGACAAAGTATCTCGTATTTATCGTATTTATCCAGTTTCTTTAAAACAAATCGGGAAAACTCTGAAACTCCAAGTTTCAACAATATCGATAAGTTCACATATGTAAGTTTCCGGATGCACGCATGAAAATAACCTGTCTTTCCAGGTTGATATCAAATTCCGACGTGACGATATAGAACATACACAGGTGTACTGACGTTTCTACATGCAAACTGTGTGAATTTTGATAGTAATTGCACATAAAATATACTAGAGGGCAGTGTCATACAAAGATGACGTCACTAAAAGTCCCTACAAAGTCTAGAGACTAGGGATTTTAAGGACTTCTATTTTATTATTTATTTAATCTTTCATTATTTATTTAATCTTTTATTATTTACTTAATCTTTTATTATTTATTTAATCTTTTATTATTTATTTAATTTTTTATTATTTATTTTATGGACGGTATTCATAGTGCATTCTTAAGCAGGGAGCACAGACTCTTGCATAAAGCGAGGAGCACACAAGATTTGTTCACGTCGCATGCCCCAACATGCTCCTTCTTACTCCAATGCGCTCGTATTGGTGCGCTCCTCGAATTGGACCAATACGAGCTCATTGAAGTAAAAAAGAGCAAGTTAGGGCATGCGACGCGAACAAACCTACACTTTTGCATAGGCGCATAAACGTAAACATAAGAATCTTGATTGGTCTATAAACGTATGCATAAAAAATTCAACCAATCGAATTTCCTATGCATATGCTTATGCGCTTATGCAAGAGTGTGTGCTCCCCGCTTTATATTTTATGTGTGATATGTCGGTGTGTGTCGTACGAAGTAGTAGGACGGTTTTACAATACGTCGTATGTCGCAGTCGGATGTCGGAACGCAAGCGATTGTCCAATGAAAAAATTTCTTTTTCGGAAACAAAATTTTTTCATTGGACAATCATTTACGTTTTGACATCCGACTGTAACACAGATTAATAGACAGATCGCCAAAGGTCTGGATGAAGGAGAGACCAGCATTTCTCACTGATTTCAGCGCCATATCGTAGTAGTGGTCAATGCAGTAACTATTAATACGTTCCTAAGATGAGCGTCTCATGCTCATGAACTCGTCCGGCGGCATGTACGAGATTTATCTTTTCGTAGCGTTCGCGTATTTCGGAAAGGACAGAATTTTATGATGTTATAAATAAATAAATAAATAAATAAATAAAATATTAACCTGACCTATTATAATTATTTTTTAATAAATGTTTCATTATTATTATCATCTAAGTCTAAGTCGTTTAATTAATTTTTAGTTTTTTAATAATTAATTTAATTTATTCTAATCATTTTAATATGTGAAAAATACTAATACGTATACGTTTTATAATGAATTAATATATTTCGAGAGTCGAATTATATATTTTTAATAATATAAAAGTGTTCAAAAATTATATTTGACTTTTAATTTTAATTATTTTAGCAAAGAGTTCCGAAATCTCTTACACACATAATAGGGATTTTGTTCATCCATATAATTCGCAATTAAGTATATATGTTAATTATTAATTTTAATAAAATACAAAATTAAAATTAAAGGTCAAATATAATTTTTGAACATAAATATATTTAATTCGTTATAAAACGTATACCCGTGATAGTATTTTTCTCGTACAAAAATAATTAATTTAAGTATTCGAAATAAAAGTGATTAATTACTCGAAATAAGTGATAAATTGGCGTTACTAGTAATAAATTTCTATAAGGGTTGAAATAAAGTATAAGAGATAAATAGGTTATATGTGAGCCGTATGCGAAATGTGAGATGTAAGACGCATATTGAAATTTAATTTTTCGATATAACTTTCAAAAATGTACACGAGGTACAAAAAATTAGCTTGGACATTTGTAAGACTTAAAATTGGGATTAATTCTCAATTCTATTAATTAAATTTCGATATAACACACCTTACATCCGCGCACGGCTCACATATAGCCCATTTATTAGTGCAATTTTTAAGTTCCTTATTTTTCAAAGTTCACCTTTTTACGTTATCAAATATTTTTGGTACGTTTTCAAGAATTTTATATTTTTACTTACCGCAGTTTCTTATCCAAATGTAAAATCTTTTATCGCAGTCTATAAAAAATTGAAACAATTTACAATTTTATGATATAATATTATTATTATTACAATTTCTATATATATGCACATATCTGTCAAATATCGTGATTTATTTCACATTATTATTATCTATTTTAATAAAAAAAAAAACAAAAACACTTGCAACAATCAAAAATAAACCGCCTGCCGCGAACGGAAAATGCCAAGAAAGCACGCAATTTCCGCGAATCTCGTAATTTTTTTGAAAAATCAACAATTTCAACGAAATTGTAAATTCTTCAAATCACTGCACAAGTATAATTCACAATAATAATTTGCAGTAACTACGATAAAAAATCGTATACTGAAAACCGCAAACGAAAGTGCAATGGGAGTAAGAGTAAAGTCTGTGATAAAATTAATTTGCAATAGAAAATTAATAATTTGCAAATAGAAAAATTTTGAAATTACCGAGGATTTACAAATAATAAAGTAAAAATATTAAATAATTTATGTTTTCGAATTTTGCTCGCGGAGAGGATCTTTAAAACAAGATTTTTAGAAGAGAGGACCTTTAAAATATAAACAGGCAAAAACGTTGGAAAAATTAAAGCGCGCGTTTAAACAGATAAACGCAATGAAATAAATACGCAATTGTTTTTACTTATCGCTGTAAGCTCACAAGCTTCTGACGTGCTATACACTTTTATATAATATATACAGGGTGTCCGGTAACTAACGGACCAATGATTAAGGGCGGATTCTCTGGCCAATTTGGAGACGATTTTTCCTTAGCAAAAATGTTGAGAAGTCAATAATTTTCGAGTTATAAGCGATTGAAAAAAATAGGTTTTTTGAAAACTAAACGTTTTGGAGTTAAAAGTCTAACATAATTACATTCTTCAGTTAATTTCAGGTAGAGTTTACTATAATAAAATTTTAATTTAAGGCTTAGTTATAAAGATACATAATGACAAAGATTGGAAAGTTGTAAAAAATGATGACCTTTTTCGACATTTTCGCTGAGGAAAAATCGTTCCCAAATTGACCAAAGAATCCATTTGTAATCATTGGTCTGTTAGTTACCGGACACCCTGTATATTGGACACGAGTTTCGTTTGTTTCAAATTCTCGAGAGTTGAAGTAGGAACATACGAGTATCATATATCGTTTGTGACTTGCCGAATGAAAGCAAGACAGAGAGCGAACGAGATGATGAGCTTAATAGCTCATAATGTTATAAATAAATAAATAAAAAATTATAACCTGACCTACTAGTTATTGAATCTTTTTTTAATAAAATATTTCATTATTATTATCATCTAAGTCTAAGTCGTTTAATTACTTTTTAGTTTTTTAATAATTAATTTAATTTATTCTAGTCATTTTTATATGAGAAAAATAATATCACGTATACGTTTTATAATGAATTAATATATTTCGGGAACCGAATTATATATTCTTAATAATATAAAAGTGTTCAAAAATTATATTTGACTTTTAATTTTAATTATTTTATAGCAAAGAGTTCCGAAATCTCTTACACACATAATGGGGATTTTTTCATCCATATAATTCGCAATTAAGTATATATGTTAATTATTAATTTTAATAAAATAAAAATTAAAATTAAAGGTCAAATATAATTTTTAAACACAAATATATTAAATTAATTATAAAACGTATACCCATGATAGTATTTTTCTCGTACAAAAATAATTAGAGTAAATTAAATTAATCATAAAAGATTAAAAATTAATTAAAGAATTTAAACTTATATTTTATATAATAATAATAAAACATTTTATTACGTCAAACCGTCGTGAAATAATTAAATAAAATTTGCTAGTTACGTCAAAGTCAAGTTTTCTAAGCTTATAAAACATTTTATTAAAAAACAGATTCAATAAATATAAGTACATGTTATATATATACTTATATTTATTGAATCTGTTTTTTTTATAAAATGTTTTATTATTATCATATATAATATAAATTATTTAATTATTTTTTTATTTTTTATGAGTAATTTAATTTGTTCTAATTATTTTTGTACGAGAAAAATACTATCACGGATATACGTTTTATAACGAATTAAATATATTTATGTTCAAAAATTATATTTGACCTTTAATTTTAATTTTGTATTTTATTAAAATTAATAATTAACATATATACTTAATTGCGAATTATATGGATGAACAAAATCCCTATTATGTGTGTAAGAGATTTCGGAACTCTTTGCTAAAATAATTAAAATTAAAAGTCAAATATAATTTTTGAACACTTTTATATTATTAAAAATATATAATTCGACTCTCGAAATATATTAATTCATTATAAAACGTATACGTATTAGTATTTTTCACATATTAAAATGATTAGAATAAATTAAATTAATTATTAAAAAACTAAAAATTAATTAAACGACTTAGACTTAGATGATAATAATAATGAAACATTTATTAAAAAATAATTATAATAGGTCAGGTTAATATTTTATTTATTTATTTATTTATTTATTTATAACATCATAAAATTCTGTCCTTTCCGAAATACGCGAACGCTACGAAAAGATAAATCTCGTACATGCCGCCGGACGAGTTCATGAGCATGAGACGCTCATCTTAGGAACGTATTAATAGTTACTGCATTGACCACTACTACGATATGGCGCTGAAATCAGTGAGAAATGCTGGTCTCTCCTTCATCCAGACCTTTGGCGATCTGTCTATTAATCTGTGACATGGAGCACATTTTGAGCGGAAAAGCGGAACGGGGAATTATAAAATATTAATATTTAACTATATTTATTGATTAAAATGCTTGTATTCAATAGATAAGTTGAAAAGATGAACATATTAAAGGGAATTACAATGAATTAAGTAAATATAAATTTAAAAAATTAATACAAATGTCTATTTGTCACTATACCGTTCCGCTTTTCCGCTCAAAATGTGCTTCATGTAATATAAGGCAATCAAAACAGACGGAACGGAACGCGCGGAAATGCGGGACTCTAGTAAAGTTTAGTTACTTTCTCTTCCGCGTTTCCGCGTTTCCGCGTTTCCGCGCGTCCATGTAATCGCACCCTAAGCCTTAGTGAAAAAAACTGTAGTTGAACAGCTGTTTGGTGGGTGGATTGGCGGCGCCATTTTGAATTCCAATGCTGAAACAATGAATGCGACGACCTTATTTCACTTTTCGTCATTTATCTACGGACCTTGTTGTCTTGAGATCTCGTTCAATCAATCAAGAGATGCTATGCGGCCATTTGATTAATTGAACGAGGTCTTAAGACGATCTTAAATATAAGGGCTATTCTACAATAGGTTGCAAATATTCTTGTTGCTAGTTGATAGTTGCGGATTAACCAATCAGCTGACAAGTCGCTTTGCTCTGATTGGTCAATTGACAATTGTTAATTAGCAACGAGGATATTTGCAATCTATTGTAGAATGGCCCTAAGAACCAACTGTGAATACAGGTCTATAATTTTATTTATTTCATTTATTTCATTTATTTCATTTATTTCATTTATTTCATTTATTTCATTTATTTCGTTTATTTCGTTTATTTCGTTTATTTCGTTTATTTCGTTTATTCGTTTATTTCGTTTATTTCGTTTATTTCGTTTATTTCGTTTATTTCGTTTATTTCGTTTATTTCGTTTATTTCGTTTATTTCGTTTATTTCGTTTATTTCGTTTATTTCGTTTATTTCGTTTATTTCGTTTATTTCGTTTATTTCGTTTATTTCGTTTATTTCGTTTATTTCATTTATTTCATTTATTTCATTTATTTCATTTATTTCATTAATTTTATTTTTTATTTTTTATTTTTTATTTTTTATTTTTTATTTTTTATTTTTTAATACAACAATTAAAACAATACAATATAAGACCAACTTACAAGCAAACAAATAGGTGTGATAAAATGAATTCAAATTTATTAGTAAATCTTGAACTTAAATTCTTACATAAATTAAAATTTAAACTTAATTTGAACTTTTGATATACCAATTTAATTAATTTAGTTTATGTGAAGATAGATTGATTATTGTACTGAAGAAGACTAGATAAATCGAAACGTTTACTTTAAGATAATGTAAAGAATTTTAGTTCAAATTTTAATTTATGTAAGAAGTTAAGTTTAAGATTTACTAATAAATTTGAATTTATTTTATTACACCTATTTATTTGCTCGTAAATTGGTCTTATATTGTATTGTTTTAATTGTTGTATTGTATATAACAAGCCTTTTTGCTTTTTAAATTTTATTTTTATTTATTTTATTTTTATTTATTTTCTTTATTTATTTTTTTATTTATTTTATTATTTATTTATTTTATTTATTATTTTATTATATATTTTATTTTTTATATTTTTTTATGCAATTTTTTATTCAAATATAGTCCCTTGCACGATGCCAGCCAACAAGCAATAGGAATAAGAAATAGAAAATATCCACCAATAAGAGCAGAAATAATATCTATCTCCTTTTCCGATTGGAATTTCTAGGGACTTTGCGACTCTGACAATAATTTCTAGGATTTTAGGGACTCTAAATAATCCGAGGCGCCACAAGTTCACTGAAGTGAAACTAACATTCGCACTAGGTATTATTTGGTATTCCAAGACACAAGACCTTCTCATTTTCTCGTTTGCTGCGGAAAGTTTAAAAATAGTTAAATATATTCGCTGATGAACGCTGTGATATAAATTGCCTCGGCTTTCGGTTCTCCGATCGAACGAGCCTCATCTCGTATTTGGAAAAGATTCCCGCACAAACTCCGATTATGGCTTCGAAAATGACGCTTTCCCAAGCATTAGGAACAGATGGAAGCGATTATAATCATAGGCAAAAGATTGCAACACACTATCAAGTTAGGTGAGAAAATCTTTAAAAAATAAATATATAATTTTTGAATTTTTGAAATTTACGAATCAATTGAATGATTCGATAATTTTTTTCTACTAATTACATTTTAACAAGCTAGCACTGAAATATTTAGAGTACAATCTGTTACTGTATATTAATTAAATACTTTAACTTTAGAAGTAGATTTATATTGATTCATTAATTATTTTAATCTATAAAAAAAGCTTATGTATAGTATATAAATATACATATAAAAATTCCTGCAATTTTTATCTCTGGTTAAAATATTTTTACTTTCAGTGCAACAAATAAATCAAGACTGAAGTATTGTATATTTTTTCACTACTTGTTATTTTTTGTCATGCTTGCTAAACTTTCTGCAGATATATTAGATTACCTAGACATATTTATCTTAGAGGTAGAAGAGCTACAAATACCACAGGTATAATAAATATATATCTTGTAAATTTGTAGAATTTAGACCAATCATGCTTTATATTTTATTGGATATTTTAAGTAAATCTAAGAAAATTATTAAGTATCAGATATCTTTGATTGATAAATTTTACATATATTGAAAAAAATGTGATAAATCTACATATTTTCTCTTCACTCATAATGTAAATCTTCTTGTCAGCTAATTAATTTATTTTTTCTATTTTAGCCATTATGGTGGGAATATATATGGTGCACTAGTTTGTTATTATCTTTTCTCGCTCTCTCAGCGATTAAAAGAAATAAAATTAAAACACTGCAGAGATATATGATAGGAATCGTTTTACTAGGTTATGGTTCACTGATATATGCTATTGTATATTATTTTAAGGATGTCTGGGCATACTTAACTGTGGGTGAATCTGCTGATATTTTTTTGTGGAAGGTATTATTTTTATTTTTATATATTTGGAGTTGTCAACTTTAGTCAGGGTTGAGTAATAACTAGTTAATTAGTTAAAAGTTGAAAAAAAAGTTAAAAAATTAACTAACTTAACTAGTTGACTAAATGTTTTATTAAATGAAATTGTCAAATTTAATTTTATTTAATTTGATATTTGCAAGACTATTTATTCAATATAGGTATTAAAAAAGGCTAATAAGAATCAAATGTTGGAGGCATTAGTAAAAAAACTCCTAAATAATTTAATTAAGAACACTGTTTATTAGTTTAAAAATTAAATGTTTGTTTCCACTTTGTACTATCTTAAGTAACAGTATAACAAAAAAGGGAAATAACATACTGTACGGCTCAATATTGAATAATAACTTGAAATAAGATTGGCTGTAAAAGCCCAACACGGATGTTTGTGCGTGAAGACCGTGAAATAAGACTTAAATTGGAAAGAATCTCATATTTTGTGAGATATTACTGTCCTAGTTCCCTTAAGGCTGATTTTTCCAACTTCTCGGTAAGTTTTACCTGACAGATTGCATATTTTCATTTCTCTTCAGATAAGTTCTAAAAAAAGAGACAAAGATATGCTACTTGTTGGATAAAACTTACCAAGAGTTGGAACAACCGGCCCTGGAAAAAAAAGAAACATAATTTATTTGTTCATTAAGAAAAAATAGTTTTGGTTTTAGATTTTCAGCAAAAACAAACTTTGTACTAATGTTATATAATTTATTTTTCAGGATCTACCATATGGCGTACTTTGGTATGCATTTATTCTTTTAGCATCACAAGTTCATTTTTTCTCCTTATTCTTTTCTTGGAATCTACTGGTTGCCTGGAAAACACGAAGTGCCAAAAAAATGGAGTGAACCCAAATAAACGACTACAAACACTGTCAAGTTTGATAAGTTTGCATAAGATATGCAACATATTACAGATATTTCAGAATGTAAACGTTCATATTTATTATTTACGTTGAAAAACAAAGATATATAATATTGTTATGCAAAATAGTATCTAAAATGTGTGAAAAATGTATGAGAAATGTAACTAAATGAGAGAATATCAATATGTATTTATGTATATATACAAAAATATATACAAAAATTAATTAGATTTATATTTTTTTAATGAGATTTATGAGTTTTTTATTGTAAAAATATATCACATGTGAATAGTAATAATCATTGATTGATAATTATATATTAATTTGTTACAACTTTACATTTAAACAAAATTTTATCGGTACTTGTTAATGCAAAATAGAAAATAATATCTATCACTATCTACTAATGTATGTAACTGCTTTTATTGGAACATTTTTTATTTCCTGTTCCTATGGCTTATACTTTTGTATTGTACAATAGATCTATAGTTCTATGCATAATTAAGAGAAAATATTAAATATTAGGAATAGGAATTATTTTAAATCATAAAATAATTATTAAATAATGAAATATTATTTACTAAAATATTCAGTGTTAAATAAAATTAAAAATTCTAATATACAAAATACAAATTCAGGTATAAAAGGTTTTTATACTCTTAATTAAAAGTTTTTTATATCCAAATTTGTATTTGTGTAGATCAGAGTTATCGATTTTATTATAAATTCCTATTCCTAATATTTTCTCTATTATGCATATCTTTATTCCTTATCCAGTGTTGTGCTTAGCTGATTTAAAATTAGCTAGATAAAGATGAAATAAAAATATGTAAATTTATCTTCGATAAGATGAAGAGACTTCGTTTTAATAAATTAATATATCTAGATAAAATTATAAAGCGATTTCATCTAGATAACGTTCAGAGATAATATTATTTTTAAGGTTGTTTATGTAAAAATAAATTGTTATAAAAAAATGTAAATTCTAAACAGTGTTGTGTGTAGATGATCTTAAAATTAGCTAGATAAAGATGAGATAAAAATAAGTAAATTATTTATTTTAGATAAGATGATGATTTTGTTTTAAATATATCTGGATAAAAAATAACATATGGCAATTCATTTAGATAATTTTCAAATATTATTTTAAGATTGCTTATGTAAACATAATTATAAAAAAAAATATAAATTATAAAAGAGATATAAAAATATCCATATATGTATATGTCGATCTAAGGGCGGATTCACATCTTTGTAGAAAACAGAAAAGCAAAAGCCAATCAGGGAGTCGATTGTATAACTTTTTCTAAAGTAAAAATGTGAAAAGTGAAAATTTTCTTCCAATCACACATCGATTTCATTTTAAAATCAATGCGTGATTGGTGGAAATTTTTCACTTTCGAAAAAGTTACACAATCGACCCCCAGGGTATCGATTCTGTAACTTTTTCTAAAGTGAAAATGTGAAAAGTAAAAAATTTCCGCCAATCACGCATTGATTTTAAAATGAAATCGATGGGCAATTAGCGAAAACTTTTTACTTTTCACGTTTTCACTTTAGAAAAAGTTACAGAATCGATACCCTGAACTCGCGTTGGCAGTAAGTTTACTACCGAGTTTACTAAAGACCTATGAGATGCGCCAACTCCGAACCGTTTTTGATTGGCTCTTGAAGTCACGTGGTTTTTCCGCTATCTTCAGGGTACTTATTACAGTTTTTTGGATGAGTTTGCTCACGAGGTAAAAATCACAAAAGTGAGAGATTCACTAGGTTGTCTACGCTTCTATTGGTTAAAATCTAGTGAATCTTTCATTTTTGTGATTTTTATCTCGTGAGCAAACTCACCCAAATAACCGTAATAGGTACCCTGAACGTCGATTGTGTAACTTTTTCTAAAGTGAAAATGTGAAAAGTGAGAAATTTCTTCCAATCACACATCAATTTTTTTTTTAAATCAATGCGTGATTGGCGAAAATTTTTCACTTTTCACGTTTCTACTTTAGAAAAAATTACACAATTGACTCCCTGGGTATCTATTACGGTTATTTGGGTGAGTTTGCTCACGAGATGAAAATCACAAAAATGAGAGATTCACTAGATTTTGACCAATAGAAGCGTAGACAACCTAGTGAATCTCTCACTTTTGTGATTTTCACCTCGTGAGCAAACTCACCCAAAGAACCGTAATAAGTACCCTGATCATTGCAAGCGCGCGTTGACACAAATCTACTTGGTACAAAGCACTATCATGGTGCAAGATGCAGATTATTGTAAAAAGATAAGTTTCCATGAGGAAATTAATTTTCGAGCACAATATTGATATTTTAGTGATAGTTGATAAACAGAAAAAAATATGCTTCATTCTCCATTGCTCCACTGCTCTGCTCTGCAGCTTCGAATGCTCCGTGCTCGCTTTATTAATTTGTCTTCTGCTTTAAGCGGGGAGCACACACTCTTGCATAAGCGCAGAAGCATATGCATAAGAAATTCGATTAGTTGAATTTCTTTTTCATACGTTTATAGACCAATCAAGATTATTATGCTTACGCTTATGCGTTTATGCAAAAGTGTATGCTCTCCGCTTAAAGGTCGACAGGCAACATGGTGAAGACGCCTATCGGCCGGCCAAGAATTACGGATTCGTTCATCCTATATATTAGCCAAAATACTAAGACGTCAGTTTACTACTTGGGATATAATATATAATTGTTTAGTTCTGTGAAGTTAGTCTGCCAAAATTAGATTTTTGAAGTTTCAATAATTGGAATCAATAGTTGGTCTTTTATTGATCATTGTTGGTCATATTTAACTTTTGTTGGTTATTAGTTTGATTGTTATTAAAAAAATAAATATCAATGTAAAGTTAGCCTACCTAAATATACAATTTTACTAGATTTTAATTAATTATACGTCAAATCGATAAGAAATCAATTGTTGGTCCCAATTATGTCTTTTTAGAAATGATTGTTGGTCGATTATTTACTAATTATAATAAAATAATTATTTTTCAATTGCTCACATATACTGCGCATGCGCATATATACTGCGCATGCTGTTTCCAATCATTAAGTTAGCTCTCTACAAATATATTATTCCGCGATCAGAGAAATGTACAATTAGATGAAACAGGTATTTTATACAAATCCGTTTAAATTGACATATTTATAATTAGTCTTAGTGTATTTATTAGGATTTTAAGTAATTGTACTAACAATATAAACTTTGTATTGAGTCTTGTTTGGTTTTGCATTCACTTCAGATTTGATAAGTTTCTCGAAATCCTCACTGCTGTAATTTGGTCTTTTTATAGTCAACAACTTCTCTTTTAATTGAAAAACTACCAGATGATGTGGGAATTGTCTATCAGCAATACTCGCTGTTGTCAACGGGAGCAGGTTGAGGTTAATAAAAGGTGCTCCCTGGTCCGTGCTTGTGAAGCCATAGTCAAATATCTGTAAAATAAGAAATATTAATATAACAATTTAATTGTTTTTTATTTAGCAATAATAATTTTTTTTATTTTTCACCTGTAATAACCATAAATTTTCTAATAACTGATTTTCTCAACACAAAGTTTATATCGTTAGTACAATTACTTAAAATCCTAATAAATACACTAATACTAATTATAAATGTGTCAATTTAAACGTATTTGTATAAAATACCTGTTTCATCTAATTGTACATTTCTCAAATCTGATCGCGGAATAATATATTGTAGAGAGCTAACTTAATGGTTGGAAACAGCATGCGCAGTATATGTGAGCAATTGAAAAATAATTATTTTGTTATAATTAGTAAATAATCGACCAACAATCATTTCTAAAAAGACATAATTAATTGGGACCAACAATCGATTTCCTATCGATTTGACGTATAATTAATTAAAATCTATTAAAATTTATATTTAAGTAGGCTAACTTACATTGATATTTATTTTTTTAATAACAATCAAACTAATAACCAACAAAAGCTAAAATATGACCAACAATGATCAATAAAAGACCAACTATTGATTCCAATTATTGAAACTTCAAAAATCTAATTTTGGTAGGCTAACTTCACAGAATTTAATTTTTTATATTTATAAATAACAGAAAAAATATATTATCCTTATCAATAAGGCAATCTTTATTTCCAGCAAAAAATACTTAACAAAATAATGTCACGCGATTGGCCATTAGATAGAAAAATTCTGGGGACTTAAAAAATTTTCTATTCGACAACCAATCACGTTACTTGCGTTTATCAATGCTTTCTTGCTGGAAAGCTTCCTAGGGGTGGCTCAGTGCTGCATCTATATACATTCATAAGTTCACGTACGAAAGCAATTGTGTGGTACGAGGACTCTCGTTCGTGTAACATTTTCTTCTAGCGATTGAGAATTTTGTAAAAACATAACAGAATCATAATCAAATGATCGGAGTACCATCGATAAAAAATCTACGATCCTCGGCTTCGATATCAATACATCCCACATCTTGAGTTCGAAGGTTGACACGAAGTGAAATAGATTTCATCGGATAAAACTTTGCACTCTTTTTTAGAACTTTCAATTGAGATGAGATGGATACATAGTCGAGTGCTGAAGAGTGAGCAAGCGAAAGACCCGAGGTCGAAAAGTGCAAGTGAAACGGATAGACCTCTCTTAGTTAAAACAGGAAGCCAAGCGAAGAGTGAGTGACATTTGAAGAGGGGAATGATAAAATTTAAAAAATTTATAAATTATGAAGTATCAGCATGGTTGTGTCAAAATTCGATGGGATGTCGATATGTTGAATTTGCACCATTTTGAGGAATTTCAGTCAGAATATCATTCCACTATAATATTGCATTCTTCATTTCTGTAATTTATTGTGCAATTAAAGTAGATTTAAACATATTGATATCGGAAAAAAAATATCTATACTCTTAACAATAAAAACAATATTAAGGGGATGCTGAAGTGGTCTTGAGAAGTCAGTTGTTTTTTCTTTCTTATCGACAAAATATGAGGTTAAATAAACTATAAATCTATTTATTGGCTATATGGATTGTTTTTTACCTAAAATTAGACCGCTTTGTTCTTTGTTAATATTAATACTTTTATTTCTATAGGCAAAAAATTTATCAATCTGTATAGTCTCATATTTCTTGATTACAGAATAAGAATTCATAATTCTATAATCAAGAAATATGAGACTATACAGATTGATAAATCTTTCTCATGTACAAATTAAAGTATTAATATTAACAAAGAGCGAAGCGTTCGAATTTTAGGTAAAAAACAATTCGTATAGTCAATAAATAGATTTATAGTTTATTTAACCTCATATTTTGTTGATAAGAAAGGAAAAAAACAACTGACTTCTCAAGTCACTCCAGCATTCCCTTAAGAACCCTATTAATATTATATGAAGAATATTCTTGTGTTACGAATGTTATCATTAATATTTCGCTGTAATTGCATTCCTCACTTTTGTAATTAAAGTGGATGCAGGTTATTTGAACATATCGATATATTGAATTTGCACCATTTTGAAGAATTTTATTCAGAATGTCATTCCACTTTAATATTGCATTCTTCACTTCTGTAATTTATTATGTAATTAAAGTAGATTTAAACATATTAATATCTAATATTTTTGAAAAATATCTATACTCTTAACAATAAGAATAAGTAATATTAAGAAGCCTATATATATATATTATTCTTAATATTACGTGCAGAATATTATTTTTGTGTTACGAATGTATAAATAATAAATTTTTCCAGTTGGCGATGATTATATCAGAATGATGTGCAATACTTAATGTTAACGAGGAAGCCATTAGTATATAATATTAAAATATTGGAATCAAAATAGAAATTAAAACATAGAAGTAATATAATATTATGGTAATAAAAGGATATACGTATATCTATTAATTAAATACAAGCTATTTATATATATGCTAATGTCGATCCTGCATTATAACTGTACAAAGGTATACTATTATATCATATTTATATTTATATAAATCTGTTGTAATGATTGTTATATATAATATAATGTAGGAAATATTAATCAAGTATATAACAAGAAGACACAAATATATATAATTAATTTATTATGCTAATGCAATGATATATGAATTGAAAATATTTTATATCAGAGAATCAGAGCCAAATAAAAGATTTTAGTTTATGTATTTATATTTGTATTTATAATTTATATTTTTGATTATATTTGTTTTATTTATATTGTAATAATATTGAATAATATATAGAGAAATATTAAATTATTCTTATTTAGTTACAACTTGACACTAGTATTGATAAATAAAAGCATTATGTTATCTTTTAAAGTTTTATGTTTTTAAACGTGTTAAAATATATTTCTTAATGAACACATCTTTTAAATTGCTAACTTAATCTCTAGAATGATATGATATCATTAGTGTAATATCATTTTTCAGATATTTTAATCTGTTGACGAAAAAGTTATAGGGCCAGTACAGGATTAGGCATATTTTAGTTACAATTATAATATTTATATCAATTAATAATTACATATTGTAATTTAATAAAATTATAATATACTATTAAAAATAAGGAACACTTTTCATACCCAAAGTGTCTCCTATATTTTTTTGAATATATTAAAATAGAATATTTATCTAATATTTATAATAATGAAATTGATATGATGGATATGAAATATGATATTATACTAGAACATAATATATTATACTTTTTAAATATTCAGTTAACAATACAATTATTAATACAACAAATATGTATAGTACTTATTTAAATATGCAGCAATTAATATAATAATAGTTATAATATTTTTATATTATTTATAGAAGTTTTATAGAATAATAAGATTGTATTTATTTCTTAGGTGTATTAGAGAAACAAAGAGAGAGAGAGAGGATATTAATCAACTATATTCTGCGGATTACAAAGCCTCCAATGATGTTTTCTTCGGGTCTTAATTGTAATCTCTCTTTCCCTAGTTGTTTGGGTTATCCGCAAGATAGTGAGGAATTGATCCCAAAAATGGCACGTGAACCAATCATTCTTAATGTTTATGATATGGTAAGTCATCATATTTATATAATCACATATCACAAGTAAAATAAATATTATTAAAAGACTTACTTATTATTGTAATTGTTACAAATTTTTTAAATATTTTATATAATTTTTATATAAAATATATATAATTTATTATAATTTATTATAATTTATTATAATTTTTTATATAAAAATTTAAAAAAATTTTATATTTTTAATACTTATGTTAATTGGCTCGACGATTAGAAATATTTATATTTTTATTTGCAATTAATTGCATTATTTGCATTATAAGAAATTTTTTAAATATATTAATATGTTCTGTTGTAGTATTGGATAAATGAATACACTACACCTATTGGTCTTGGTGTGTTTCATTCAGGAGTGGAAATATATGGAACAGGTATATATGTATATATATATATATATATATATATATATATATATATATATATATATATATTTTCAAGAATTATGAATTATGTGTGAAATAAGGATTTTTGAAATGTGTATTTCTATTACAGAATATGCATATGGTGGACACGCACAACCAAGAAGTGGCATTTTTGAAATCACACCTAGGGTCGCTGAAGAATTAGGCGAACAATTAGATATAGGTGCAATTTTTAATTTTTTTTTATATAAACATAAAAAAAGATTTCTCTTTAAACAGATAAATATGTTTAAACAGATAAATATGCGTTCAAATATGTCATATAATGTGAATCTCATAGTTATGTCAATTTTTTTGTTTTATAGACAATCCGTTCATATTGGATATACAGATTTCACAGAGGAAGACGTTTCAAGGATTATTACAGAGTTGGGGAAAGATTTTAGAGGAGATCGCTATCATTTGATGAACAAAAACTGTAATCACTTCAGCAGTCAATTTACATTGGTATATATTATTTTTTTTTAACAACATTAATGGATATACAGGGTGTCCCATAAAATATCTCGTAAACTATTTGCCTTCTTACCTTTCTAACTTTATGCAGAATAATGTGAGGTTGATTTTAAAAAAATGACTATTTAAAAAACACATGACTGTTAAATGACCTTCAAACAACTAGTCAAGGTCAAATCATTATCCGCTTTGAAACCATACAATTTTTATTTGAAATATTTTTTAATAAAATTATATTTTTTTACAATAAATATATTTAATATATATTATATATATAAATATATTTATTTATTAAATATGTGAAATAATAAATATTTTAATTAAATATATTATTCTAAACTAAAATATAAAATTATACATGATATCGAAATATTTGACTGTCAAAAATGAAATGGGATATTTTGTATATATTGTATTATGGTAGATGATATAATAAAAATTAATTTATATATTTTCTGTGTGTATTTTTATATAGATTCTGTGTGGACAGGAAATACCCGGTTGGGTGAATCGTCTAGCATATTTCAGTTCGTGTGTACCGTTTCTCCAACGTTGTTTACCAAAGGAATGGCTGACGCCTGACGCTCTGCAGCATTCTCTTAGCCAAATTAGTCATCACGAGAGTACACCACCATCGGATACTTCATTGTAACATTTAATTAACGTTGTTGAGACGCCCGGTCTAAAATACTGTAGGAGTTATACATTCTAGGTAATATTAAACATGACGAGGAAAAAAATGAGCAAAAATGTTAGAGTTATGACTTTGCCAAGATTTGAAAATTTAAGAAACTAAGCCGTCGAAGCAAGGTACAAATTTGATATTGTACACTTGAATGCGACAACTGCTAACAATTAATACAAAAAAAAATAAAAGATTGCCTTTGTTGCAAACGTGTCTCCCGGGATGGCAATCTGCAAATGTCGCATGTGTTCTTTGTTGAATAATAATACAGTCAAGATACTATAGTTATTTATATATATATATATATATATATATATATATATATATATATATATATATATATATAATATATAATAAATAGATAAAATTATACATATGAATTCAAGCTGTAATGAACAAGAAACTTATATGTTAATGAAAACAAAACTTATTATGTTAGAAGGATACATTACTAAAATTAATTTTTTTACTAAAGTATTTATTTTTTATTTTTTGCATTTGAAGCTGTAAAGCACTAAGTTTTAAAGTATAATGCATGAACATCAGATAGATATATACATTATATGTAAGAAATATATATTATATGCGATAGTTTGAATATATATATTTAATGATCTAATTACTTTTACTCTATAATTTATAATATGCATATATTTTATATCTTATATATAGAATTCCATCGTAAATATTTTAAATTGCAATATTCTAGGGATGAATTAGAGTCGAAAATTCTACTAGGACAATGTTAAATTTTGTTTAAATTCAGGTTTGTTCTTGAGTTTGAAAATTCTGCTATTAATTTAATTAATATTAATTTATATTGCATAATTAATATTCAGACATTAATAGTATAGTTAAAAATAAGAAAATTTTAAATTTAACTTCAAATATGAAAATAATTTATATTTATTTAATTTTAATTATTTAAATTAATTAAATTTTAAAAAATTTTAAATTACGATTTATTTATGAAGATGTAAAAGTATAAAGATTGACAAATCATGAAATAAATAGATTTTTATATTTTCCTAGAGAAAAGTCGATTCTCTAAAATTCATCAAAGAATGCTAACAGGTGATTCTTTGTGTACATGTATGTTTTGCATAAATTTAGTTTTTATAAATATTTACTTCAAAAATCTACCTCTCTCGTTCCCAAATAAGATCTTGAATAATTTTCAAAAGATTTTAATTATTGTTTATTAAAACATTACATATAATTAAAAAGTCACTGCAAAGCAAAGTTCGAACATAGAAATTGACATTAAAATATTCAATTTTGAACAGTCTCTTTTTGTAAAAAGACATGTAAAGTCGATTCTCGCATGTATTGTTGCCGCTTTTCCGCATTGCTGATTGGTTGTCTCGATTCGCATTGTGTGTTATATTCATATCAAACAGCTGTCATCGCAAAAGTTAATAGTTTGCTAGTTGTTCAAAATAATATATATCAAATTAAAGCCCATAAAATCAATGGCGCGTGCTGTATTGTCTAGTTTTATAAATAATATATATGTATACAGAGTGACCTATTTTAAGAGATCCACAAATATTTCTTGAACAATATATGTTAGAAAAAAATTCCAGGTAGCAAACTGACGTCATTAAACGTCAAAATGACGTCATTTTCTGCTACGTGGAATGTTTTAGACAAATTAAGTTACAGGATTTGAAGGGGGAAAAATTGGGGCTATTGACTTTCCTATGGGATATTTTCAAGGTCACTTTAAGGACATTTTATTTATTTTTTTAACAAAACCACTAATTTTTTTTATAAATCGAATTCCGTAATATTTACTATAAAAAGTTATAAGAATAAAAGTCAAAAAGTGAACAATTTATGAGATATTTTATAGTTTTTGAACTATACTTTAGTTATAAACATAATTTTACATAAATCGTGAAATATCTCAAAATATTCAATTTTCGGCGACACCCTGTATATGTATATAATTGTTTGGTAGAGGTGGGTAGTGATGTCACATTAAGGGTCGGCAGTACACCCAGGCAAACTCCGAATTGATATTGGAGACCTCGTGCGGTGACAACGCGAAACTCCGGTTTCAGTGTTGCCAACGCCGAGAAACCAATTCTCGGGTTTTATGTAGTGGTGTATGTCTGTACACGTACATACACCAACTGCATCGCTCACGCGGACGCACGTAAGAGAGACAAGGACCGATAATCACGTGTTCTCCTTGTTCATCTACCGTGCCGGTATACGCGAGATGCCGCCTGAAAATGCTTTCTGGCCTTCCGTAGCAGAAAGCAGTAACGTAGCAAGACTAATAAGCACCCACTTTTTGGAAATTGTATATATGGTTATGCACATATGTGCATAACGTATATATATAACATATATATATATATATATATATATATATATTATATAAGGGATATGTTGATTATATTCTTGATTTCTTTTTGATTATTGATACTATTGTATAATTTGCTCCAAATACTTATAACGTGAAAGAACGTTGAGTAATGTATAATCAATGCAAGGATGTTCAGTATATCATCCAGTATATAAATTAGAGTTCAAATATATCAATATCAATTTTTTATAATATATATATATATATATATATATATATATTAGAATATAGAAAAATGATAAAAAAATATATTTCGGCGATTTAAAAATTTTTAATATATTGAAAATATTTTTACTACATACACTATATATAAGTGTAAAATAATTCAGAAAATAAATTTAATAAAAATCTACATACCAGCTGTGTGCATGTGTGCAATTGATTTATTACTTGAAATTTATTTACGGAATTATTTTGCATTTATATATTTATAGTATGTGTAGTTGTAAAATGATTAAAATATTTTCAATATCAAATTTTTAAGTTTATCGCCTATATAAAAAATATATTTCTATGATTTTCTATATTCCAATATATTATAAAAAAATTGATATTGATATATTTGAACTCAAGTTTTTTACGTGATTAAATATTCTTGCATTGAGCCATCATACGTTACTCGTAAGTTCTTTCACGTCATAAGTACTTATGTAGCAGAGAGGAAGAAATGAGAGTTATACAATGTAACATCAATAATCTTATATATTATAATCTTATATATTATATATATATAATATTTCATTTATTTATAAAAACATTTTATAAATAAGTAAAATATTATACAGACAATGTACAAGATGTTCAGTTTGTGCCATAACAAGCTTCAATCAATAATTATTACTCCAATGAGTATAATTCACAATAATTTTTATATAATATAATAAGTATTTGAATATATAAAAATATTTTTAAAATTTGTTTTAAAAATTAATTGAAAAAGAATATTTAAAATATTTTTTTATATTTAAAATATTCTTTTCCTCAATTAATCTTAAAAAAAATATTTTTAAATATTTAAAAATATTTAAAAATACTATATATTATATAAAAATAATTGTTGATTATTATATTGGATTATTAATTGAATGAAGCTAGAGCTTTTAATATGGCTTTTAATACTGCTTGACAAGGAGAGAGCATCATTCCATCTTTGTCTCTCTTACATCGCATATGTAGTAGCGTCCATGTAGGTACAAACACTAAAAAATATTAAATTTAATTTTTTTATTGTTTTGAATAATTTTATCATTAATATACTTATTTTCAGAACTATTTCAATTTTTATTTCATACTTATGTTTATATAAATTATAAATTAAAAACATATCAAAAATGTAATACATATTAATAAAATGCAAATACATATAGAAAATTAATTATAAAATGTCATCTTAAAATAGTTTTTATTTTTGTTCTTTATTTACATATGCATACATATACAAAAAAATAAAAATAATATGATAGCCTTTTTGCTGACATTATCTCTCAATATTTGCATCCGTGTGCTCACGTATTAGTGTTTGTACCTACATGGACGCTACTACATATGCGATGTAAGAGAGACAAAGATGGAATGATGCTCTCTCCTTGTCAAGCAGTCAGCATGTTACCACAGAAATTTCCCCTGCTCCTTATGAATCTAGTGAGAATCTTATCGTCCAGATATTTCATAAAATAAGTGACATAACTTCGTGAATTTTTTTTTAATATATTCTTTATATAATAAAGCAGTCCTCTAAAAGGCCGGATTTTACATTTTCGCTCTTAAAAATTTATAATAAATAAAATACGGACTCGCGGCTAACCCAACCTTACCCGTTCCTAGCTGTGCATTCCCCCAAGTTTATTAAAAATTTTTATTTTTATCTTTTTTTCATAAAATAGCTCTTTAGAGGACTACAAATGAGCTTACTGATTAAGAATATCCTAAATTTAATAAGATTCATTCAATATTTTCGCTAATATCTGGAAAATAAGAATCCGTAATTCCCGGCCGGCCGATAGGCGTCTCCACCATGTCGCCTGCCGACTCTTAAGAGAGAGAGAGAGAGAGAGAGAGAGAGCTGGTGACGTTGCCATAGGGTGCGTTCCGTTATGCACTGCAAGTACTGGCACTATGACGTCATGCAAGTGTACTGTTGACAGCGTTCCTTTTAATTTTGTGCACTTTGAAGCTACTGCAAAATAGTAAAACGGAACGCACTACAGTACGCTTTCAGCAGACTTTTAACTAACCTTTTTCGCTAATAATCATCGAGTGAAAAATTGGTGAAATGGATAATACCATTATTGCATTAATTACATATAATTTAATCGAGAATATATATGATTCGAGTGAGTCATCAAGTGAAAGCGATTTGGAAATGGAATTAATAAATGAAATGAGACGACAAATTAAAATACCTAGAATAAAATGTAAAATTACGTTAAAAATATTGTATCATTATATTCAGATATGGAATTTAAAAGTTAGTTCCATCGTACACATGGAGGTAGCCATCTTGATTACTGCGAGTGCTTTACCTCGCCGGTTGCAGTAATCGCAACAGGAAATAACGTCAAAATTAATGACGTCATATACTCATGATAGTACTTTCGCAGTGCACTGCTATCTATATCGGAACGCTATTGGTAGTACTGTCAGTACTTGCAGTGCATAACGGAACGCACCCATAGTCTTCTAGGGATTTCTAGAGTGAACTGATAGAAAACAAAAATCTTCAAAAAATTTTTTTTATTTAAAAAAACTATTAACTCACGAAAACTATAACTAGAATGACAAATAATTCACAAACAATTCGTAAGAAAAAGAAATTTTAAAAGTCGTCTGACTAGTTATATATGTGTGAATCTTGCATTAGGATGCTTATTGAAAGCTTCAGTAGGAGAAACTAGACTTTCATGTACACATCTATTCGACCTTGGGCTGAAACTAATAAATATATACAGAAGAATTTTCGCACACGTTTGCGATATTTGCATCGATATTTTGTTTACGTGCATTCTTAGAAATCCTTATATTTATTTATATTTGTCGCGCACGGTTGTTTATTCACGTTACACCTTGTTACATTTTATACGAAGTATTTTTTTTACATATTTTTTGATGTAAAAGTTAATCGTTAATTTTTTTTAAATATAATTTCACATCGCGGTAATGAAAATGACGAGAAGAACATTAAACGTTGATATATTTCAATATTGTTTGTTACTATTACCTATATAATACAAAACTGCAAGACTTTGTATTTTGTATATTAAGATTATATATATATATATATTGATGTTGAATATCTATTATGGAAAATAAAAATAGCAACAATTTTATTAGTTATGTGGAATTGGAGGAGCATAAGATGCAGGTGATTGTAATTATTTATTTATTTTATTATATTTATTTATATTTAGTATTATTTATTTATATCTAAATATCAGTTGTGAGTAACATTTTTATCATAAACTTAAACTTTCTAATTTGGAGGAAATTGAGGAGGAGAATAAATGTTACAAATATCTCTAATCAACACTTTTGCAGACTTTCAGCTCCAGTCGACGTAATTCGTTAATTGAAAATAATATAAAGCTATTGCCAGGAGAAGTTCTTATTGCCGAGGCTCAAAGTGTCCTTATGTTTTCACCCGTCGGCGATCTGAAACAGGGTACATCCGGTGTTTTGTCAGTGACTAATTTTAAACTTACATTTATCACCAGCGACGACTCAAATGGGGAGGTAACAATCATTAATTTTATGTATTTTATTGATTATTCAGGAGCAAACAACTTTTAAGTAATCCTTGTCACAGGACGCTACTCACCAGCAAAATCATTTGTACGGATATACGGATACATGTTTGACAAATATCGATGAGATTTATATAATGGTGGGCGATAAGAAGAGGAAACTAGTCCCTGGAAGTACAGTACCATCAAAAGTAAAAGGGATATTTATTATTTGCAAAGTGAGTTTTTCACTTTACGATGTAAGAATTCAATGTAAATTAACTCTCTAAATTATAATATTAATTGTAAGATATCGTGTCATAATTGAATAATAGAACTAAATATCGAAATTCTGCTTTTTCTTTGAGTACATTTTATTATTGCTACAAATTTTGTTGTATAATTTTAATATGTTTCATCTTTCATTAATTTTTAGTCGAATATTGCTAAAACTATGACTAATGGAAAATATTTCATACAAAAAGTTAAAGAGGAGAGAGTTAATAATTTTGTATTTTAACTAGGGTCAATTTTCAAGGTTATTTGAAGATCATTTATTTCTTTTTTGTTTATTTAATTAAAACTACTATAATTTTTTTTATATAAATCGATGCATTTGGCATAAAAAATTATAAGGATGACCAAAAAGTGAATAATTTACGAAATATTTTGTAAATATTTTAATGTGATATAATTTTACATAAAATATTTAATAAAATATTTTATACTTTTATACACATGAACAGAATTGACTGATGTAAATAAAATAGTTTCAGAGAGATTTTCGACTGTATTAATTAAAATGATTCTATATATGAAGTGTAATGTGAGAAATCTCACATTACGCTTTCATTTGTATGTTATAAATTATGTTATAAATTACAGAATCTAAGAACGTGGTCCTTTTCTTTCAAATTTTCACCGATTGGACATGGTAAGAATCTCTTGACTGCATTACTTCATCACGCTTTCCCTAGCAGACACCAGCTGTTATTTGCCTACGATTACAAGTTAGTATTAAATATTTAGAATATACAATAGCATAAAAATTGTAACAAATATTTGCAAAAAGAAATTATATTTTATATACAGTTTAAAATCAAATTTGTTTCTCCTTTTCTTTTACAGAGAAGCTTATTATAGCAGCCTTGACAAAAATGTTCAGTTATTTCGAGATATATTGGATTGGCAAAATGAATTAAATAGAATATTGTGTAGCGATGAAATAAGGAAAGGATGGAGATTATCTATGGTTAATGCCAAGTTTCAACTTTGTTCTAGGTAAACTTGTTCATCTTTCTTGTATCTTGTATATTTATATGTTATATATTTATAATGTAATATATAAATATTTATGTATTTTTATAATATAATATATTTATAATATATTATTATTATATGATATATTATATAATTTATATTATAATATATATTTATAATATAGTATAATATATAATATATTACAAATAATATAATATATATATATAATAAATATAATAATATAAATAATATGACATTTATAAGGCACATAAGATTTATATTATGTATTTTTTATTTGTAGTTTATCACAATACATAGTTGTGCCTGCATCTGTGACTGATAGTCAATTAACAAATGCAGCTCGTCATTTTCAAGATAATAGACCACCAGTATGGTCATGGACAAACTCGCATGGCGCAGCATTAGTGAAAATGTCCGAATTGGTGCCAACTATAACGGAGAGAATACAAGAAAATATTATGTTTGAAAATGTTCGCAAAAGCCATCCTCAAAAGATGCCTCCAGTTGTTATCGAATTGAATAAAGAAATTAATGTAAAGTTAATAGCAGCAAGTTTTAACAAATTTATTAGTTTATGTTCACCAGGTAAAAGTCTTAATATTTAAAAATCTTAAAATATATACTTTAAATACTTGATTTTTCAAAGTTTATATATATATATATATATATATATGTGTGTGTGTGTGTATTTTAATAATTATAAATATATTTGTGTTTTTCAGAAAATATAAGACAATTCTGGATTCAAGATAATAATTTTTATTCATTGTTAGAAAATACAAAATGGCTTAAATATATATCGTATTGTCTACAAAAGGCAGTTGAAGTTTGTGAACGACTTAATTTAGGAATTTCTGTTATCTTACAAGGTAAAGTTTATATAAGTAATTAAGTATGATGTAAGCAGCCTCTATGAATAGAGTAATAATATATATATTAGTATGCATATAACACTGACAATTATGTGAAAAAGCCAAGATTTTACTGAAAAATGAAGATAGCATTGTTCTGTATATAATCAGAAATTTTTTTTATTTTTAGAAGGTGCTGGTAGAGACTTATGCTGCATTATATCAAGTTTAGCACAACTGTTACTGGATCCTCACTTTCGTACTATAACTGGTTTTCAATCATTATTACAAAAAGAATGGATCGCTGGAGGCCATCCATTTTGTGATAGATTGGGTCATATTGTAAAGTCTAATTCTGGAAAGGTATTTGTAATACCTAATTTATTTTATAAATCCTCTTTGATAAAATAAACTGAATTGTTCACGAAATCAATCGTTGGAATCAAACAACGAAAAACGTGGTTTAAATCTGAAACCAATTCTAATATTCATTTCACAACTTGAAAGATTTCAAATATCAATAGTGTGTTAACAAATTATTTTTTATTTCTACAGTCTCCATTATTTCTTTTATATCTCGATTGCGTTTGGCAATCGTGCCAACAATATCCAACGGAATTTGAATTTACGGAAACATATTTGACTACATTATGGGATGCGGCGCATATTTCCATTTTCGACACCTTCATCTTCAACTGCGAAAGAGATCGGGCGGTGGCAGCTATGGTAATAAATATTATTTATTTATTTATTTAGATCCTCGAGATTATTTACTGCCAAAAGTGGATACTAAATTCCAAGTAGCAAACTGACATCATTAGATGTCAAAATTACGTTAGTTTGACATTCAATGACGTCAGTTTGTTACTTGAAAAGTATGTAGCAATCATATTTAACATAAATAGCTAAATATTATAATATAATATAATATGGCCTAAATTTTCAGGATCCTAATACGCCTCTGGTACTTCGTAGCGTTTGGGATTGGCGGGAGCAGTTCAACGATCAGGATATATTGTTATTTTACAATCCTCTATTTATTTCTCATAATAATATGAAGAAGCTGGAGAGTACAGTTATAAAACCGTTGTACGCTGTTTCTAGTTTAGAATTTTGGACGCAGTGCTATTTTCGTTGGATACCAACGCTTGAGATTCGTAACGGTGGGCAAAGGCATATCGAACTTTATATTAGATTACTGCAAAATAATATAAATCAACTGGAAATTAATGTAAACGATAATCGCGGCTTAGCTGTGGATAAGATTGTAGATAACATCTACTCCCTTCATACGAATATTGATAGCTTCTATCCCTTCAGTAATAAAAGATCGAGAAATACTATTAGCGCACCGATCATGAATAATTCTATCTATTTAACAGAGAGCTTATTAGACGCACAATCATTAATGACTACGACCGACTGATACGGACTGCTATATTCAATATTATTCAGAATGTACCTGATTACATTCCCTTTCCTTTTAGTTTGTGGATAGCGCAAAACAATTTTTCAAACCTTTGTTTCTCCTTAGTGTAATAAAAATGAAAACAAAATAAATGTTATTTTGAAAATTATCAGTGTCTTTATTGATCTTTTTCTTAAAAAGTTATTGGAACACACATTCATAAACAAGTAGAAAAATTGTAAAGCTCGGAAACTCTTCGAAAATAGAGGAATGTATACAATAGGGAATATATTTTTGACTCTAATAAAGAATGAATAAATAAATGGAAAGAACGGCTACTTGTGCTGTTCAAAGTATGCAGAAATATTTATTTAACAATTTTTGATATATAACTGTTCTTTCTACTTATTTAAAAAAGTAAAATTTTGCACATGTATACAGTTACCTAAACAATTTTTTAAATTCAATATATCAGTTGCAATACAAATTCATAATTTAAAAATTTTTAAATATTCTACATCCATGATTAGATTTATTTTACTTGAGAAGTGGCATAAATCGAATTTCGACATAAGAATTTAAGCTAATACAACTTAATATTAGAATTTTATTTATGCCACTTCTACATATGCAAAGTATACAATTAAGTTAATATTTCTGTATTACATATACATCCACATGATAAAATAATGTAAAACATATTCTTCTTAAAAAAAAAAAAAAAAAAAAAAAAAAAAAAAATATATATATATATATATATATAAACAAAGAAATGTTTTCTACAAATTTTTATCAATAAAAAAAACAATGCGTAGATTAAATTTAAATTATAAAAAGAATGCTTAAAATTATTGTTTATCTTCCATCAATGCTGATAATCTTTCTTCATATTTCTCAGCAAATTTACTATCTATATTCTTAATAGCTGCCGACAGAGAATCTTTCTCATTCTGCGACCAATTGCTGCTCCACTCTTTAAAGAGCTTGACACGACATTGAAACAAGCTCGGGGGTCTATCAGATCCTTCGCAATCCAAATTTTCCAATCCAGCAACCAATCCGTTTACAAGCCCTGGTGGGCCACAATTTTCCAGTAATACACTCAGGAAATCATTCCGCTGCATTTCTGACCATTCTTGAAACCATTCTATCATGTAACGTAATTGAGCTTCATTTGACAACATGGTAGACATGTTTTTGCTTAAAAAAAATCAATAGTCAACAATTAATTTCAACGAGGACAAAATATATAGATTTTTTTATTATATATATATATATATATATATATATTTATATTAAAAACACTGAATTATATCCAAACAGCAAACTGACGTTATTAAACGTCATTAAATGTCAAACTGATGTTATTAAATGTCAAACTAATGTTATTAAACATCAAATAATGTCATTAAATGTTAAACTGACATCATTAAACTGCAAATAACGTCATTAAACGTCAAAAATAACATCATTAAACATCAAAATAATGTATGCTTGCAACCTGTGTAAAAAAATACAAATATATATTTATAAAAATATATATGTATTTTTTTATAAAAAAATATAAAAATATAAATATAAAATAATAAAATATAAATATATATATTTTTACCAAACATTTAACGTAAAACGCGACTGTCAGTTGTCGATCTTCCATTTACATCATCAATCTTCCATAATGAAAACAAAATTTAAACTGATTGGCGCAAAAAGAATCAGCGTAATCTGCAAAAAAAGGAAAAAAATAAAAAGATAAAAATTTTGCTAGGTTAAGAGTTATCATCATTTAACGTACAAATACAACAAAAGTCATACAGAAACAAATAGCTTGTTCGAATATAAAATTGATATAAAATATGCGAAAAGATGACAAATTTACCAAAATTGTATTTCAGAGGCCTCGGCAAAATTGCGCACACTTGCCGTTTCGTTCTTAATAATTATCGTTCTTGCGCTTAGGAGCGCGTTATATCAGAGTTTTTAAACTCTACTTGTTGAGCGAGCACTTTCCAATTCGCCGATAAAAATTTCGCTCCACGTTCTGAAACGAAACAAGTGTAGATATAGGGATACCAGGGCGTAAATAGCATTCGTTATACAACAATTGGGAAAAATAAGATTTATTAACACAGAATATACAGAGAGATTATAAAATTCCCAACTTGCATTTTTTGGGTTGGTTAACCTCTTCCTCTACCTCCTCTTCGGAATCCGAGAAAATTGATCGATCGGTCGTTTCTAAACGCAAATCGTGCGAATTACGAGATGAAAAGAAGAAAAAAAAATAAAAAGATTAATTCGACGTTTTTTTGTATATATCGAATTATTACTTTGTTCTCCGCTAATCGCGTCTCCTTGTTGGATCAACGTGGTTAAGAAAACATTGATTTTTGCTTGCACGTCTCGCAAATCTTGTAGCAACGTTCTCAGATCATTCTTGTCGGATTGGATAGGCTCATGTTCATAGACACATACTTCCTCGTCATATATCTTCACCCTTACACCAGTAACGTTCATCGTTTCTCCAGACAAAAAATGAATTCTTATGTGCATGAACGGACGTTTTTGAGTGCGACGCTTTGATTAATTATCTAGAGTTACTAGATAATTCTAGGGTCTTTAAGATTATCACTAAAAACTATATCCTTAGATTCAAGTTCTATTTCACCCTTTTCTAAAAAAATTTGCATTGATAGGCGACAATAGGCGTTATTGAGTGTGTGGTGCTTTAGGCCGGGTCTACAATAGATGTAGTGAGCTCTAAGCCTTAAGAAATTGACCAATTCCGCTTCGCGCAATCCGCTCCATGGGACTCCATCCTAATAGCGTTTTCGATTGGAGTGCACTGGCTGCACTGAATGTCAGGCGCGTGTTCGATTGGTAGTGCCAATGCGCACTTGACTAGTGTTGCGTGTTCGTTTGAACGCACAACACTCGCATAGTGCGCACTCAGTGCGCACTAAGTTGCACGAGATATTTTGACGGTGCCAGTTCAGTGCACTGGATGCATGCAAGCAGTAGGGCATTCTTTTGAACGAAAATTCGACATAATGAGCAATTCGGATTTGGCTCTCTTTAATATTTTGGAGACATTTTTGGAATCTTCTTCTAGCTCAAGCGAGCAAGAAGAAATAATTACAACTCTTCGAACTAGAAGAATAATTCCAAAAACTGTAAATTATGTAGAATGTATGAAAAAAATGGATAATGACACCGTAAGTGTTATATCTTTTTATAGCGTTTTTCACTGGGAGAACTAGTGCGCACTGAGTGCGCACTCGTCATGGACAACGTGTTTCACTGGGCATTTCGGTGCGCATGAAAACGGTGCGTGCTGTTTCACTGGAAAGTCTAGTGCCGAGTTTTCGCACTTTAGTGCAAGAATTCGGTACGAGCTCTGAGAGACGGTGCCAGTTTAGTGCAATCAATATGGCTGCGTGGGATGCACGATTAATGTTTGAACTGTTAGATTTGCTTTCTTCATCATCATCTAGCAGTGATGAAGATGATGATATTTATTATTTATATCATATGAATATTATATTAATTACTAATAATATATAATAATTAATATTAATTTTAAGATTAATAAATTATAATATATATTTGTGAATATTATTAATTTAATTATAAAAACATTTATAATATATTCTTTTATAATTCGTATAATTATATTATATTATATATATATTATATATATATATATATATATATATATATAATAAATATATAAATAAATAAATATATAATTATATTATATTATATATATATATATATATATCCCAGCAAACATAATATATAAATGTTATATACTTAAGCATGTTACATGTAACGTATATGTTAGTTGTAATTTCCCACTCATAGATGTAACATTTTTAATATTACATATATTACATTGTAGTTATATTATCATTATATCCCAAGATAGCACTGACTTATCAATACATCAATGTGCTATTTGGCATATAATTACAATATAACTACAATGTAATATATGTTATATTAAAATGTTACATCTATGAGTGGGAAATTACAAATAACATGGATGTTACATGTAACGTACACGTTATATTACCTGTTATATTCCGTTTTATTGTAGCAATGTAATTATATATTGGTGTTTGCTGGAATATATATATATATATATATATATATATATAATAAATATATTTCCTCCATACATATAAATATATTATATATAACTTGATATGATTATATATGAACCCTTATAATTTAACTCTTGTTCGCTTGGATCGAGAGTTAAGTTCAATAGGTCATTATTGACCTTAAAATTAATGTTAAATCCTTCCATATTCAGGGCGACAAATATGCACAGACCTGCACTGAGAGTATACCAGTGGGTGCATTCGTTTATGCAGTGATTAGCGCATCCACTGCGCATCCACTGCGTCTATTATCTGCGAGTCACGTGACATCATTTACCGAACGATCACCTGCGTGAATTGACTGCTCAGATTGTAATTGGAGTGCGTAAGTAAATAAATTTTAAATAAATATGAATTAACTTAGAAATAAATATTTTTTATCGGCTCTCAATATAAACAATATAAATATGATGGTTTCTAAATCGGCCTAAGACCCATAGCACGAAAAATTACAAAAATTAATTATTCGGAACTGTATCTCTTGGTACAAGATTACTAAAGTTCCATATATTAATTAACCTCGAACTTACATATGGAGAAATAGGCGCGAAAAATATAGGTCCAAAAAGTCGCTGAAGCGGGAATCGAACCCGCGTCTTTCACTTTCCGGGCGACTGCTCTTACCACTAATAGCTATTTAGACTTTTCGGACCTATATTTTTCGCGCCTATTTCTCCATATGTAAGTTCGAGGTTAATTAATATATGGAACTTTAGTAATCTTGTACCAAGAGATACAGTTCCGAATAATTAATTTTTGTAATTTTTCGTGCTATGGGTCTTAGGCCGATTTAGAAACCATCATATTTATATTGTTTATATTGAGAGCCGATAAAAAATATTTATTTCTGAGTTTATTCACGCCTGGCCTAATCACGGCGTTATTTACTAACATCTACTAAAAAGGCAAATGAAAAATATAGGATCGAAAGAGTCTGAATAGCTTAGTGGTAAGAGTAGTCGCCCGGAAAGTGAAATATGCGGGTTCGATTCCCGCTTCAGCGACTTTTCGGACCTATATTTTTCGCGCCTATTTCTCCATATGTAAGTTCAAGGTTAATTAATATATGGAACTTTAGTAATCTCGTACCAAGAGATACAGTTCCGAATAATTAATTTTCGTAATTTTTCGTGCTATGGCTCTTAGGCCGATTTAGAAACCATCATATTTATATTAAATATGAATTATTATTTGAATAAATATAATAAAATTTTTAAATAGGTTGAAGGTTCTGACATATGACGTGTGCACATAACATTTTTAGACAGTGATGACGGTAGGATTGAAATGTTGCTGAATGTAGACTTCTCAGATTTTTCCAAACTTACTGGGGACGAAGTAGCTTGATAGCTAGGAATGACTGTAACAGAATTGCATCTTTATACAAAGCACATTTTTTTTAAACAGATTACTTTAAATTTATATTCTTGATAAAAATGCATTTTTAAGTTAATTAGATCGTAAATATAAATTAACAGACTTCATAATTTTATTGTATTACTTACCTTGCATTACTTTTAGTTTTGTAGGATCTATTTGGAGGAGTTATTCTCCACCTTCTTTGTTCTGAACTTTTATAACATAACTCATAATTGAAATAATTTTCAGGCAACGTTTCCAAGTTCAATTGGCTTAACAATGGAGAAGACTACATTCGTTTACGCAGTAGTCCGCAGTACTGCGAGCAAAGCATCCTAAGCAGGACCTCCGAGATGGCTGCGCAGATAGGCAGCAGCTCTGCTTAAACGAACAACAAACTGCGCTGCAGTCGGTTGCGCAGGTGGAGTAAACGAACGACATTTGCGGCATTCTGCGGCAGTCACTGCATAAACGAATGCACCCAGTATGTTTAGCTGGAAGCGCAAGAAATTCGCACTTTTAGTGCACTCGGACAGTGCCATCTAAACTCAACGAGTTTTCGGTGCGCACTCAGTGCTACCCAGTGAAAAACGATATTATATAAACATCGAACTTATACCCTTTTTTAAAATATAATTAATGTACTTAATGTAATAGCATTTTTATACTGAATAATAATAATTTTTATATTTGTCATACGTAATATTCTTGATCATCTTCTATATTTAATTACATATAATAAAAATCATTACTTAACTGAACACAAGATGTCGAGGTTACTTTTTCGTTCTTCCCGGAATCTAGTCAACTCAAGTGGCACTGAAAATTTCGGCGTGTTCTTTTTCACCTGCACTATTCAGTGAAACCCATGGAATTTGTCCAGTGTTCGTGTGAACTGAGTGCGCACTGGTGCGCACTAACTTTTGCCCAATCGAAAACGCTATAACTTATTGCACCAGTGTGCACTTGTTTATTAGTGCAGGAACAGAAAACAAACCTAATGAATTATCAAGTCACTAGATAATTCTAGGGTTTCTAAGATTATAACTAAAACCCTAGATTCTAATCTTATTTTCTTTTTTCTGAAAAAAATACAAACAGATTAGATTAGGAATTAGGTTAGGTTATTAGGTGTGGTGTTTTGTTTAATTATTTAGAATCCCTAGATAAATCTAGGGTTTATAGGATTATCACTAAAACTATATCCCTAGATTTGAGTCCTATTTCACCCTTAAGGCTGGATCTACAACAGATGTAATAAGCTTTAAGGGTCGGCAGGCGACATGGTAGAGACGCCTATCGGCCGGCCGGGAATTAGAGATTCTTATATTCCAGATATTAGCGAAACTACTGAATGAATCTTATTAAATTTATGATATTCTTAATCAGTAAGCTCAAATGCAGTCCGCCAAAGAGTTATTTATTGAAAAAAAGATGAAAATAAAATTTATAATATAACTTGGGGGAATGCGCAGCTAGTAACGGGTAAGGTTGGGTTAGCCAGGAGTCCGTATTTTATTTATTATAAATTTTTCAGAGCAAAAATGCAAAATCCGACTCTTTGGCGGACTACTTTATTATATCAAGAATATATTAAAAAAAAAAAACCAAAGTTATGTCACTTATTTTATGAAATATCTGGACGATAAGATTCTCACTAAATTCATAAGGAGCAGGGGAAATTTCCGTGGTAACATACTGACAGCTAACAGCTTGACAAGGAGAGACTATCATTCTGTCCTTGTCTCTCTTACATCGCATATGTAGTAACATCCATGTAGACACAAACACTAATGCGTTGAACGAATGCGATTATTGGGAGATATCAGCAAGAACCGATTTTCGTATTATCATTGTTTCTCTGTATATGTATATTATATGTAAAAGAACAATAAGAATAGCAATAATTCTTGCCTAACATTATCTTCCAATTATCGTTTCGTGTACGCAATATATATTTCACATTATGCATCTGTAACAAATAATCGAATGATTTATTTAAATATTTGCATATAATCTATATAAATCTATATAATAAATAAAATGTGTAATAAATTATCGAATGATTTATTTAAATATTTGCATATAATCTATGTAAATAAAATATGTACAAATAAAATAATATTTATGCAAATATTATTTTATTTGTGTACATATTTTATTTATATACCCAAACAACACCAAGTCCAAAATTGGCGCGTAAGATATCTTTATAAGATGTCTTTTTGATATCATATCATAAGATAGCTGTCTTAAAGATTTCTTAATGCTATCTTATGCGTCAATTTTAGACTTGGTGCTGTCTGGGTAGATAATATGCAAATTAATATGTTTATATATATGCACACACATAGATATGACAATAGCGTTATCGTGATTTTTTCGATTATTAAAGTTGTATTGTATAATCTCTCTCTTATCTCTTTCTCTCTGCTACATACCCATACAGCACAGAAACTTTTCAGAAATATTTCAAAAATATTTCATGTGACAGATTGAAACATTTCATAAATATTGCGAAATGTTTCTGCAACAACTTTGAGACAACTCTGAAATAGCAAAATGTCCGCGATTCTTGCACTTGAAACCTTATAGAAACCTTATTGAAACCTTATAAAAAGTTTGCTGAAAGGTTACTAATAAATCTGCAACTTTTCTGAAATATTCTTAAAAGGTTACTGAAATGATTGAACCGTTTCTGAAATATTGCTGAAAACTATTTTAAATAATTCTGAAAATTTTTTATAATATTGCAAACATGGCTGCTTTCGCGACAAAATTAAAATATGATCCAGATTAAAATGATCCTGCACTGGGATTGTTCAAATCTGAAATTTCATTGAATACAATTTCAATGAGATTCCATGAAATTTCAGATTTCACTAATCACAGTGCAGAATCATTTTAATCTGAATTATATTATTTTGATTTTGTCGCAAAAGCAGCCCATATTACAAAACTGTTATTCAAATAAAAAAATATATATTTCAGAAATAATATTTAAATTTATTATATTTATTGCACACAAATATACGACAAAATTTACACTAAAAAGAGTATAAAAAATATATCTAACGTTGTACATTTTTTTAGCTCAGTGTTGCAATTTTTTGTCAATGATTCTCACTAAAAGGTCGAATGTTAGATCTCTAGGATATATATAAATTCTACTTATAATAATATGGTATTTTAGCTTTAGGATATAGAAGAAACATATTTATAATTTTTATTAAATTTTTATTTGAGTAGTATATTGTTTTAATAGTTGAATCGTTACATAAAATAAAAATAGTTATCACATAAAATAAAAACTTTTTTACAATAAAGTAAAAATTTGAATTCCATTTGGATAACATTGTTTATTGTTATTCTAATAACATAATTAAAACTTCCAACAATTTTTGAATAAATTTTAAGTGAACTTGCTAAACTCTAATTATATTTATTTGATAATTTTAACTTTCTTCTAAAAAAAATAAACTTTCAAACAAAATTCTCAAACATAAAATAAACTTTTTTCTAAATAAAAAAATAGTATTTTACTATAATATAAATCAAACATTATGCAAAATAACATTTGAATTTTGTTTGAATAATATATTATTTGTTCAGGTAATACAATATAAATTTTTAGAACACAAAGTAACTTCTTTTTTAAATTAAAAAGCAAAGTTAAAAGCGAAACATTTATTCCGATGGCTGTTCTTTTTGTTTTCGTTGTAATCGTTCTCTGAATAAATACAACGATTAATAAGTACTGTAATATTATATATATACATTTATAAATAATCTCACTTTTCATTAATAATATTTACTTACTCATCTCTGTCATGACGTAATTTGCCCTGGATGAACCATTTAGAGATGACTTCGATAATTTGTTTGTCATCCGTTTCGAATTTTGCATGAACACATTCTAGATAAACAAGGAAATTTATTTTATTAATATAGAGATTACCTTTTGTTCAAAATTATATTATTGAAAATATTGCGTGCTTACATATAAAATAATTATTTAATTATATTGATACAATATAATGAAATAATTATTTTATTTATTTTGAAAAACGAGAAATTAGTAGTTTAAATATTAACATACTTTTTATGCATTTAGTTAACAATAAATCTTTGAAAGGCTCTTTCTTCATACTTTTTCCATTCCAGCAATATAACGTTGAAAGATGATTACTAATAAAATTTTTGAGAATAACAATTATCATGTCATGAGACGTTTTATGTAATATATAGAGTATATAAAGGAAATTATTAAAAATCTGTACTTACACATGTAACCTCAAAATTCAAGAACAAACAAAAATTAAAATTAGACAAATTCATCATATGTAAAATGAAAATAGTTTAAATAATGACAAATATACAGAGTAAAATTATGTAGAAAAGCATGCACCGGTTAAAAGTATCCAAAAATATACATGTTAAAATGCAGTTATAACCTCTTTTTTCGGTACTTTGAAACATTAATCATGAAAATAATACCTTGAAAGTTTTATGTCTGATTTCGAATTCTATCAAATAAGTAGATATTATTCCTTTATAAAACTTTACTATTTATTAGAACCAGTAGACAGTAGTGCTATCATAGCAGTCCAAGTCTATGCGGTTTAGCAAGCTGTTCTTGTCGTTGCCTGCATTCCACATCCGGAACCTAAAAAGCGGGAAAGAATTTGATTGGTTGTTCCTATATATATATATATACATTAATATACATTTAATCTGTCCAATAAAAGATATGAAAATAAATTTTTATAATACATACCGTCGACTATTTTGATTGATTTGTTATATAATATATATATGTATATACACTTATAATCACTATATTAAAAAATCGTTCCAGTTTTCAAAATTATTTCATATGAAAACTTTTTGCAACACTCATATTAATTTTTCAAATTTACCACATGTAATAGATTTCAGAAACATTTCTGTTGCAACATTTCATATGACATATTGCAGAATTCTGTCAGAAATGTTGCACATGAAATGTGAAACATTGAAATGATTTTGAAATATTTCTGAAAGCTTTCTGTAACAATCGGTGCTATATGGGTAAATACTATTATAATGTAAAAGAACTTACGAGTAACGTATGATGGCTCAATGCAATAATATTCAATCACGTAAAAAACTTGAGTTCAAATATATCAATATCAATTTTTTTACAATATATTAGAATATAGAAAAATTATAGAAATATAAGGCGATAAACTTGAAAATTTTTAAATATTGAAAATATTTTAATCATTTTTACAATTACATACACTATATATATATATATATATATATATATATATATATATATATATAAATGCAAAATAAGTCCGTAAATAAATTTATCAAGTAATAAATCCGTTGCATGCTCGCAGCTACATATGCACACACAAATAGCTGGTATGTTGATTTTTATTAAAAATTTATTTTCTGTATTATTTTGCATTTATATAGTGTGTATGTGGGTGTGTGTGTGTGTGTGTGTGTGTGTGTGTGTGTGCGCGCGCGCGCGCGCGTGTAGTAAAAATATTTTCAATATATTTATAAAATTTTTATTGCTGAAATATATTTTTTTATCATTTCTCTGTATTCCAATATATTATTAAAAAATTGATATTGATATATTTGAACTCTAATAATTTACTGGGTGATACATACTGAACATCCTTTGCATTGATCAATATTACTCGACATAAGTTCTTTTATGTTATAAGTATTTATGGAGCAAATTATACAATAACATCAATAATAGAAAGAAATCAAGAATAACCAACGCATATTCGTCAATCTATGATTGCTATACAAGCTAATAATAATTTATATTCGTTCTCTTATTCTTGTCTCTCGAAAAAGTATAAGCAATAAATTATCAAACCTAACAAGTACCCGTGTCTAACATTGTAGACTAATTTACTTTCAATTATGCTACTGTTATTATTTATCATTAGACAATTATAAAACATATATATATATAGCACTACAAATTATATATGTATATGTTTTATAATTTATTTTATATTTTATTATTTGACAAGTTAAATCTCTCCGAATCATAATTTGCGCTTACATCTTAAAGACGAAATGCTGTAACTCTCTGATATTCCAATCTGTATTTTTGAAAAGGACCACATCCCGTATGGTCGAAATGTTAAAATAAATATATATACAACTTTAATTTGAGGCCAGTGTAGTCAGACCAAATCTATAACCTCTGTTTTATAATTGTCTAATGATAAATAATAACAGTAGCATATATAATTGAGAGTAAATTAGTATATTTTATATATATATATATTTATATATAAATAATATATCCACATATGTGCATAAGCATATATAAAATTTACAAAAATGGGTGCTTATTAGTCTTGCTACGTTACTGCTTTCTGCTACGGAAGGCCAGAAAGCATTTTTAGGAGGCATCTCACGTATACCGGCACGGTAGAGGAACAAGGAGAACACGTGATTATCGGTCCTTGTCTCTCTTACGTGCGTCCGCGTGAGCGATGCAGTGGTGTATGTACGTGTACAGACATACACCACTACATAAAACCCGAGAATTGATTTCTCGGCGTTGGCAACACTGAAACCGGAGTTTCGCGTTGTCACCGCACGAGGTCTCCAATATCAATTCGGAGTTTGCCTGGGTGTACTGCCGACCCTTAAGCTTTAAGAAATTTACCAATCACAGTTAAGAATGAGAGGAATAATCGACTGTGATTGATCAATTTCTTAAAACTTAGAGCTTACTACACCTATTGTACCCGGCCTAAAGGCTTATATAGATCATTGACGAGGTACTGTTAAAGACTATCGGCTTTGGGTAAATTTTTGTCTCTATCAAGTGGGCCCAGTGGGTCCGGCATCGGTCGATAATCATGACAATAAATAGCTAATAAAAACATTCTATTTGTTCTACTATATTGTAAATTATAATTATAAAGTTTATATTCAATATAATTAATAATTAAATATATATATAAGTATTTATATATATAAAATAGGAATTTGATAGTTACCGACATCGTACTGACAGGCCTATTTAGTAGGCGACACAAACTCCCGTAAGGCTGTCAGTCTTTAATAGTATCTCGTCGGTGTATAGATTTAATTTTTTGTTGCCAATATTATAGTCAATCACGTATATATTATTTATTATGTAAATTATTATAATTAACATATAATAAATTGAAAAAGGATATAGTATATATATATATATACTAAGCATTAAAAAAATCAAGATATAAAAAATCAGTAAAATAATAAATTAAGCATGATAATTGCAGTCATAAGCATGCCCAGGCATAAGCATCCGGGAGGGGGGGCGCAAGATGGACATCTACTGCTCCCTCCCTAGAATTTGGAATCAGCAAAAAATTTGGCATTTACTCTTTCTTTGAATAAACGTGTTGGTATTTACTTGCACCGATTTTGATCCGATTCGAACGCGGTGAGAAAGCTTTTACCAAAAGGTGTATATGTTTTAAAAATATAAATGATGCTTGCTCCTGGAAAAAATCCTACGGACGTCCTTGTGCCCAGACACGTATATCCTTTGTAGAAATTTATCACTAGTAACGCCAATTAATCACTTATTTTGAGTACTTCTAACATTCTCGCTACTCCCCCCTGCAATTTTCTTCTTCTGTTATTCTCATACCTTTTATTACTATATTATTTCTCCTTTCTTTTCTATTCTTATCTACTATCCATTTCTTTAATTTTTCTACTTCCCTTGTGCTTAACCTGTCCTCGCTTATATCTGTGAAAACCGATCCGCCCCAGTTACTATTATTATCGTTTTTCGTGTGTGCGTTTTTTTTTTTTTTTTTTTAATGAGGGAAAAAGGGAAAATGCTCTTTACGCACGTACTTATGCCACAAGGATAAGTACGACATTGGGCTCGGTTTGGCCTCACTAGGTCACCCGAAAGTGAAGGACCACGGGTACCTGGATAATCAGTACCCGGCTGGAGTAGACCTCAGCGACTCATACCAAATAAAAAAAACAACCCTCGACATCCAAACCTTGATCCCCGCGGGACTGCCGTCAAGCATTACTTCACGGGGGGGGGGGGGGCGATAGCTATTGCTAGCTCTTCCATCCGTTTGACAACCTCCTCCCTTTTTTTTCTTTACCATGGTGTTGGTGGCAAGTTTGGATTCAGGGAACTTTTTTTTCTTCTTTTATCTTCTTTCTTCTTTCTTCTCTATGCTTCGTTTTGTAGGCCTTTGAGGGCTTTAGGTGTGAATATGTCAACTGCTCGCAACACTTTCTTTGATTACGTCATCATTTCGATCATATTATCCGGCAGGATCAGAGTTCAGCATAAGTAGCATTCCCAGAGGAAGCACCCACACGCTTGGCAGCCGTGCAGCACCCGTTCTAGTCGGTAAGGCCGGCATTTTCTGCGCATCTGCACATCGGGTTCCGCTATTCCTTAGTTCTTTACTCTTATCTTTTTTCTTCTTCCTTCCTCCTCTGCTCTTCGTTCCGTAGGTCCTTAAAAACTTTTGAAGCCAGAGTGTCGACAGCTCGTCATGCCTCTTTTGATGTGATCATCACTGCAGTCAGTCTCTCTAGCGTAATTCTTTTATGTAGCGTCGTTTCTAGCTCACTTCGAGCTTCGTCATATCTGGGGCACGTAAAAAACACGTGTTCCGCGTCTTCGTTGATTCCTACACAGGCCGAGCACTCCGGGGATTCCTCATACTTATATTTGTAGAGGTATGCCATCGACATATAGAATGGACTGAGCATCGCGATGGGTAAGCGCGCGCCTGCTTTAGAGTGAGAAGTACTACATCTGAGGCCTATGTTTGTCTCTCTTTTTGCAGGGCCGTCTAAAAAAATTGCGGACCATGTGCATTTTTCTATGAAATGTGTAGTCAATAGATTTTTTTAGAATTTATTTTAAAATTTGTTTTAATATATTTAATATATTTATAAATAAACAATAAATTTGCTTTAATTTATATTATATTTATATTAATATTTTATTAATTATAAAGTTTTATAAATAGATATATGTTTACAAATTTTATTATAAATATTATTATTATTTACACACTATACTAATGTTATAAATAATAAAAAAATTATATTGTTGATATATAGAAAATTTTATTTATTTACATTTATAAAAAATTACAATACTACACATTATTATAAAATATAATATGATATATGCCACTTACAGGATATTGTTATAATATACGTAATTTTGCACACAAAACACCTTAAAACCATTTTTTAATTTTTAAAGATAAAGATAAACGTTTCACGTTATTCCAAAGCGAGTAGGCGAAGGTGAGGTGTCAAAAATTTAATGCTATGTTACTGCTAGAATTCTGGAGGGGGACGAAATAACAAATCAGAAGCTTGCAAGAGAGACAAACATAGGCCTCAGATGTAGTACCTCTCACTCTAAAGCAGGCGCGCGTTTACATATCGCAATGCTCAGTCCATTCTATATGTCGATGCTCTGAAGCACCCGTGACCTGATAGCATCTGTGTCAAGTAATAGCTAACCTCACCATGGCTGCGGTTCACTTATCCACTTGGGGAATTAATCGGTGCGCCCATCTGCCCTTGGTCAACTCGTCCCAGTTCTTTTGCCATCGTTCTAGGCTCCTTTTTCGTTCTTCCGTTTTTAGCTGCTCTTCTTTTTGCCTTTCTCTTGCACTGTTTAAGGCTTTTCGTTGTTGGAAGACCTGTTTCCGTTCTTGCGTTAGTATCTCAACTGGCAAAAATCCCGAGATAACTTCGGCCGCCTCCTTTAACACTGTGCAAAAGGCATTTCACGGGAGAGTGCTTCCTGGCGTCCTCGGTCAGCCTGTGGAGAAAGTCAGCAAACTCTCTGGTATCGTCACTGGGTGTTGCGTAGCAGTTGTAGAAGTGGATGTCTCCAATCTTAGCTCTTACAAAACCCCTTTGCTCGTTTTCATTAGTACTCTGGAATGGGACGCCACTGCACGACCAAATAGCCGCTTTGTTTGTTGGATCAGAGATCCACTGTGGACTCTCTGAAAAGTCGTATAGTTACAACAATTATATTTATGCGATTTGCGTATAATTTCATAATTTTGCGATGTGTGCTGAAAAAATGAATAACTAAATTTGGGTAAGAACAAATTTTAGAAATAAAAATTATCCATTCAATTTAGATATAATTCATCGTTTGCACAATATAACGAAATAATTTTGAGGTTATCTCTGGTAAAAATTATTTTCAGAATGTCTCATAACAAATTTTTTAAATTTCTTTTTTTGAACGATGTGTTAATTTATATAGAAAATCTTCAAAATTTTTTGAGAAAATTTTAAAATCTTTATAAATTGATGCATCTTTCAAAAATGTTGAAAAAAAGAATGCTAAAAATTATTCTGAGAATTTCTGAAAATTAATAGTATTAACTAATTCATTATATATTAGCACTTTTGAGTATTTGATTGCTGAACTATATGAATAAAACCTGTTAAAATAATACTTTTATTTTTTATTTACATATTTTCTTATTTATTTTTTATTATTTATTATTTACATACTTTTTATTTATACACGCTGCACTTTATCCATTTACTTCAACATTACATACTTAACCTGAAGCTATGATTACGCACATTTTACGATAAATACCAGGTATCTAATTCACATGGCGCATATTTAGCAATACGCCTAAATAATAATAACCAATAGAAAATCGATTTTAGTATTTCTGCTGTGTTCTACAACAGAAATTCTAATCTTTATTGATTAGATTACGCTTTACGCGAAATTTAACAAAGTACGCTCCATGTAAAGAGGTATTTTTTAAATGGCGTAAGTTCTAGCATATTACTAGAATACGCAAAGTACGCAGCAGTACGTGCGTACGCTTCTTACGCCGCATGTGACGGCACCTTAGAACATATATACCTGGAAGGGGAATAGGAGCGCAAAACTGTGTCCAAGTTGGGTGCGAGAGAGAACCACGTTTTAAAGAAAGAGAAAGGTAGATTGTTACCTTTGTCCGCAATGCGCAAGCGCGAATTAGCAAAACGGCGCACAGCGTTAGCGCGTTTTATTGTTTGTAAGAGGTTAAAATGACGGAACATGTTATGGAACAAGATATTTTCAATAATCATAAGACTGAATTAATACAAAGTATTATTAAAATTTATATTTTGCGTTTGTTTCACGAAGGAAAAAGTGCAACTGATATTAAGCAAAAAAATTTTATTAGACAAAAATATTCAAAATTAATACACTTTAAACACCAATAATAATAATATATACATAATATATCTATAATATATATATATATATATATATATATATATATATATATATCGAATGTTATTTTGTTATTCTGTTTGTAAAATAAAGTTTATAATTATTTATCACTGTATGTACACTGTCCGACATTACTTATCAGTTATTCAATTATTGTCAATTGTATCTCAATTAAAAATTACATTTACAGTTTTAAACCGCGCGGTGAGCGTGGAGCGTGACGTGTGGCGTCATCCACGCTTGCGCATTGCGAGCATAGGTTAAAAGCTATCTTTCTCTCTCGTACCCAACTTAAACACAGATTTTTACCATGAAGAACAATAGCAATTCCCCTTCCAGGTATGTTCTAAGGACGGCACCCTGACAATCCGCACGATCGGCCGATTTATGACCCGAACATGTTGGCTACGATATTTTGTGTGACCGGTGCGTGGAAAGGAAGCCTTTTCTAAAATCCCATCATGTGCGTAAAGAGCCACTTTTCGCGCGCCAGTTGCACAAAAAATTAAAAAAGTCGAAGTTGACCGGTTAAATTAACGGAGCTCGTTTCGACGATGTAAACTAAGTCAATGTTAAAAAATTGAATTTTGTATGCACGTACTCTAGTTTGATAGGTGATGCCTTGATTATGGATTATTATTACAAAATATATTCCTAGAAAAAATGTTTTTGAATTCGAAATATACATATAAAATTTAGGATTTGCAACATTAATAAATTTTCTTTTAATAAAAAAAAGGATATATGATAATCTGAAGGATTATTATTTAAAAATATTACTTATATTAATATTTTTTTATTTTAATTTATATTTAACAATTATTAATTTGAACATAATATATAATTTAACATAATTTGGCATACACATTTTTAACATAATATATATTACTTAAAATTCAATGTGTGACAGTTAATATTAAAGTATCGAAATAACATATTAATTTTAACATAAGTTACTTTATATTAAAATTTAATTGTGACAGTCGATATATTAAAGTATCAAAATAAAATATAAAGCGATGATAAATTAATAATAAAATATTAATATTTACTTAAATCTTAAATTATTAAGGCAAATTTTTGTTACTACTGAATTAAATATTTTAAACAGATTACTTTTCGTTACCTGTACTCATATTTCCAAATTTTTCTACTAAATTGATTTCGTCTTTCATTCCTTCATTCATAAGATCTTTTATTTTTTTATTTATCTCTTGAGAATTTTTTCTCTCGAGAAGAGGACAAAACTTGTTGCATAAAAAATATAATATATTTTGGGTCTCAAAATCGAGAAATTTGTAATATACCTAGGACAAAAATAGAATTTCAATCATTTCAAAAACATTTTAAGATCTATTACTGTATAATTAAACTATTTCTACATTAATATATATTGTTGTTTGATATAAATTAATATATAAAAACATACATATGGGCATATTTGGAGTTATAAAAATAAGTTGAGGACTTGTACGATAGATAGATAGATAGATAGATAGATAGATAGATAGATAGATAGATATATATATATATATATATATATTTTTTTTTTTACATTTACTAAGCATTTCTCATTTAATTAATATATATTATGTGTATATGTGTGTGTGTGTGTATATATATATATACACACATATACACATAATATATATTAATTAAATGAGAAATGCTTAGTAAATGTCAAAAAATTGTCGTTATTTTAACTAAAACAAAAAATTTCTTTTAATTTCGATAAACTTAATTTTTTATTTAATTCTATGTTCATTAAACTTATTTTTACTTTTTATGAGACCAATTCTAAAAGTTCCAATCTTTTTTTTGACATACTACACATTTGAAAGACTATATATTTAAATATACAAACCTTAAATTTTTTATTTAATGGATCTACCATAAGAGCTTTTAAAAATATTCCGCTGCATTTGTTATGTCCTGAAGAGAATAATAACTAACTGCAATTGCTAAAAGCATTGCAATTTGTCGTTCGTCAATTAAATGTTGATATTTCTTAATCATCCTTAATAAATGTGGTAAAGGCTCTATCTCTCCTGTTTCCCATCCATATTCTATGTAACACAGTTCTGCTACAAAGTTATTGCAATCGGCAGCCTTTTTAAAATACTTTATAGCTTCCTAAAAATACGCATATATATGGCAATTATATGTATTAATTATATTCATCAATGCAAGATTTCCGAATGGATGCCATGTGATTAATTATATTATTAATATTTAGTAATTATACATTGTTTTTTTTATAAGAGAAAAGAATAACTTCGTATTAGAAATCTGTAAATTGGAATATTAATAGATAAGATAGATATTTATGCAAGAATAAACATTTCTCTAGACACTAATATTTGATCAATTTTGATTACATTAGATTTGATTCAATAAATATTGAAATAAAAATTCTTGTAATATTTACGTTATAGCTTGCATCTCATTATTTTAGAATCTTTTTTTATAGATTTCAGAAATGAAAATTTAATGTTATCTCTTATCAATTTTTTAAAATAATGTAATAAAATTAATATCATCAAAGTATAATTTAAATTAATTATGCTGACCTTATAATCCCCACACAGCTTGTAAAACATTGCCGTGTAATGCAAGTACGTAGAATGATTTGGCGCTATTTGCTCTATAGCATCTAGACATTCTTTCGCCGACAATGTTTCATCTGAAACGCTTGCACGAAGGAATATAAGAGTTAATTTTAACAAAACCTTAAGATTGGTAGGTTTTGTTTCAAGAATGTCTTTAGCTATTTTTAATATTTTTATTTCATTAGCATTTTTTCTCATCATATAATCTCTATAATGATCTCTTTTTTTAACAAATTTATGAAAACTTTCCATTTTCATTTGAAGATAATAAATCCCAAATACTTGATTTTTAGATATAGCATATGCTATTTCAAAATGCTCTTTCTCTGTATCTGACACAATAGATGAAATGTTTATGGAACGTCTTTGACGTCTGAGATTCTTTCCAAGAATGAAGTGCCACAATGCACAATCTTGGTGTTTCTCTACCGCTTTCTTGGCAGTCTCAACTGCCTTTTCCATACCAAATTCATTTAAGTATGACCATATGACACTTTGACAACCATATAAAGTGCCCAATTCTTCATTACTAAAATCATCCATGTCAATAATATTTTCCAATATCTCTTTCAATCGATCAATTTCTTCTGCATCGTACAAAAGAAAACATTTTGTCGCATAAAAAACATGTTCGATCGCTCTTATTGTTCGAGCTGATTGTTGCCTGCAATAATTCTTAATGTAATAACAAGAAAGAAATCATAAGTTTAAGTCTAATATTATATAAAATATTATATAAAAAACTATATATATAAACTTTAAAATATTAATAGAAATAAATATATCCTACTCTTGTTGAAGTTGCATAAGAATCTCTTCAGCTTGCACAATTATTTTCATTCCTTCATCGTTGTCTGCACTTAATACAGCTTTATAACTATTCCACAAATATTTCATCAACATCTCCAAAGAACAAGAGACTTCATTTTCAGTTGTATCATCATTCTTACCCATATTAGTCAACCGCATTATATCATGCTTTACCGTATTATCCAATATTTCCCAAGTAAATGGGCAATGTAATTTGGCAAGTTTTATTTTTACACTTGTCTCTTCTTGTTCTCTCTCTCTTTCTTCCGCTTGAGGTTCCATGTTCTCTTTTAAAATAAAATTAAATTTTTCATAAAATTATTCATCATTATTATCAATCAATGCAAATTTTATACCTTATTTTTCTCTCTTGTTCTGTCTTTTGTTTAAGAGCCAGAGAAAGAAACAAAACGAAATATATACACTTAATTTTTGTCAACTGCAGTAAACATGAAAAACACAAGTTAAACATAATTACATTCTCGTTCAACAGTTAAACAATATAAAATTTGAAAAAATAAAACAGTACAAACCTTTATTTTGCTAATATTTTCTTTGTTCCTGAATGGATTTCTGCCATTCAGAAAAGAAAATGTCTACGTCCACGTATCACTTGTGATTTGTGATGAAGGGGGTTCCCTCTAAGATCATGATGTAATATACATCATATCTAAAGGTGCAATTTTACGTGCTGCTAAAATAAGGGTGCCGTCACATGAGGCGTAACTTGCGTTAAGGGTCGACAGGCGACATGGTGGAGACGCCTATCGGCCGGCCGGGAATTAAGCAGGGAACACACGCTCTTGCATAAGCGCATAAGCATATGCATAAGAAATTTGATTGGTTGAATTTCTTATGCATATGTTTATAGACCAATCAAGATTCTCATGTTTACGCTTATGCGCCTATGCAAGAGTGTGTGCTCCCCGCTTTACGGATTCGTTCATCCCAAATATTAGCCAAAATACTTAATGAATCTTATTAAATTTACGATATTCTTAATCAGTAGGATTGTCCGCAGAGAGACAAAGATTGATTTTTTGGAAAAAAGATGAATATAAAATTCATAATATAACTTGAGGAGATGCACAGCTAGCAGCGGGTAAGGTTGGGTTAGCCACGAGATCGTATTTAATTTATTATAAATTTTTAAGAGCAATAATGCAAAATTCGACTCTTTGTCTACTTGCTTTATTATATAAAGAATATATTAAAAAATATTTCACGAAGCTACGTAACTTCTTTTTATGTAATATTTGGGATGAACAAATCTCACTAGATCTATACTCATGGGGAAATTTTCGTGGTAACATACTGACAACTTGACAAGGAAAGAGTATCATTCTATCTTTGTCTCTCTTGCATTTGATATGTGTAAAATTAGTATAAATACAAAAACCAATATATTACGCACACAAATGAGAAATATTTTACATTTGCTCATTATATATGAAAATATAAAAGTAATGCAAATTAAATTTCACATTTATTTATAATAGTATTGTGAGGTAGTAACACATGGAAATCTTATCAGATGAATGCTGTACATCGATTAGCGTAATATTATGATTACAAGTCGCAATAAATAATTTTGCTAATATATTATTTTAAATAAAAATTTTATAAAAACAAATAAAAATAAAATAAATAAATTTTATTCATTCTTTGTTTTTTTCTATTATTTTTCTATTATTTGAATAAAAGGCGTATCGTATGTAATAGATAAATAATAATTTATATATATATGTATATATTAAAATTAATATATATACATATTATATATATATATAATTTATATATATATATTGGGGAACGCTCCTTCAAAAGCGCCTTTAATCCCTCAGGGAAGAATAAAGAATTGAATTGAATTGAATTGAATATATATATATATATATATATATAAATTTCAAAACGTAATTATATCTTTATATAAATTATCTATCTATTTAATCTATTACACACGATACATCTTTTATTCAAATAATAGAAAAAATAAATAATAGAAGAAGAAAACAAAGAATGAAGAAAATTTATTAATTTTATTTTGTTTGTTTTTATATTTTTTTAATTTTTCAAAATAATATATTAGCAAAATCATTTATTGACTTGTAATTATATTATGCTAATCGATGTACAGGGGGTCAATTGTGTAATTTTTTCTAAAATGGAAACGTGAAAAGTGAAAAATTTTCGCCAATCACGCATTGATTTTAAAAGAAAATCGATGTGTGATTGGAAAAAATTTCTCACTTTTCACATTTTCACTTTAGAAAAAGTTACACAATCGACGCCCATCATTCATCTTATATGATTTTCATGTATTAACTACCTCATAATACTATTATAAATTATTGTAAAATTTAATTTCCATTACTTTTATATTTTTATATATGATGAGCAAATGTAAAATATTTCTTATCCGTGTGCGTAATATACAGGGTGTCCAATAACTAACGGACAAACGATTACAAATGGATTCTTTGGTCAATTTGGGAACGATTTTTTCTCAGCGAAAATGTCGAAAAAGGTCATTATTTTTTTACAACTTTCCAATATTTGTCATTATGTATCTTTATAACTAAGTCTCAAATTAAAATTTTATTATAGTAAACTCTACCTGAAATTAACTGAAGAATGTAATTATGTTAAACTTTTAACTCCAAACCGTTTAGTTTTCAAAAAACCCATTTTTTTCAATCGCTTATAACTCGAAAATTATTGACTTCTCAACTTTTTTGCTAAGAAAAAATCGTCGCCAAATTGGCCAGAGAATCCGCCCTTAATCATTGGTCCGTTAGTTACCGGACACCCTGTATATTAAAATATAATTATTATATAAATAATTAAATAAAAATATATATAATAAATAATTTATTATATTCGTAAAAAAAAATTATGTAATAATTTTTTTCAGCATCGCAAGGTCGGAGCAATAACATACTAGTCTATAAAAAATATTTTAAATTTTTTTTTCAATTAATTTTTAAAACAAATTTTTAAAAATATTTTTATATATTCAAATACTTATTATATTATATAAAAATTATTGTGAATTATACTCATTGAAGTAATAATTATTGATTGAAGCTTGTTATGGCACAAACTGAACATCTTGTACATTGTCTGTATAATATTTTACTTATTTATAAAATGTATTTTATAAATAAATAAAATATTATATATATTAGGGTGGTCGTTATATAGGTTTTTTCATAATTTTAATGTTGGATGGTCGTAAATTAGCTTTAAATGTAGAAAAAAAATCTCTAATTTTTTCAGATTTTTATTTTGAGTCCTGAGTCTCCCTGTTGGCATGTAATTTTATTAATAATTTTATTAATACCACAGTTCTGCAGCTGCTTCTGTCATCAATTTTTGTTGTAAATAGTTTGAAATTTTAGTGAAAAAAAGTTGAAATTATTTGAAAATACCGCAAAAATATAGTATAAAATAATATAAAATAGTTAAATAATATAAATATAATATAAATACAATAGTTAAAGGATATGGAACAGCATTGCGTGACAGATGCACCGTCCCTGAGAGCGGCGCGCCTTAGTTACGATTATTAAACAACGCGTTGCTAAGATCTCGAGCGTGAGTGGAGGCTGCTAGGCAGTAACTCTCAGAAATCGGCCGAAAAGATTTGGACAGATTTGCATTATGGCATCAGGCTCAGATACGATTAAAAATAGGTAATAAAATATATATAGGTAATAAAATATAAAATACGTCGTTATATATTTGAAAAATGGATAAAAATAATTAACTGAATTACAAACACCCACGACTCGTGCGGAATACCCCATATAATATTTATGACTATCTTTTATGAAAAATTAAATTATTTTGTTCACTACTTTTGCAGCTGACTCCATCTAGAACTGAAGTAAATTAAGTATTTTTTCAAATTATAAAAAATATAATATAAATAATATTTAAATAACATATAAATGAATAAATAAATGAACTGATATAAGAATATAACATAACACGTGTAAACAGGGAGCCTCAAGGCTAAAAATAAAATCTGAAAAAATTAGAGAATTATTTTTCTATATTTGAGCTGATTTATGACCATCCAACATGATGTTCAATTTAACGACCACCCTAAATACATATATATATACACACAGATATGACAACCGTTATCTTGATTTTTCCGATTATTGATGTTACATTGTATAACTCTCATTTCTTTCTCTCTGCTACATAAGTACTTATGACATGAAAGAACTTACGAGTAACGTATGATGGCTCAATGTAAGAATATTTAATCACGTAAAAAACTTGAGTTCAAATATATCAATATCAATTTTTTTATAATATATTAGAATATAGAAAATCATAGAAATATATTTTTTATATAGGCGATAAACTTAAAAATTTGATATTGAAAATATTTTAATTATTTACAACTACACATACTATAAATATATATATATATAAATGCAAAATAATTCCATAAATAAATTTCAAGTAATAAATCAATTGCACACATACACACAGCTGGTATGTAGATTTTTATTAAATTTATTTTTAATTTATTTTCTGAATTATTTTACACTTATATATAGTGTATGTAGTAAAAATATTTTCAATATATTAAAAATTTTTAAATCGCCGAAATATTTTTTTATCATTTTTCTATATTCCAATATATATATATATATATATATATATATACGCACATATGTGCATAAGCAATATATAAAATTTACAAAAAGTAGGTACTTATTAGCCTTGCTACGCTACTGCCTTCTGCTACGGAAGGCCAGAAAGCATTTTCAGGCGGCATCTCGCGTATACCGGCACGGTAGAGGAACAAGAAGAACACGTGATATCGGTCCTTGTTTCTCTACGGTGCGTCCGCGTGAACAATGCAATGGTGTATGTACGTGTACAGACATGCACCACTACATAAAACCCGAGAATGGTTTCTCGGCGTTGGCAACACTGAAATCGGAGTTTCGCGTGTCACCGCGCGAGGTTCCAACATCAATTCGGAGTTTGGCCGGCCGACCTGTCGACCCTTAAGGGTCGACAGGCGACATGGTGGAGACGCCTATCGGCCGGCCGGGAATTACGGATTCGTTCATCCCATATATTAGCCAAAATACTTAATGAATCTTATTAAATTTACGATATTCTTAATCAGTAGGATTGTCCGCAGGGAGACAAAGATCGATTTTTTGGAAAAAAGATAAATATAAAATTCATAATATAACTTGGGAGATGCGCAGCTAGCAGCGGGTAAGGTTGGGTTAGCCACGAGATCGTATTTAATTTATTATAAATTTTTAAGAGCAATAATGCAAAATTTGACTCTTTGTCTCCCTGCTTTATTATATAAAGAATATATTAAAAAATATTTCACGAAGCTACGTAACTTCTTTTTATGTAATATTTGGGATGAACAAATCTCACTAGATCTATACTCATGGGGAAATTTTCGTGGTAACATACTGACAGCTTGACAAGGAGAGAGTATCATTCTATCTTTGTCTCTCTTGCATTTGATATGTGTAAAATCAGTATAAATACAAAAACCAATATATTACGCACACGAATGAGAAATATTTTACATCTGCTCATTATATATAAAAATATAAAAGTAATGCAAATTAAATTTCACATTTATTTATAATAGTATTGTGAGGTAGTAACACATATGGAAATCTTATAAGATAAATGCTGTACATCGATTAGCGTAATATTATGATTACAAGTCGCAATAAAT